ATGCAGATGTACCATTTTGGAAGAAATAATGTGGAGGGGGTTTAGTATGCAGCCCCAATTGTCAAAGGCGTTGTGTTATAACTGACTGTCCTTGCCAAGGGCGAGGTACCTACTTTTGTTTTTGGCTTTGATCTCTGCGTCAGATAGAGTTTTTACATGAACACAAGGATCAAACGGGACCACACGCAGACTGGGAAGAGTACACAACACATTAATAACAGCGAAAGCACCTGCGATGTGTTGTAGGGCAAAGCTAATGGGAGGCACATGACCTCTGGAAAATGCTAACTCCAAAATCCATTGGGGGTGTTTGTTTAAAATATGGCTCTGGGTGATTCTGGCCGTTCCAGGAGGTGGGTTGTGGGGAGTATAGCTCACAAGACTTTTAAAGCGCTATATGTAAGTGCTAACAGCTTGAAATGATGGTTATGATTGTGGTGACATGACTATGGTTATAACTGTGGTCTGGAGCAACTGCTGAGAGGAATAGTGAGAGCAAAACAACACCTCATATTTCATGGGGTCATCGGTCTTTCTTTCTTTCTTTCTTTCTTTCTTTCTTTCTTCATGGAACTGGGAAAAAACGCATTGGATTCTTCTTCACTCTAAGTAGTATTCAACCCAAAGCTGCTGGCTGACACAGAGGAGGAGGAGAAAACCACTCCCAGTACCCTTGCTTGATCTCTCCTGGTGCAAAGTATGGGCTGTGCCCTTGCCAGAGAGCAAGAAAGGAGAGGAGCATTAGCAAGGAGATGAGAATGCAACATTAGCCTTCGGTGTCTGGTTTCGACTGGGGTGAGGGGAGGAAGGGAAGAAGGAGGCAGTTCCATAGAACCAAAACACACACACACACACACACACACCCCTCCACCTCCTCAAATGGTGCTATCCTGCTGGGCCTCTCTGAAAACAGTGTTTCCCCCCATTTGCTCTCTCTCTCTGCCAGATCTCTCACCGCTTCCACAGCATCTTGGTCATCACCCATCTCTTTCCACCCATCCGGTGTCCTCACTTTGCATGGCTGCAAGACACTGAGCTGGTGTAATGGGATAAACTGAAGCCAAATGGCCCAGTTTAACACAGCCGAGCCATCGGCACAGATCTGTTTTGGAGCTGCATTGCAACGGTGTGATTTAAAATCTTACTTGCATTTTTAGTTTAGAATGAGGCATGCGCGCGCACACACACACACACAGAGAGAGAGAGAGAGAGAGAGAGAGAGAGAGAATACCCCCTGACCCTGTGAATATTTTTAAATTCATTTTAAAGTTTTATAAATGAATGATGAACAGGAGGATTCCTATCTATCTATCTGTCCATCTGTCTATCAACACGCACGCACAAACACATATATTCTTGCAGGGTGTAGTGTGAGATGGGCTATCAGTGGAAAATGGGATACATATGCAGTATACCACTTTAACAGTCATGGCTTCCCCCAAAGCATCCTGGGAACTGAAGGGTGCTGAATGTCCTTTAGCCGCTTCCAAATCTACAGTTCTATGATTCTATGACCAATAACCTCCTCTGAGATGGTGCAAGAAATCCTCAAGTGCACCACTTCAGCTGGGCCCCTATTCATTCCCACCCCACGACAATATTGCCTTCCCCAAGCAGCCGTTTGGATTCTTTGTGCACTCAGCCAGCCCTGCATGTAACATTAGCAAGCATTGTTCCGTGTGTCCAGGCCAGGGTGCCTTCAGGCCACAGGGACTATTGTTTTTTCTGCTTTGTGCCTAGCCTTGTTTCTGTAGTCTCATGCTGCCTGGCTTGCATCCAAGAATTGGCTGCTGCTTATTCAGAGTGCTGAAGTTCTGCTTTCCCTTCCCCCAAGGCGAAGACAGAAAGCATCTCAGATACAGTGGTGCCTCGCAAGACGAAATTAATTCGTTCCGCGAGTTTTTTCGTCTTGCGGTTTTTTTCGTCTTGCGAAGCACGGTGTCGGAAAAGCTTTGGAAAAGCTTCAAAAATCACCAAAGTCCTCAAAAACCTCAAAAAAGGCTACCACACCGCGTGCTATGAGTTGCTCCTCGAAGTCAAGTCGCAACTGTATTAACGGTTTTAATAAAATGGAAACAAACTTGCAAGACGTTTCCGTCTTGCGAAGCAAGCCCGTAGGGAAAATCGTCTTGCGAAGCAACTCAAAAAACCAAAAACCCTTTCGTTTTGCGAGTTTTCCGTCTTGCGAGGCATTCGTCTTGCGAGGTACCACTGTAGCTTGCACTAGGACTGCTTTCTAGCCACCTCCTTCCATCAATGCAAGTGCTTGTAGAAAAACTGTACTCCCAGACGCCTCTATGAGGCAGCTATTATGGGCAGTGAGGGATTAGCTCCCAGGATGGGATGATCACAGCATTTTCATTAGGCGTATCAGTTTCCTGTGGGCTCAGAACATACAGACTATCAGTGCTGAGATTCCTGATTGGCTGGGAAGATCCTACATTTAGATTGGATGCTGATTGGTGGCACATGGCTACATTAACCTTTCAACCTTAAAAAATTCCTCTGTAAGTTTTGAGCAGCGGCCACTACTGGTGAAAAACAAACAAAATACAGTGGTACCTCAGGTTAAGTACTTAATTCGTTATGGAGGTCTGTACTTAACCTGAAACTGTTCTTAACCTGAAGCACCACTTTAGCTACTGGGGCCTCCCGCTGCCGCCGCGCCGCCGGAGCACGATTTCTGTTCTCAACCTGAAGCAAAGTTCTTAACCTGAAGCACTATTTCTGGGTTAGCGGAGTCTGTAACCTGAAGCGTATGTAACCTGAAGCATATGTAACCCGAGGTACCACTGTAAAACAAAACAACATGGTTAGTTGGCTGCACATGCCCTGCATGTAATTCTCCTTGTTCCTCATGGGTACCTCAAAAAAGTAAATAGAACATATGCTTAGAGGTGAACAAACACTGGAAGTGTAGGGATTAAGATGTTGGACGTGTATGAGGCAAATCTGAGGTGCCTTGGGTGGCCTTAAGCAGCCATTCTCCCTTTCACAGAAATAATCTCCCTGTCCATGGAAAACTAGTATATCAAGGAAAGAAGCACTCTCCTGACATGCTAGCTTTTTGCATGCAGGGAGTGTTTTATTTTTTGAATGTGGAGAAGTATATAAACATGTGAAGTCTGATATAGTACAGACCTAGGAATTCCTGGGTCTGCACTTGTAGATTAGGTCCTGCACAGGAGAAGACCCAGTCATTTCTTCTCTGGGGCTGGGTCAAGGTCCTGAACGAAGAGTCCTTTACAGATGGTTCAATCACATCTATAAACTTGAACGTCTCCCTCCTTGCAGTATTTCCGGCACTGTGTGGTGCCTTTCGATAAGATAACAAGGGGTAGGGCGAAAGCTATTTTCTGATTTTGGAGATACCATAGTTTGACTTCCTTCAAGCATTTTCATGGCCCGCCTTTTCCTTTCTTCGCGTTATGCGACAAACACATTCCACTTTCCCATTAGTAAAGCAGCGGCAGAGTGACAATGTCAAATGTTCGCCACCAAGAGCCAGAACAATGCCAAAACTATAAAGCATTTTGGAGGTGTCAACTGGGCCTGTTAAGCACTTTTTGATGCATAGTGCCTCTGTTTAGATTATATCAATTATGTGTCCATTCCTAATGACACAGCAGGACTTTAGTTGCGTGCTGTACTTCAGGCGAGAAAATGTCTTGGTCCAGCAATAAGTCCTCTCCGTAAGTCCATCTCTTGACCCATCTACCTTCATCCTGTGAGGAATGAGGATGTTGCTTTTCCAGTCTGCCTCCTCAGAGCACAATTCCCTGAATTTTCAAGATTCGGACACGAGGAGTGGACCTGGCGTGATCTCTCAGGGGTGGTATGTGCTGACTGAGGGCACCTGGGACTCTGAGCACCCCAAATCACCCTCCTCTGCACATCAACAGACCAAAGACTCTACTTATCCCATCCTTCCCCCCCACCTTCCCTGTTTCCCCTCCAAGCCACCGCAATATGAATCATGCTGTTCTGGAAAGCATGTTTGCGAGCGATGCAAAAGAAGCCAAGGAGCTGCAGAAATAATTGCCTTTGACAGTGGATATGCTTTGGTCTCTTGAAACGCATCGCAGGAGCCTGGAAAACAACCAGCGGCTCCTTAAAAGCTTCCTAAAAAACCCGACTCTGTGTGTCGCTGGCAATAGTGACTCAGAGAACCCAATGGTTGATTCTATCTAGATGATGTAACAAGGGGTTAGAAGGCTTAGGAGGGAATTAAAATACCGCTGCAATTAGAATAAAGCCGTGTGTGTGTGTGTGTGTGTGTGTGTTGGCGCACAAACGCAGAAAGAATGGGGCTTTGCATTTATTAGAGGGCTTTCTTATCAGTTGGTGTTTTTCTTCCCCCTTCCCCCAAATCACAGATGCTATTGAAACCAGGGGATTAAAAGTGTAGCAAGCTCTTCAAAACAGAGCTGATCTCATGATCTCATGATCCGCTGCCTTAGAATAGGTGGCGAGTTCAGTGGTATTCATTGACTGTTGTGGTGGGGAGGTTTCTGTAGCGTTAGAGGCAACTACAGCTTTTCACAGACATAGAAGGGAAACAGAGAGAGAGAGAGAGAGAGAGAGAGAGAGAGAGAGAGAGAGAGATGTTCTACCCAGACACTGAGATCCAGTGTCAAGGACCTTCTGGCAGTTCCCTCACTGTGAGAAGCCAAGTTACAGTGAACCAGGCAGAGGGCCTTCTCGGTAGTGGCACCCGCTCTGTGGAACGCCCTCCCATCAGATGTCAAAGAGAAAAACATCTACCAGACTTTTAGAAGACATCTGAAGGCAGCCCTGTTTAGGGAAGCTTTTAATGTTTGATGCATTACTGTATTTTAATATTTTGTTGGAAGCCACCCAGAGTGGCTGGGGAAGCCCAGCCAGATGGGCGGGGTATAAATTATAATATTATATAATATAATAATATAATAAATTATTATATTATTATTATATTGCCCTAGAAAGCATCAACACCCCGCACCTGGCTTTGACCACGGCATATGACAATTCGGATGCCGTTGTCGGGGATGTTGTTACAGGCAACGAGAGCGTATTTGGACAAACTGCAACCTGAAAAGTTGGTTGGACTACCAGGTGGGTACTTAGTGTGGCAAACGCTGCAGGGCTAACTGAAGTTCCCTCTGATACCTGCCCCCCCCCCAGCATTAGTGGTTTGCCTCTTGGCCCCAGTAGGCCCCACTGACCACAGTGCTCTTCCAGTGGAAGAGTGTGGTACTAGTGCCATGATCTGTGGTGGGTGGTTGCAACCAAGCCGCCTGCCATTTTGAATTTTCCATGGTTCCCTTCTGTTTGAGAAAAATCCCCAGGAACTCATGGCCTGCCAAGACGACCGCAGACCACCAGTCAGAAGGAAAGCAGGTGGGGGCAGGCTGAGGTTGCTGCGGCAGAACCCCTACGGTCCAGCCTCCGCTGACTGCACCCACAGATACATGAATCTGCTGCCTCCATTGAAATTAGCATCCCTTCCAAATGCCCCATTTTAAGTGGGATAGCCACACTCTTCTTTAAGGTGCCCTGGGCTCTGCTTTCCTCCCGAGGTGCCCCAATTTTGTGCTGCTTGTGGATGGCAGCAGCATGGGGCAGGATTGCTTCCCTGGCTTTGGGGGAAGGCGGGAGGGCTCTTGTGCACTCTCCTTCTCTAAGCTGGGCAGAAAGGAGAGCGCAGAAAGGCAGAGAGGCAGAAAGGAGGCGCAAGGTTCCAATTTTTATCAGCAAATTGTTGGAGAATGTGAATTACCAAGGCAGCCCTTATGAAGGAGAAATCAACAGGTGTGAGTGCACATGTGCTTGTAAAAGCTGCAGCTATGGGGTAATAATTTCCGTTTATATCTCTTTATTCAGTAGCACAGATTCAGTTCCCTTCACCTGCATTTTGTTTCTGGCTGGCTGGGCGATATGTTCCTTATAGCAACTGTGCCCGATTTCTTCCCACTCACAGTGCCTTTTCGGTAAATCCCCCGAAGTATTTTACGGGCCTCCTCGAAATGCCACATAGCGAAAGCTTACCACAGGTCATGAAATTTGATCTCATCCTGGAAACATTTCCTGGGAACCGGCTGCCTTAATATACCACAGCTCCAGTGAGTCGTTGCTGCCGATTTGCAGCGCGGATTTTTGTGTGTGGCCAAATCTGTTCTCCCCTTGCAGGCTCTGTGAGCAATGCCGGGACAGCTGACGGAGCGAAACAGATTAAAAGCGCCGAAGGAAACTGGGATCGCTCCTGACAAGCACATCTGCCGATTTGGCCTACCTCGGGTCCTGTCAGAATGCGAACCAGGCTGCGGAAGCACTGCAACCACCTAATGATGTTTAGGAATGACGGCTTGAATACTGAATCAAATTAACATCAGGGTGCGGGGAGAATTGAGAGAGAAGGCATTGTTCCAGGGCATGCTTGGAGTATGGTGTGTACACTGCTTTGTTACTCAGTGGTAGCTGTAGTCCTGTGGTAGCGCAACTGCTTTGCATGCCAAATGTTCCAGGTTCAATCCCCATCTCCAAGTAAGGAGAACCCATGGCTGAAATCCCAGAAAGCAGATGATACTGAGCTCTGGAAGGTAGGACTCGAACCAATGACTTAAAATTATGAGAAAGGAGATTCTGAGAAAACATCAGGTTGACAGTGGCATGGACTCCCTCAGAAAGTGGTTGACTCTCCTTCCTTGGAGGTATTTAAGCAGAGGTTGGATGGCCATCTGTCATGGATGCTGTAGTTGAGATTCCTGCATTGCAGGGGGTTGGACTAGATGACCCTCGGTGTCCCTTCCAACTCTATGAGTCTGTGAATTCCTGGCAAACTGTTGCCAGCCAGTGTAAGGCAGCACTGTGCTGGATGGACCAATGGTTTTGCTTGGCATTAAGGTCGCTTCCCACGTAGTTCTATATTTATATCATATAGAATATGTGAAAGGGACCTACTGAGGCAGAAGCAGCTCTGGTGACAATGCCATCTCCTCCCACCCCACTTTTTTTTTTTTGCCCATCACATTGGCTTCCGCTCCTGGCAGCAAAACTAAAGCTAATCTGCGACCATTAATTTAAGTTGCAAAATAAACATTTTATACCTCCGAGCTTGTTTATTTTATAGTAATTGCTATGAAATACCTGGGACTGCACTATGAATCATGACAACATTTAAAATATTGAATTTTCCCGTCGCAAGATCCTGGCTGGCATCCTGAGATAATCTACTTCTGCCTCCCTTCGAAGCCGTTTGGTCCTTGACGGATGAATGAGTGCCGGAGCAAGGTGTGCAAGATAGATTCTTGCCACGCTGCAACCTTCGTTGCAATGTTGCTGGAATATCAATGCTTAAGGGGCTTTGCAACGTTCCTTTCGCCTTGCTGCAACTAATAACTTTCCTTATTAAGGCTATCAAGCGCTACTACTTCCAATATTGGAGCTGAGATACCCTCAATCCCAGTTCCGCAGGTTACGAGTGGGGAAGTTGCTATCCCAGTATCCCAGTACGTTTCCGAGCACAATTCAAAGTGTTGGTGCTGACCTTTAAAGCCCTAAACGGCCTTGGTCCAGTATATCTGAAGGAGCGTCTCCACCCCCATCGTTCTACCCGGACACTGAGGTCCAGCACCGAGGGCCTTCTGGCGGTTCCCTCACTGCAAGAAGCCAAGTTACAGGGAACCAGGCAGAGGGCCTTCTTGGTAGTGGCGCCTTCCCTGTGGAACGCCCTCCCACCAGATGTCAAAGGGAACAACAACTACCAGACTTTTAGAAGACATTTGAAGGCAGCCCTGTTTAGGGAAGCTTTTAATGTTTGATGTATTATAGTATTTTAATATTTTTTTGGAAGCCGCCCAGAGTGGCTGGGGAAGCCCAGCCAGATGGGCGGGGTATAAATAATAAATTATTATTATTATTATTATTATTATTATTATTATTATTATTATATAATTATTGTACATGTGTCCTGTCTGCAGGCTTCTCATTGGCCCCCGTGGGAACAGAATGCTGGTCTAGATAGGCTGTTGGCTCTTCTTACAACAACAACAATTTATTATTTGTACCCTGCCCATCTCGTTGGGTTTCCCCAGCCGCTCTAGCCAGCTCCCAACAGAATATTAAAACACGATAAAACATCAAACATTAAAAACTTCCCTAAACTGAGTTGCCTTCGGATGTCTTCTAAAAGTCAGGTAGTTGTTTATTTCCTTGACATCTGATGGGAGGGCGTTCCATAGGGCAGGCGCCATCACTGAAAAGGCCTTCTGCCTGGTTCCCTGTAACCTCACTTCTCGCAGTGAGGGAACCACTAGAACATAGCTGTCAATTTTCCCCTTTTCTTGCGAGGGATCCTATTCAGAATAAGGGAATTTCCCTTTAAAAAAGGGAAACGTTGACAGCTATGGACTAGAAGGCCCTTGGCACTGGACCTCAGTATCTCAGGGCTGAACGATGGGGGTGGAGATGCTCCTTCAGGTATACTGGGCCGTGGCCATTTGGGGCTTTAAAGGTCAGCACCCACACTTTGAATTGTGCTTGGAAACGTACTGGGAGTCAATGTAGTTCTTTCAGGACCGGTGTTATGTGGTCTCGGCGGCTGCTCCCAGTCACCAGTCTTTGGGGGGAAAGGAGGAAGAAGGGCTCTCACACTCCATCAGAGCATCGCGCCTAAGCTAAGCAAACACTCCCAGGTTTGGGGAAGGAGGCAGGAGGCTCTGACAGGTTCCTGGAGCCCGCGTGCCTCCTTAGTAAAGCTAGAATTATTTTTTAATGTAATTGTTTTTCCTGACCCTGAAGAAATTTGTGCCCAGGGCAACCGCCCAGAGTACCAGTACCATTTTTGTGTGTAAAAACAAAGCACTGCCCATGTCTTTCTGATGCGAGTGATGGAGAGGAGTGACAATTTTTCATGACGTCTGAAAGGTCAGGTGCAAGTTGGATAAATGGATCTTTGTTAAGCCTTGCAGGACTCCCCAAACAGACAGGTGTTATCTGGAAGTCAGGAGGGGGGCGGTTTAATTCACTGCTAGCTTACTGTATCATACAATCTTCGCTCTTCAAAGGGCTGGGCTGCCAGCTTCTTTTTTTAACCAGCTCCTCTTGGTGCGAAAGATTCTTATTGTTATTTCATTTGCTTTCATTATTAACGACTCCATTCATTTAAAGAGGAATTCAGTGGACTAATTAATTTGTTCCCCAGCTTCATTTGAAGGTTGTTTGGAATTGTTAAATTTGCTTTTAGCTTTATGTTAATATTTTGATGGTGTGTTTAATTGGGGAATTTGCCTGTTTTTGTATTGTTCTGCTCATAGTTTGCTTGCTGCTTTGAGTATCCATGAGAAAACTTGGCAGATAGGTCTTAAAAATAAATAAATTTCATTATTAATTCCTTCACACCTTTTAAATGTTTTATGTTTGATTTTTAAAAACCCGGATACAAATATATACCCTAAGAGCAAGGGGAAAAAGAGAAACTATACATTAAGAAAGAGCAAAGGAGGTATAAGGTTGAATATTTCCCAGAAAATCACAACTAATTGTCATCTTTCAATAGATCTCTTCCTCTGTTGCTCATTACATAAATGTTTTATGGCAGGTTAGCTTCAATAATAGTTATATTCCAGATTTTTGAGATCCATTCGCAAATTGACAAAAGAAGACTTTTCCAAATTGCTCACAGGCAGTTGTGGGAAGGTTAACAACCATTTCCAAGTCAGTATCAATAATTAAATCCTTAAGCTAACCCATCAATAGAAACAACTGCATGGCCATTCACTAAATTTTCAGTTGTGTCTGAACCACATTGTTGTGAAATCTATTTATCTCCTGCCACACTCAACGTGGAACTTAATTGATGACATGACCTGGGTATTTACTACAATACTGGCCCTCTCGCCTGGAAATATGAAAACCTCTGTGGTCTTGTCCCCCTCATGACCTCTACCATCTCCTCAAATGTTAAAATACATTGGCCATTGGCCACTCTTTCTGTTATGTACTGAGCTGAATAGGAGCCAATATGCAGCAGTCTGATTGGTCCTAGAACAATAGGATTCAGAATGCAGCAGTCTGATTGCTCCACAGGAGCCACCCAATCCAGCTCTAGGTGGAAGTGAATCCACAGCCTGATTGGCCTACAGGAGAATCCTGGAATTAGCCAATCACGTGGGGCCTATTGTGTAAATAATGTATATAAAGCAGACATTCAGGGGCAACTTTCATTCCTCCTCACCACTATGAGCTGAATAAAGAGCATGAAATCCACTCTCGACTCCGAGTATATTTCACTTTCAATTAGGTTTAAACCAGATAGTTACCAAAGTTATGCACGTCCTACCACACCCAATGTATATAAACAGCACCCAGTAAAGAAAATGGAGGTGTTGGGTGATAATCTGGGGGCATCCCCTAGTTTTAATTTTATAACCAAACTTCCACACAAAACTACTGAGTATAAACAGGTATAGTTGTGCTCGTGACGTTTGTCGGGTTCTCCTCCTGTTGCCAGAGTTGCTCTTTTCAAATCTCTAAGAAGCATTTCCTTCTGCTTCTGCTGATTTATCTGGGATGTGCCAATGATTCAGAGACACCACTTTCATTGCATAATTACCCTATTTTCCCCGTGTATAACATGCCCCCGTGTATAAGACGCCCCCTATTTTTGGGGACTCAAAATTAAGAAAATGGGGAGAGATTGACTTTGTGTATAAGGCTACCCCCCTTTTTTAACATCATTTTTTAGTAAAAAACAAAACCCTAGTCTTATACACGGAAAAGTACGGTATTTACCCCTACCTAGGGATGTTGGGACGCGAGTGGTGCTGTGGGTTAAACCACAGCGCCTAGGACTTGCCGATCAGAAGGTCGGCGGTTCGAATCCCCGCGACGGGGTGAGCTCCCATTGCTTGGTCCCTGCTCCTGCCAACCTAGCAGTTTGAAAGCATGTCAAAGTGCAAGTAGATAAATAGGTACCGCTCTGGTGGGAAGGTAAACGGCGTACTGCTCTGGTTCACCAGAAGCGGCTTAGTTATGCTGGCCACATGACCCAGAAGCTGTACGCTGGCTCCCTCGGCCAATAAAGCGAGATTAGCACCGCAATCCCAGAGTCGGTCAGGGGTCCCTTTACCTCTAGGGATGTTCGCATTCTCCCTATGTACTTTTGTGTTGCTGGAATGGGAGCACGAATAGTGATAATGCCACTTAGTTAGCTTGGATGGAGAGATGTGGGTGGGTGAGTAGAAACTTAAAATTTTTGCATGAGCGAATGCGGTCCTGGAGAAAGTCCCTCACCTCTGATCAGTAGCCCACTTGAATGCACTGTTCTGTAATTTTTCAGGTCATACGTTCACTCATTCATATATAGACACAGCACAGATAGACGGAAATGGTAGCACATGAGACTCTCAATCTCAAGGATGTGGGTTTGAGACCCATGCTGAGCACAAGATTCATGCATTGCAAGTGTCGGACTAGACGTCCCTTCCAGCTCTACAATTATATGATTCTATGTATATAGACAGGGACGTGGGTGGCGCTGTGGGTTAAACCACAGAGCCTAGGACTTGCCAATCAGAAGGTTGGCGGTTCGAATCCCCGCGACGGGGTGAGCTCCGGTTGCTCGATCCCTGCTCCTGCCAACCTAGCAGTTTGAAAGCACCTCAAAGTGCAAGTAGATAAATAGGTACCAGTTCGGTGGGAAGGTAAACGGCGTTTCCGTGCGCTGCTCTGGTTCGCCAGAAGCGGCTTAGTCATGCTGGCCACATGACCCAGAAGCTGGACGCCGGCTCCCTCGGCCAATAAAGCAAGATGAGCGCCGCAACCCCAGAGTCGGTCATGACTGGACCTAATGGTCAGGGGTCCCTTTACGTTTACCTTATATAGACACACACAGCCCAGTATGTCGCCGCACACAGTCTCTTTCTTGGTATACACAGACGCATCTGCATCTTCTAGGGAGAGTGAGAAAGTCTTCCGGTTGTCGTTTTTGAAGGGTTGAGCGTAAACATGAGGCACATTTGCACAGAGGAAGAGAGAGATGCAGAGAAAGATATTCCAGCAGCCCTTTAAATGAGTGAAACCTGCCAGTGATATTATCTGTCATGTCCCGAAGTAAACTGGCTGCCTAATTGCAACAAGACTTTCAAGACATGTTCTTCTCAGTCTTGAATTACTGGATAAGCAGCAATAGATGCTCTTCATCTTACCAATGACTTACATATTGCCTTGGTATTCCTTTTTATTTATTTATTTTTAAAATTTGTAAAGAGTCAGTGTGGTCCGTGGCTAGGGGTGTGGTTTCAGTTGCAGATGGCAACCTCTACCCTACATCACATTTCAATATTATAATAATATCACAAGTTCATTCCTTAGCTGGAGTTGTTCAGGTTGAATATGTCTTGAGACTGTGTTCAGCTTCTTTTAAGATTGTGGCACACCTATTCTGCGTTCAGCGTACCGAAGAGGATTCGGGTCACGGAATTTTGCATTATCAAGCTTTCTTGAACCGTTCCAAGTGTGATTTGAGACCCACAAACCCACGGTAAAAGCTGAATCCTCAACAACCCCGGGAAATGGTTCTGGGGTTCCATCATGACTGATCTTGTGATTTCTCCTTTGATGGAAGAGGAGCTGCAGTCCCATGTGAGCTTGCATCTCTTACATCGCGCTGCTCACATGGGCAGGCTTGTCATTGGAAAAGTTTACATTGCAAGCTGGTTCCAAGCATATTGTCAGACCTGATTTGAAGGCAACTTGAGAACAGAGCCCCATTTATCCAAAATACCAAGCATCAGGCTAATGGTAAATCGGGACACATGAGTAATTGGTCAGGGCCATCCAGTTGGAAATAGTTTCATGAAGGTCAGATTGGACAAGGATGGCTGCACCATGTTCATCTGATGCAGCAAAATAAATTAAGACTCCCACAGTTGCATGTTTACTTATATCATGCTATTCTTCCATCATGAACCTCAGGGCAGCAGATGACCTCTTTACTGAGCATCCATCCTCCGCTTTGCTTGGAAGTTTGGTCCGTCTGTCTCCAACTGCTCCCCGTTTTGCATGTGTAATGAATTGCTCCATAATTGTCCTGTAATTACGCATTTCCTGCTCCTGGAGGACAGCAGGGCTCAAATGATTCCTCTCTCCTAATTTTCATCCTTTCTTATTGCCAGAGAATTCTATTTCACACTAAAAAATGAAAACACTGTGAGAAGAACCAGTCACTTGGAACAGGAAGCAATGAGATGCAGAAGTTCCAAGCTGGAAGCGTAGCATTAAAGACACAAATCTTGCCTCTGCTGCCTTCCCTATGTTTTAAGCAGTTATTGTTTTTATCTGCAATCTGCCCAGAGTCATGTCAGGGAAGAAAGCGGCGTATATATAAATAAATAAATAAATAAAAATAAAGATAGTGTAGCTCTGCTGGTGGTGGTGTCATTGTGACAGGGTCTGCAGCTGTGTGGGCAGACTCCATGGACACAGTGTGTATAGTGTGGTCTCTTTTAGAATTTCGGCTGAATGTGTGCACAGGGCAGAGTCAGCAAACATGAGATAGAGATGGAGCAGAAATTTGATTCAGTCCACATTTAAAGGGTGGGCTTACCCAATATGCAATTTCCCAAACATTATGCAGGCTGAAACACAGTCCTCCTTTGATGTTCCTCCTCTCCTGGGTCCTTCCCAAGCAATCTGAGACTGTGCCGGTATGCTTGTCTCTGTCTCCCCCTCTTCATACCTCTTCTGGTACTGGAAAACCGGGGGAGGGCAGCTGGGCAGTGAAGGTCCTGTGTGAGTGCCTGGAGGCGGTTGGAGGATGGATGGCGGCTAACAGATTGAGGTTGAATCCTGACAAGACAGAAGTACTGTTTTGGGGGGACAGGAGGCGGGCAGGTGTGGAGGATTCCCTGGTCCTGAATGGGGTAACTGTGCCCCTGAAGGACCAGGTGCGCAGCCTGGGAGTCATTCTGGACTCATAGCTGTCCATGGAGGCACAGGTCAAATCTGTGTCCAGGGCAGCTGTTTGCCAGCTCCATCTGGTACGTAGGCTGAGACCCTATCTGCCTGCGGACTATCTCGCCAAGTTACAGGGAACCAGGCAGAGGGCCTTCTCGGTAGTGGCACCCTCCCTGTGGAACACCCTCCCACCAGATGTCAAAGAGAACAACAACTACCAGACTTTTAGAAGACATCTGAAGGCAGCCCTGTTTAGGGAAGCTTTTAATGTTTGATGTATTACAGTATTTTAATATTTTTTTGGAAGCCGCCCAGAGTGGCTGGGGAGGCCCAGCCAGATGGGCGGGGTATAAATAATAAATTATTATTATTATTATTATTACTATTATTATTACGGTCGCAGCAGGAGGGGGAGACATCTGGCTTCTTCACCAGCCTGACTCATCTCTGTCTCTTGATCCCCCTCCTCTCCAGGTTCTGATTCTGGACTTCTCTCAGCCACAGTCTCTTCCGGCTCACTAAACCCTGTTGCCTCTTCAGCTTCTGACACCTCCTCCTCCTGGTCTGCTCTGCCTTCTCTCTCTGACCCCTCTTGGTCGTCCCACCACCAACCCCCAAGATCTGAGTCTTCTTCACTTGGGGGTTCCCACCATTCCTCTGTGTCAAACCAGTCCAGGACAGCATATTAGACAAAACAGAATACAAAACTGTGTGTATTGGGAGATACTCACACTAAAATGCTGATGAGATTTCATGAGGACTTGTTTTTTCTTTTTCAATGCAAGCAGAGGCGGAATGTAGAGCTGAACTGAAGTCTGGAAAAGAGAGAAACTGAATGGAGTCAAAGTCGACGGATTCACTGGCCCCTACCTTAAGAGGGGACGCGGGTAGCGCTGTGGGTAAAACCACAGAGCCTAGGGCTTGCCGATCGGAAGGTCGGCGGTTCGAATCCCTGTGACAGGGTGAGCTCCCGTTGCTCGGTTCCTGCTCCTGCCAACGTAGCAGTTCAAAAGCATGTCAAAGTGCAAGTAGATAAATAGGTACCACTCCAGCTGGAAGGTAAATGGCGTTTCTGTGCGCTGCTCTGGTTTGCCAGAAGCGGCTTAGTCATGCTGGCCACATGACCCGAAAGCTGTACGCCGGCTCCCTCAGCCCATAAAGCGAGATGAACACCGCAACCCCAGAGTCGGCCATGACTGAACCTAATGGTCAGGGGTCCCTTTGCCTACCTTAAGAGGGCTCAACTCTGTTCCTGCCTGCCCCTCGCCACTGCCCCAGATGAACAATATTGAAATGATGATTCTAGTTACAGGTAGGTAGCCATGTTGGTCTGCCATAGTCCAAACAAACAAACAAACAAACAAACAAACAAACAAGTATCTGAAGAAGTGTGCATGCACACGAAAGCTCATACCAATAACAAACTTAGCTGGTCTCTAAGGTGCTACTGGAAGGATTTTTTGTTTGTTTGTTTGAAATGATTGCTCAACTTTAATTGTAGGGGAGAATTCTTCCTGTAGAGAGGGGACTAGAGTTGTTGAAGAGGCAAGGTTTGTTTGCTCTTCTAAACAAGCACATGCACACACAAACACACTAATCCCTAGGGTAGAGAGAGGGGAGGAGAAAAGCCTACCCTCTTCAAAGAAAAACTAGTAATATAAAGACAGAAAAATCTTTTGCAACCATGGCAAAACCCCTAGGGGAAGATGTCCGTATACAGCCAAATGGTTTTGAACAATCCCTGAAAAAGAAAGAAAGGATCTTCTTTACAAGCCCTTAATTGTTACAAATGTGTGTCAGGGTTAGGCAGCAAATTCCAGAACGGCAGCTAGAGATAAGAAATGCAGTCCTACCAGATACCTGTGTTTTCCTAGCAGATGAGGGCAACTGCCATCTTAGCTTGAGCGACACAATGCCCCTAGTGTTCAAAAGTAAATAATTGTTCTCCTCCTCCTGAGTGCAGGGCGGGGAAGGAAGAAGAGAGTGGGCTGCTGACCCACTTGCACAAGCAGCCCAGATGTATCAGGGTTCAAGGGGTATCGATTAAGACATTTGAGAGTTGTGCCCCTTCAGTCTGAGTGGTGCAAAGGATGGAGAGCAAAATGTCTGGGCTGTAGCTCCATGCGTAGAGCATCTGTTTGGCATGCAAAAATTCCTGGATTCAGTCCCTGGCATCTCCAGGCAGGGATAATAATAATAAATAATAATAATAATAATAATAATAATTTATACCCCGCCTATCTGGCTGGGCTTCCCCAGCCACTCTGGGCGGCTTCCAACAAAATATTAAAATACAGTAATGCATCAAACATTAAAAGTTTCCCTAAACAGGGCTGCCTTCAGATGTCTTCTAAAAATCTGGTAGTAGTTGTTCTCTTTGACATCTGGTGGGAGGATGTTCCACAGGGCAGGTGCCACTACCGAGAAGGCCCTCTGCCTGGTTCCCTGTAACTTGGCTTCTCGCAGGAAGGGAACCTCGCCAGAAGGCCCTCAGCGCTGGACCTCAGTGTCCGGGCAGAATGATGGGGGTGGAGACGCTCCTTCAGATATACTGGGAAGAGGATGTTTAGGGCTTTAAAGGTCAGCACCAACACTTTGAATTGTGCTCGGAAACGTACTGGGAGCCAATGTAGGTCTGTAGGATGGTGGGAGCTGTACCCCAACACATTTGGAGGGCACCACGTTGGGGAATGCTGATGTACATAATACGGAGCTAGTCGTGCCAGCGGCCTGACTTGCTGTAAGGCACCTTCCTAGGTTTAAACAACAACAACAGGAGTCTTGCTTCTAGATCTTTGACTTTCAAAGATGGAACTCACGTTTAGTTCTCTGTCTACATTTGCAGAGGGGAACATTACAGCGGTACCTCGGGTTAAGAACTTAATTCGTTCTGGAGTCCATTCTTAACCTGAAACTGTTCATAACCTGAAGCACCACTTTAGCCAATGGGGCCTCCCACTGCCGCCGCTGCGCGATTTCTGTTCTCATCCTGAAGCAAAGTTCTTAACCCGAGGTAATATTTCTGGGTTAGCGGAGTCTGTAACCTGAAGCGTATGTAACCTGAAGCGTCTGTAACCCGAGGTACCACTGTATAGATGTTTGCATCAAAGTTATGCGACCCCCGAGCCAAGGAGCTAAAAAACTATACAACCTTTAGAAGACATCTGAAGACAGCCCTGTATAAGGAAGGTTTTTTTTAATGTTTAATGTTTTATTATGTTTTCATAAATGCAGGAAGCTGCCCAGCAGAGTGGCTGGAGGAACCCAGTCAGATGGGTGGGGAATAATAATAATAATAATAATAATGGAATAGGACGTCCCTATTTTCATCAGAGAAATGTTGGAGGGTATGCCGCTCCCTAAGTCCATGTGTGTATTCGAAAATTGTCCACAGTGTTCCGAGTGGCTCGTGCGAAACACGACGGAGAAAGCTCTCTTCCCCAAACTGTGTTTCGTGCCCCCTCCAGTTTGGTTTCCTGTGGGGAGTGGGCAAGGAGGGAGCCCCCACCTTCCCTGTTGTGTCACATTTAGCTGTACAGCCAAATCCTCTGCCCTTGGTTTGTTTCTCAAATCTGCATTTCGGGCGTGTTTTTCCTGTTAGAACTGCCCCCCTACCCCCACCCTCCGTGGTTCTTTATCCTTCCTTGCCCTCCTACACGCTCTGTGGCTGGTTTGCACATTTCATTTCAAATGTGCAGAACACCAAATAATGACTTGATCTGCTTAATGCAATTTCCTGGTTCCCTCTCTCTCCCTCCTCCTCCCTCTGACAGTAATGGGAGTTCCCATCCCCCACCCGCTGTTTCCTCCACTCCTGCTGTCTCCCCTTTCTGAACGCTCCTGCTTTGATTATTTGTATATTTCAGTTGAGGGTTTAGAGACAATTCTGCATCCTCTGGACACGTTTTTTGTTTTTACTCCCCACCCCCACCCTGCCTTTCTCTTTCTGCATATTTCCCCGCATACGCAAGCAAACATTCAGATCCAGAATTAGGCCTCTGTTGAAGCTTGGGACAGTTTCTGGAGTGTTGCTTTTCCTTCCAGCACTTAAGAAAGTTTTTACTCTTTTTGATGGCTGCTGTTATCAGTACTGTCAGTTTTTTTTGTTTTTTTGTTTTTTTTAAAAAAATAATGTTTATTAAGAGTTTAGGAATTACAGAAAGAAGTTAAACAAAGCAAAACAATACAATACAATACATATAAAACAGAAAACACTACTTATCTTAACAAAACAAAAACAAAAACAGAAACAATTTAAAACACATCCAATATTTCCATATCTTATCTTTCATTTACTTGTTTCGACGACCTCCTCACACCTCCCTTTTTTGTATTCTAGTTCAATTAGCTATTTCAGCAAATCCTTTCCATCTTTCTCAGTTTTTGTCCCATAATTTATCTTAACACAATCTAACCTTATTTTTTTCCCCTTTAGCCCATTAACAGTCTATTTTTACTTAATTCTTTATAACATTTCTGCTAAAGCCATATAACTTCATTCCAGCATCCTTCTAACATTCATTAATTTTACAGTGTTTCTGTAAATAGTCTTTAAATTTTTTCCAATCTTCTTCCACCGACTCTTCTCCCTGGTCTCGGATTCTGCCAGTCATTTCCGCCAGTTCCATGTAGTCCATCAGCTTCATCTGCCATTCTTCCTGGGTGGGTAAATCTTGTGTCTTCCTGTTATCAGTACTGTCAATTCTGCCTGGCAGAGCCCCCCCAAGGCATCAGAGAAGGTTCCCTCCCCAGTCTCCTTCCTCCTGATCTTATTTAAATTGAAGGCACCAAGATTTTTATCTTTCTATTGCATTTCTACCCCACCTTTCCCTTCAAGGTCAGCAAACAATTTCAGCAGGGGGCCGGTCCACTGTCCCTCAGACAGTGGGGGGCTGGACTATATTTTGAAAAAAAGAAATGAAAGAATTCCTATGCCCCACAAATAACCCAGAGATGCATTTTCAATAAAAGAACACATTCTACTCATGTAAAAACACCAGACAGTCCTCACAAATAACCCAGAGAGGCCCGTTCGCAACCTGAAAAGAACGCAACCTGCATCTGCGCGGGTCGCGATTCGCCGCTTCTGCGCATGCGTGTGACGTCATTTTGCGCGTCTGTACATGCGCGAGTGGCGAAACCCGGAAGTAACCCTTTCCTGTACTTCCAGGTTGCCGCGGGACGCAACCTGAAAACGCTCAACCTGAAGCAAACATAATATGAGGTATGACTGTAAAAGGACACATTCTACTCACGTAAAAACACGCTGATTCCCGGACCATCCATGGGCCGGATTTAGAAGGCGATTGGGCCGGATCCGGCCCCTGGGCCTTAGTTTGCCTACCCATGGGCTAGTCCGACGCTCTAACCATGCTGGCTCCCAAAAACTCACTGGGAATTCCTCAATAGTTAACCGGGACTTGAACCTGGCACACTCTAGACCATGCCTTCTCCGTTTTCGAGAATGCTGGTTTTTCTACCAGTGCATGTCAGAATAGGCTGTTTTCCCCACACTGGTATAAAAATAATAACCGTTTTTATTATTATTTACATCTGGCCAGGGAACTTTTAATTCCAATTAACAGATAATCCCTTCATAGTTCCTTCCATTTATAGGGGTTTCTCTTCTCCTTTGGGGATGGTGCTAGAGCATTTGGAAGGGGGGGGAATCCCCCCTCCCCACTTTTATCCCTACCTGCTGTGCAACCCCCATTTAACCTACCCCTGTGCAAACTCTTCTTTCCCAGTATTCTGATGGTGGTATATTTGCAGAGGGGATCTCCTCCACTCCCCACCCAAAAAACCGCTGGGCTCCATATATGCTTATTCCACCCCCTCCCCCGCCTTTTAGGGTGGTGTTTGGCAGACCTCGCAGAAACAGTGAAACACCCCCGAAAACAGGCCCCTGCCACGCACCTCTTGCAGGTGCTTCCCCTCTCCTCCCCAATGGCTCATGAATTTTATTTCTCATCTTTGCGCCTCCCCCACCTTTCCACAGGGCTGGCTGGGAACCTCCCCCCCCCCAAAAAAAGACAGAGGAAAAAAATGCAATTCCATTTCACTCTCTCTTGCTCTGCTTCCTCCTGGTTTTTGGTTTTTTTGCATGCATGCATGCAAACGCCGGGTTTGTTTGCGTGTTGTTGTTTTTTTGCAGGAAGCAAAAGCAACAGAAAACACAGCCAGGCCTCGCCTCGCTCCCTTCCCCCTTCTCTGTGTGTATATGTGTGTGTCTGTGCGTGTGTGTATGTGTCTCTCTTCTCCTGCTCATTTCTGTATGGCTGGCCACATTTCTCTTTCTCTCTCTCTCCCCCCCCCCAAGTGCTGAGTGTCTGAGAGCCGTTGGCTGCTCTGAACCGTTTTGGCTCCTTCCCTTAGTAACAGCTTTAACATTCTGCCTCAATTCCTCTTCCATCTAAATCACACTCACACTCACACTCACACACACAGAGAGAGATTGCTTATTATTAATATTAGTAGTATTATTACCTCCTCCTTCCTCCTCCTTCCCTGGGACTGTGATCTGTAATCTCTCCACCCCCCCTCCTCCAACAACCACCCCCCCTTTTCTTAAATCCCCACCCCCCAATACACACACACACAGACACACACACACATACACAGAGGCTCGGGATATAATTGAACACATTGCATTTTTTGGGTGGCTTTTTTGCGGTCTCTATTTTTTTTCTTTTTTTGGAGGCGGGGAAGAAGGGGGGGGCGCGCCCGGAGCTGCTCCTGCAACTGCAGACCCGTCTTTTTTTTTTTTTTGTTCCTACATGCCTTACCTAAATATATATTTGTATTAAAAGCCAAGGGGGAAACTGCATTTCCACATCTCTCTCTATGTTTTTTTTCCTCTCCCTCTTCTGCCTCCATTGCAAAAGGAGGGGGTGAGAACGAGCTTTAACGGAGAGCCATCAATTTGCAAGGTAAGGAGAGAGTGGTTTTGTTGTGTGTTTTTTTTGCGCGTGTGTTTTAATCTTTGCTGCTTTAAATGTACCCTTTGCAAAAGCAGAATATCTGGGGCGGTGCGCCGTGGGGAGGGGGGGTTGGTTGGTTGGTGGAAGCAAAGCCTCGCATAAAGTAAATGCAAAAGCCTTATTATGCCCGGGTGGGGGTTGGGGGGCTTGGAGAGAAGGATTTGAAAGGGGGGGCGTGTTGAGACCAGAGGCTGGGGGTGGGGTGGGGGGAAGGGCGCCTGTGTTTGTAGAGAGTTGGAGGAGGGAGAGTGGGGGATGGGCAGGAGTGTAACATGCATTTTTCAACTTGGCCCTCTCGCTTCCCTCCCCCCACAACCCCACTGGGAAACCTGGGTCTTTTAACTTTAAATATTTCTTTCCCCCCTCGCGTCTCTCTCCCCCCCATGGCTGGGGGCGCAAAGTGTTGATTCGCCTCGTTTTGAAAGCACAAGGTTGGGTTGGGTGGGGGTGGGGGCGCAGGAAAAGGAAAGAAATAAAATAAAAAAGAACCAGGAAGGGATTTGCACACAAATAAATGCAAGCCAGCAGCCATTATGAAGCAAGCTGGTTTTATAGCCTATTTTTAGACCGATTTCCCCCCCTTTTTTTTTTTGCAAAGCTGAAGAGTTGATGATTTCCGTGCATTTCTTTACTGCTCGAAGAAGACGCACGCCTTTTGTATAATACAAAGATCGGAAGTGTGGTTTATGTTTATTATTACTATTATTAAAATAAAATGCAAAAAAGGTCAGTGGGGATTTGGGTTTGCTGGAAAGCGGGCCGGGTCTGGGAGGGAGGTGAAAGTTTTCTTTGGAAAGGTTTTTGCCCCTGAAATGCCTGTTTGCAAAAGGAGAGGTTGGGGGAAGGGAAGCTGGGCTTGTAGCTGAAGCCAGGCTGAAAGCGGGGGAAGGGACTGGTGTGAAAAGAGGGCCTTGCCTGGCGCTTTGCTCTGGAGCGGCTTTGCAAGCGATGAAAAACACAAAACAGGTTCTGCCTTTTGCTTTTTGCATTTATTCCTATTGGGGGCGATTAGATTAAGGAGGGTTCTGTGCTCTGCTTCACCTGCTTTGGAAACTGGGGGAGGGGAGGTGTCTTTAAAAACTCCTCCAAAGTTGTTGTGGACAGATTTCCTGGGTTTTAAGTTCTGGGGAGATCCCTTGCATTAGTATTTTATTTTATTTGGTGGACAAAGCACATGGGTGCATCTGCTTTAATGTGTCTAAAGCCCCCCCCCCCCCGATTTGTGCATTCGGTATTTTTCACCAGTTGTTTTTTTGGAGGTCCACGTGCAAAATAGCTGCCTCAGGAAACTGGAAGAAGGCGTGTGAAGCTGGTGTTTTTTTTCTCTCCTCCTTTTACATCTTTTATTTTCTTTCCTTTGCCCAGCTTAAAAAAAGTGGGGGGGGGGAAGAGATGTGTTTCCAAGGCTACTTATTATCAGGGTGTGGTTTCGCCTTCTTTCAGCAAAGACAAAATATCCCTGTTTATTATTATTATTCCACAGCCATGGGGAGGAACGTATCAGAGAAATGTTGGGCAGCGTGGCTTGTCAAATGACTTTGGAGGTTGGGTTAGGGCAAAATACAGTACAGAAATAAAGCCAGCGACACACACACACACACACACACGTGTATAAAAGTTTAAGGAAACTCTCACAGAAGTTTTGGACAGTAGATTGGTGTGGAGAACTTTTTTATTTTGCACTGTGTCCCTGAGTTTTGCCTACTGGGCTTGCTGACTCTCTTGCACGTGCTTTTACTTCCTCAATTTTTTCCACCCTTGTGTAAAGGAAGTTATAGCTGATTTATATAAGGCACCACACAATTCTCATTTTCTAGCAATATTGGGGGAGGGGAGGGAGCAGGAAGAAAAGGGGGCTTAATTATTTCCCCCCCCTTGCACCTGTGGTCTGTTGCAGTGAATATTTGAGGGTACTGTAACTCTAAATTCTATAATTTCTGGTGATTTCTAGTGTCTCCTTGAAGTTTGAAGACACCTGCACCAACCAAAGTTTAAGAAAAAGTTCAGTTTTCAAACTTAAATTTGTGTTTTCAAGCTAGGCCACGTGTCGGGGCCTTATTGGCAATTTTGGTAGAATTTTCATAAACTTAAATCTGTGCCTGTGTGAGGCTTCCTGTTGGGTTTGACTGTGACCCTCATCTCACTAGGGAGTAAACCCCATGGAACTTTGTAGGCCTTACTTCTGAGTAAACATGCACAGGAGTGCGCATTTTAGGCCAGACGTGTGTAAACAGAGGCGAGTGCGTTCTAGGAGATATCCATGGGGCTGTTGGCATGAATTTTGCGTTAACTGAGCGGTGGAGTCTGGGTAAAAGTTGGACAGGTTGCTGATTTGTTGGTGGCACTACTCATTTGAATAAAAAACCGTTTGAAGATTATTCATTCTTAAGCATATTGTGGTTTTTATAGTAGTACGGGTTTATCGTTTTATGTTTGCATTCTCTTTTATTTGTACGGCGCCTGGAGAATTTTATAGGGTGTCGCCATAAACAGAACAAATAAGTAAATAGACGTTGACAGCGTTGTCCGCTAAGAAACTTGGGAAATTTTGTCGGAATGCATGTGGTTGTAAACAAGGGGCATGTCATTCCTGAATGCTGAACAAGTATCTGGGATGCTATTCGTGTATATAGTTACGAAACGACCTGGACATTTTGGTGATGTTTGCGCATCGCATGAACCATGGTTTAACACCCACAAGTGCCACTCTGATCCTCCCTGCTTACACTGGGAGGAAACCAACCTCAATCCGTGGTTTAGTGTTGCATCCAGACCAGGAAGTGTGGTTTGTTTTGCTGCAAACAAACCAAGGTTTGCTGCTGCCTTACCAGTTAAACCAAACCAAATCCTAACTTAGGAATGCCAATTTAGGAATCTTGGCTTGTTTTTCTCTCTCCCTACACTCCTGGACTAAAGGGTGTGTGATTTCCTTGTGCTCTCTAAACTATGGTTTGTTGCTTACTGTGGCATGCGAATGAGGCCATTGGCAACTTAGATAGCTATTACTGTTAGCACTCTTTGTAATTGGGTCGTACTGTTACTTGAATTTAAAAGTGTATTTGGGGGAGGATAACATTCAGTTCATTTTCTTCCAGTGAAAGCATATTTAGGACCACCTTATTCTTCCTTTAAAAGAAAAAAGAAGGGCTCTGGAGTAATGAATTCGGTCTTGACCGACGTTTATTTTACCAGTGGGGTGTTCCGTTTGCGGAAGTGCAGGGTGATCCTATGCGTCCAGAAAGTGTGTTTTGAATATATTATAGGTGGGGCTGATGGAGTGGCTTGTTCCCACCCAGTTGACACCTGCCCCCCCCCACATAATTGGCGAATACACTCATTCTCCCCAGAGGCATAAGATCGTACATTCCCCAGGGAATGATTTCAACAAAACTTGGGACGTTAAGAGACAAGGGTTTTGAATAGCATTTTTAAAGAATTGCAGCAATTCTTTGAGATGGCCTAATGGCCATGATAACTAAGTAGAACCCCCATGCACAGAGCAGTCTACCTCTGAATGCTCGGATGCTGGGGGCATAAAACCGGGGGTGAGAGGGGAAAGTAAACGTCACATATTATTTGTTTGTGAGCATCCAGAAGGCAAATGGTCAACTACTGTTGGAAACGAAGAGTTTGACAAGAATGACCACGCTCCCATCTTGCTTACTTAACAATATTTACAGGCTGCCTTTCAACAGAAGGCAGTTCACAACAGTTAAAATAACAACAAAGCTTCCCCTGGGAAGAATAAAACATTGGAATACGATTTCTGATTTGGATAAACCGCTGTAATAACTAAATGTGGTACATATTTCCTCCTCCCCATCCATTTAGTCTGCCACTACCCCCCCCAATAATATTCAGTTTCAGGTATTGTTCATTGTTTGCCCAAGAATCCTGAGCTATGTGTGCTCTTTCCCCTTCCTAGTAACTTACGTTAGTTATAGAAGTGCAAGGTTAACGCTGTAAAAATTGAAGGCATGCATGTGATTTTTGCATCTTGGTTAGGCTCCCAGATGATTATGAAGAACACCTGGAAAGTGTTTAGTATTCTTCCCTTCTGAATGCGTAGGTATAGGAGTAAGGGAAATATTAGCGGGACGTGTTTGGGCCTTAGGTGGCTGTTCGGTTCAGAGAGGTACCTTGAGGCCTAGCACAACACGTGTGTTTGGGAAGTGGGTGCCTTAAATTATGTGGAGGAAACATACGGGGATTCTGGAACAGTTGGGTGCATTTGCTACTCATCCCAGAGTTTTAGGGCAACTTCTCAAAAGGCCAACTGTTTTACAAGGCCGTGGATTCCTCTATGTGGCGGTAATGATGAATGCCTTGTGTAGTTGCTTTGAAGTTCTAAGGCGTTGCTGTAAAACTGTAAGTGCAAAAAGCATTGTAAAACTTTGATTCTGGCTTTGTAGTTATTTCTTCAGACACCTCAGGTGGTAGCTGGTGGGGCATGTATGGCCGACTCGCAAGAATTGCTTAAAAGTTCAGAACTGTGTGTGTGTATGTGTTCGCACACGTGCTTGTTTGAGCAAGTAAAAATTGAGCATACAGAATGACTTCATTTGGCACAAGGCTGTGAAATTTTGCTCCAACATCTGGAATATGCTGCAGGGAGAAGCTGATAAGCAATGGTAACATGATGCTGTAGTCCTTGAGGGCGACATAGCTCTCAAAAAGTCCCAGCGTCTCCATGGTATAAGTGGGATTGTGTGAAGTATGTTTTAGGGTGAGACTTGAACTCTGGACCTTGTCACTCACATGAGTCAGCCATGATGCTGTGCCAGCTGTTGTAAATAGTCTTATGTAGAATGCTAGCCTGTCTTGCTTTTTACATGGAAGTAACATGGGTGGTGCTGTGGTCTGAACCACAGAGCCTAGGGCTTGCCTATCGGAAGGTCGGCGTTTCAAATCCCCGCAACGGGGTGAGCTGTTGCTCAGTCCCTGCTCCTGCCAACCTAGCAGTTCAAAAGCATGTCATAGAGTGCAAGTAGATAAATAGGTACCACTCCGGCGGGGAAGTAAACGGCATTTCCCTGCGCTGCTCTGGTTTTGCCAGAAGCGGCTTAGTCATGCTGGCCACATGACCTGGAAAAACTGTGCGGACAAACGTCAGCTCCCTCGGCCAGTAAAGCAAGATGACCGCTGCAACCCCAGAGTCGTTTGGAACTGGACTTAACTTTCTGGGGTCCTTTACCTTTTTTAAAAGTCATTTGAAACCGGTGGACATTCTGTATAAACGTGGTGAGGTCTAGGACCACTTTCTTAGATTCACAGAATCGTGGAATTGCAGAGTTGGAAGCCCCCTGCAATGCAGGAATATACATTTGTCTTGTCTTCACTCCCCATCCCCCACTGGGCGGTGTTTATTTATAATAAAGTGTCCTTAGTGTTCAGGGCTAGAGGATTACTGTGAGATACGTATATGAACACTCAAAATGCTTTTTTAAAAAAAAAGCACTAAGCATTGTTGCTAAGTTGTTTAGGAGTAGCAGGTTGGATAGCTCAGTCTGTAGAGCATGTGACTCTTAATCTCAGGGTTGTGGGTTTGAGCCCCGCACTGGGCAGAAGATTCCTGCATAGCATGGGGCTGGTTGGAATAAATGACCCTTGTGATCCCTTCCAACTCCTCCAGTTCTTGAAATATGCCCTATCTGTGTTGCTGGAATGCTCAGGAGCACAGTTACACATGGTGGGGATTTTTTTAAAGGGACGTGACTGTCCAGGTGAACCTGTTGACAATCTCCAAACCCGCTGTTGAGTCTAAGGATGTAAAACAAGAGTACAGCTGCTCTATATCAAATGTAGAGAATGGGTATTTTGTGCACAGCAGGAGTGTTATAATAACATGCTTCTCAACGAGCTCCTGAGATCAGTGTATAATACAACCTCCATGAACCAGCTAGTCTCTGTATGTGCAGAATCTTTCCCTGTAGCACCTATAAAATGGGTTAGAAGCTCCAGTTAGTACACAAGCCAATTACCCGTTTACTTGCTTATCTGTTCGGCTTCCTCTTAGGTGCTGGAGTCAACTGTGTTTTCCTCTTGAGACCCTATTTTTGGCTAATGTGCTTTTTGTGGTGCTCTGAGCGTGGTCTTCTCAGTTGTGGCACCACAGCTATAGGACACCTTCTCCAAGAACACCTGCCACACCCCTTCTCTTTCATCTTCTTGCTCCAGTTAAGTGTTGGTCTAAAAACACTGCTTTCCAGTGTTGCAGCACCTTAGTATTTGTTGGATTAAGAAAAAATGTAATTGGATTTACAATTGAAAACAATTATTGCACATCATTTGTCTGCTTGCAGAAAGATGATTCATAAATGTTACCTAATACTGAAATACATATTTTAATTGCCTGAATGTGAATAAACTTAGTATGTAGCGGCCGTAAATGGTCCTCGTGAAGCAGGTGGAAGAATTAGTCTTTAACTTTTACCTCCTCTTCTGAAAGAGCCACATCTTATTTATGTAAAACATTTATATCGTACTTTTTTTAAAAAAAACCAAAAATAAATTCAGAGTGGCTTACATCTATTGCCGACCTTACAATAAATAAATGTGATATAGCACAGCAAAAAACAACAACCTGTAATGGAGATAAACATCATGAACATTTCAATGCCAAGTGAGCAATAAATTACAAAACTTCCAGAGCAATCATGTCTTTGCTAGATGTCGGCTGTTGCGGAGGAATACAAAGGCATAGGTCAGCTTCCCCCAATTCTTCCAGCTATTTTGGACTACAATTCCCATCAGCCATCACTGACCGGACTGGGCTGATGGGTGTTGTAGTCCGAAATGGATGGAGGGCACCAAGTTAAGGAAGACTCAGCAAAGTTTTGAATTGCGTACCTCCTAAAGTAGAAGGCACTTGTGACAGTTTTTCTGCATGGAGCATCTCTTCCCTGTAAAAGAAGAAAATAGAAAACCCAGTGATACCTGCTTAGGGTCATGTGTGAAGCGGTTTTCATGTAATGACTGAGGAACACTTGTGGAATTTTTTTAATGTTCCTGTGAAGTAGGGGCATCCTTACAATTTGACTACATAACTGTGCGCAGATTAGTGTCTTTCAGAAACTTGAGAGTGGCAGGATGCAACCAGCTTTGCCCATATTTATTCCCCCTGCTCTGGGGCTTTGTTGTACTTCAGAACCTGGTACAGTGGTACCTCGGGTTAAGTACTTAATTCGTTCCGGAGGTCCGTTCTTAACCTGAAACTGTTGTTAACCTGAAGCACCACTTTACCTAACGGGGCCCGCTGCGCCGCTGCTGCGCAATTTCTGTTCTATCCTGAAGCAACGTTCTTAACCCGAGGTACTATTTCTGGGTTAGTGGAGTCTGTAACCTGAAGCGTATGTAACCTGAGGTACCACTGTATTCCTCCTGAATATTTCTGCTCCTCGGTGTGTTGACTGACGATTCGGATGTGTGGTAAAGCACTGCTTTGATGTTGATTTTGCTCTTAGCAGACCATTTGTCCATCTAGCCTGGCACTTTCTCTGTTTTGATTGGCAGCAGCTCTCCCGAATCTCTGGGAGAGCGGCATTTCACATCACCTGCTCTCTGATCCTCTTAACTGGTGATGCCAGGGATCGAACGCGGGAACTTCTGAATATAAAGCATTCTCTCCGTTGCTGAGCTGTGGTCCATTCCCGTCAAGAAGGCTACAGAGCATCTTGCTATTTCAGCAGAACCTGGTGTTGAACAAGGTGGTTTGTTTTTACTTAAATGTTAGGGAAATTCCCTGGCGGTCCTCGTTCAACAGTAGAACAGATTGCCTTGGTAAGCGTGGCCTTTAATCTATCTACTGGGGTTTCTAAACAGAGGCTGGACAGTCAGCTATTGGGGATGCTGTGGTCTGTGAATTCCTGCATTGGCAGGATGTTGTGTTGTGTTGCGTGACCTTCCAACGCTTGGATTATGTGAGATTCATGCTTGGAAGACCTGCCACAGAGTGTGGAGATGGCTGCTAGCTTAGATGGCTTTAAATCCGAATTGGAGAAATTTGTCTGCCCATTTTTCTTTCAAAATATGGCATGTCTCTCTGATTGTACAAATCTTGGACTCAAGAGATTTGTTTTGTTGTAATGCTGGCTTGCAACTCGTTTGTGGTGTTGAATTCTAGGCCTAATTAGTCTGTGTCACCTCAAATTCCTCACCACCAGTATCTGTTTTGTGTTGACCAGTGTCACATTCTTCAGTGTCATCTATTTATAGCACTGAATAAATATTTCAAATTCCTAGGGCCTGGCATTAAATTTGTAGGTTGATGAATGAGGAGGCCTGATTATTTTAGTGGACATTATAACCGGGAGGAATACACTTAAAGGAGTAACAGTGTTAATAAGTCCAATAAGCGGACATAATTGTTAGGCGTACTGTTTGGCTAAGTTTTAGTGAGTGTAGACCCGTTTGCAGTTCATGAACACGACTAAGTTAAATCCACTAACTTCTTCGGATCTGCTCTGGGTAAATGGTAGCTGAAGACCATGTATTTGAGGGAAAACAAACCTTCTCGCTACTCACTTTCCTAACACCCATCGCCTGCTCTTAACTTCAAATGACGGTTCATATTAACAGCATCTGCTGTTGTGAGAAAGGTTTCGTTTGTTCCCTCTGTTCCTTCCAGAACTTTTTCTCGAGCACCAGCAAGTTGGCGGCCACCTCACCCCTTCTGTCAGTGTGAGGCATTGATGATGTACTGAGGATAATGTGAGTCCAGTTCTTTTTAAGGATGGTTCGGTGGTTCTCAATGCTTAATTATTTTTTTTAGGGGTTGTCACTGCATCTAGCTTTGAACGGATGTTTAGGGACCGTCTTTCACTCTGTAATCATAATCTATAATCATAAAGTTCATTGGGGTCTTGTAGGCAGTGCTAGCAATTTGAATATACAAGCTAGGCACCAAATGGCTCTTTGAACCAGGGTTACAGTCGCCAAAACGGAATCCCTAATTGCCCCTTTCGGGCCAGGCGGCTCGAAAGTCGTATTTTTGAAGTCGACTTTTGGGTTCCTGAAATCTGTTCTGATTGTGCTGATAAAATCTAACGCGTAGAATTCTACAGGACGTGTTGCTGGTGTGTGAAAACAGTCAAGATCCAAGGATTCCCAGGCATGCGCCTCTAGATGGTGGAGACGTCCGGCACCATCTTGGCGCCTGAGCGTCATCACTTGGTTGCAAGTGGCCGATATCCAGGTGTAAAATGCACCTGGCGAATTCTGAGCGCTGCTTGTTTCCCATCCAAGTTCTCAGAGCTGCGTACGGAACCGGAATGTCAGAGCAGCCAACAGTATAGACATCTTCATGCTGAAGGTCCCAGGTTCAGTCCTCAGCATCTCCATGTAGGGCTAGGAAAAACCCCTTCCTGAAGCCCTGTGTTCACAGTCGTTTTGGGTGGCCTATATTGGGCAGGGTGTGGGTCTATCCTCTTGGAGTTCTACTCTGGCCTCTGAAAGCCAGCTTGCTCTAAAAGGTATTGGCAGCACGTCCAAAAGATGTCCTAGCCATCGTTCTCCAGACGAAGGGCCCCCACCGAGCAGCGAGGCGCCCCAGTCTCCCGGTCTGCCCTTGCTCTCAGAAATGGCGCATGGATGGAATGTTCCAAGAGGATGCTTTGTTGCTCTGAGAGATGATAAAAGCACAAAAGGAGTTTTTTCCTTCCTCTCTTTCCTCCCTTTGTCTTGATTTCTATTTTGCAGGCCTGAGGGCAAGGCACGTCTTGTTTTCATTTACGTGGTGCTCACCAGAAACATCGTGTATTCAGTTTTAATTGGTGTGAGACACTTTGGGATACAGATTTTTTTCCTTTTTTTAATTGTCAGAAAAGCTGGGTACAAGTACAATAAATACGTCTGACGTCTTGGGCATTTGGCAGTTTAAGGCCTTATTAGTCAAAAAGTGTCAGCAAGTTCTGTTGTGCCCAGAAGGCAGGCGGCATGGATGCTGCCACCAGGACTTTTCCTGTCCCCAAGCGGCTCTGCCACACACGGTCCAAGGTGAGCGTCCTGATTATTTGCAATGCTGCACGAGATCCTGGAGTCCAACACTCCGATTTCGCGGACTCCCACTTATTATTTATTTGTTAGATTTATATACTACTCTTCATCATAAGGTTTCAGGGCGGTTCACAGAATAAAATACAGGATAAATAGAAGTAAATAAGTAAATCAAAGCAGCAAAGCAATAACCTCTCTTTCCCACAGGCACATTTAAAAGGCTGTAGAATCTCAATCAGCCAAAGGCCTAGTTGAACAGGAATGCTTTTGCCTGGCACCTAAAAATATGCAATGAAGGCACCAGGCGAGCCTCCCTGGGGAGAGCATTCCACAGACAGGGAGCCACCGCAGAGAAGGCCCCGTTCTTGTGTTGCCACCCTCTGGACCTCTCGAGGAGGAGGCACACGAAGAAGGGCCTTAGATGATGAACACAGAGTCCAGGTCGGTTCATATGGGGAGAGGCAGTCCTTGAGGTATTGTGGTCCTGAGCCATTTAAGGATTCACAGGTCAAAACCAGCACTTTTAATTGGGCACGGAAACTAATTGGCAACCGGTGCAGTCAGGTCAGGGTCAGTGTAGTATGCTCAAACCCATGAAATGGTGCTGATCCCAGCAGCCCCTTGAATTGTCTTGGTTCATGTTTATCTGATGTTCATTCATCCCCCTCCCTACCTCACTCACCTTTGGGTTTTTGGGGTGGGGTGGGGAGGTTGATTACTTCATTCTGCACCAGCTAAAGCGTTAATTCTAAGGTGGCAATGTTATAAAATCAGATCTAGAAGGTAATCGCCAAATGGCACCTTAAACCTAGGTTGCAGTCGCCACAACGGAATGTCTAGGTGCCTTTTTTGCAGTGGGCTTTTATTATTACTATTATTATTATTATTATTTATTATTATTATTATCATCAGTTTTATACAGCGTTATATTTTAAGGGGGGGAATCTCAGAGCGGTTTACAACACGTTTAAGCATCAAATAAAACAACTCAGAATAAAAGAATTCAAGCGTCAGGCAAAATATTTCAGATCCTACTCTGACATTTTCTTCCTCCATACAGAGGTGCTCTAGGGAGCCAGTGTGGTATAATGGTGAGAGTGTCGGACTAGAACCTGGGAGATCGGGGTTCAGATCTCCACTCAGTCACTGGGCGACCTTGGAGTCAATCACAGCCTCTTAACCTACGTCACAGGGTCATTGTCGGGATTAACTGAGGAGGGGGTTCTACCATGTACTCCTTGGGAAAAAAGGTGAGATATAATGCTCTTCTGCTTACCTGCTTGAGAGAGCTGGAGGGGCCAGCCAGATGGAGATGTCAGTTGCCAATCGGGCAACCAGAGATCTCGACGCGGTCACAAAACGTGCTTCGCTCCTGAGGAAATGCAAACACTCTTAGGTGGTATGGGTTTTCTGGAATTTTGTTTTTGCATTGGAACCTTTTCCTATGCAAATCAGGGTAATACGTATCAGAAATCTTCAAAAATGGTATTGGAAAAGTTTCTGAGGCCTTAGTGTTATCGAACTTGGCGTACTTATTTTGATTTTCGGCAAAGCTGAAAACATTGAAACTGCAGAACTTGCCCAACGCTTATTTGCAGTTGGTGTCCATTCATTGTTGCAAATGAACTTAATATTTTTCTTTGCCGCCGGAAAATAAAGCAGCGTTCAAAATTCGCTAGGTGCAAGGAGCTAAGGGCCAGTTGCGACCAAGTGAAGATGCCCAGGCGCCAAGATGGAGCCTGAAGTCTCCACCACCTGAAGGTTCATGCCTGGGGGAATCCTCGGATCTTGACTATTTCCACACACTAGCAACACATCCTATAGAATTCTATCCTTTATATTTTATCTGCACAGTCAGAACGAATTTCAGGGATCAAAATGTCGAGTTCAAAAATGCGACTTTCGAACCGCCTGGTCCGAAAATGGCAACTAGGCATTTTTGTTTTGGCGACTGTAACCCCTGGTTTAAGGAGCCATTTGGTGCCTAGCTTATATATATTGAGTTTCTACCACTGAAATGAATCACTGGAAATTGTTCTGTTTGACATCGCTGCCGTTCTCTAAGGGAAGCCACCTGTAGTGTGCTCTACAGAAGTATTGCGTAGAGGTTATGAAAGCGTGCATTGACATGAAGTGCATTCCATGAACGACTTGGAACTACATAGAAGCATTATCCCAGTAGGGTTTCCGGTTTCCAGTAGCAGCCTTTTTTTGCTAAATATCGCGTGGCATTGGAAGAGTCAGCAACTTCTGCAGAGCACCTTGGTGGAAGCTAGTGCTGTGTCGATAGCATCTAAGGAATGGATTGAGGTGAATTCAGTGAAAAATCTATTTAAGTCCAACCCAGCCTGGAAAACGAAGCGGCTAAAAAAATATTTCATACTAGAAAGAAGCATCCGTCCGACCCATGTATTCTGATTAAGGCACGGTGGGATTTAGCCATTGCTGGCAAAAAGATTGGGAGATGAAAAATTAGTGCAGACGAGGAGGTGATTGACAGCACGCAAATAAAAGAGAAGCAGCGTGAATTTCCAAGGCTGGAGGAGAAATTCATTTGGCCCATATTTTAAAGCATGCTGGCCTAATTCTCTGTCCTTGAGTTATATGAAGATTGGATCACGGCTATACATTGGATTATGTATTTCTCTGATTTTTGCAGGGGTTTTGGTTCAAGCGATAAACAAAAATTGCGTATTTTGCAGAAAAAAGCATTGAAAAGCATACAGAAATGTATTTGAGGGGGTAAACGCGTACAATAATAAAATAAAATAAAATAAAATAAAATAAAATAAAAGTGGGGCAGAACAGTTGTATGACTGAGTGCATGCGAAATGGGCACAGAATTAGGAAACAGGCCAATTTGCCCATCTCTTAACTTATACAGATTGTAGGTTCTTTTGAAATTGTAGGTGCATTTTCGAATCCTAAGGCTACAATATCGGCTTATGTTTGCGTGTCTCTTTTGCACTGTTTCACACAGAATGTGACCTTTTTTTAATGTTGAAAGATGGAAGTTGGAGGCATGCAAAGAAAAGGGAAAAAAAAGAAGAAACCTACATTATATTTCACCTCTCATTATTTCTAGGTCCATGCATTCCTTGCTCCCTGAATGATTTTGAGAGTAAGTTTCCAAGTAAGGGTGGTGTAGTAGTTTATCCAGCTGAATTCATGAGAAATACGTGCAGGTAGCATTGAAATGTATTGCAGAAGCCTTTGGGGGGAGATTGGTTATGGAAGCGAGAAACGTTAATAAGATGTAAAATATGCAAGGTAGCTATCACTGTCCAGTCATTCTTCATATCTTGTGCTGTTAAATTTAGTCCAGGATTACAGCTTTGGCCTCTGGTTGAGTGCCCAGCTTTGCAGATTTGAGTTCCTGTTGCCCCAGATAGATCTGGCGGCTGTGGTGCAAGAGGATACTGGACTAGATAGGTCTTTGAAGCTGCAGGGCTGTTCTGATGGAAATGGCTGGTGAAACTGCTGCTGTCATGCGGATGCACAGCTTGAGGGGGTATCGAGATCAGAGGACAAGCTTTTCTACAGCTTAAAGAAGAAGCTTCTGTAGACCTTTCTATTGAGGAGTGATGATGGCCAACCTGGGTGGAGTTGCTGCCCAGGGCAGCCCTCCAGACGTTGTTGGACTGTAGTTCCCATCAGGATATATTGTCCAAAGCTGGTTTGAAGTCCATATCATGCTATTGGTTTCATAACTTTTGACCTGGCAATAGATGGCGAATGTGCGTTAGGGCTCGCAGAACCAGTGGTCAGGTGTGATGGTTGCTGTAGTCCAGCAACAGCTGGGGACCCGAGTTTGAGATCCTCCTGAGTTACGGCATCTGTTGAGTGGGGACACTTAGCTCGACCGTTCAGCTGCTTAAGCAATTTTTATTTTTATTCTAATTAAACCCAGCGATTATCCAAACAGTGTTCTTCCCCCCCTCCCCCCTTTCTTTTTCTTTTTGTTATTTTGGTAAAGCTTGAGAGGTTATTGTAGTAAGTGAGCAGTCGGCATCTGCTCCCTAAATGCTCTTTGATGAACTTTTGTTCAAACTGCAAATCTTTCCAGGAAGTCGTGCTTGCAAAAGAATACCCCACAGCTCTGCGGCTTGACATTTTGCATTTAATCTGTTGTGATTTTCCTCCTCCATTTTGCAGCTGAGCGAACTTGGCTATGATAGATGTCTAGCAGTAAGGTGCGGGCCATACCTTCCTGCTCCTTTCTAAATAAAATGTACGCATGTGTAAAATCAGTCTGGAGAAAACCCTCCAGCTTCCGTGAGGGGGACGGGGAAGGGTAGAGTGAAACTGCCGGTTACCTTGCAAGATGCATGTTTGATAGTTGATGGCAAAGCGGTGATAGCCCCTTTCTCCAACTGAGTTGGTTTGTAGGGGAAATTGGTTGGCAAGTGAAAGCTTAATCTTGATTCTTTATGTGCAAATACCCTTTGCTGTAGGAATGTTATGAGCAACCCCTTTTTTTGTGGCTTGCAACATACGTAGTTCTGGTTTTGGCATTTTACTGCAGGTAGCTGGAGCTGCGATGCGAAAACTTGATGGTTGTGTTTCTGGAGCTACACATTCGGCCGGGGGTAGGCAACGTGGCACCTTCCAGATGTTGGAATGCAACTCCCATCGCCCCTGGCCATTGGCCTTGTTGGCTGGTGGGAGTTGCAGTCCAACAGCATTTGGAGGCCGCCATGTTGGTTTTCTCTGAGTTAGACTTTCTGTAATTCCTTCTGCAGCTGCTTTGACTGCGGGTGCTAATGTTGCTTTCAGCATGTCGCTGTGGGTTCCCTTGTGGGTTTTTCCTTTTTTAATTTCTTACTTTCCTCCCATCTTTTTTAATTTCTCACTTTCCTCCCCACCCTCAAGAAACTCAGGATACCAACAAGACAGGCAAAGACCGGGCCAGCTTAGCCTAGCGGTTACTTCGACTCTACATTTGCAGAATCACTAATTGCTTAATGGCAGTTCGATACTCCGTGGGCGCTGTCTGGCTTTATTTAAAACAAAAACAAAAACAGGCAAAGACCGAGTACCCGAATATAAGCCACACTTTTAAAATGGGGGGGCGGGGGCGGAAAGAATTTTTTTAAAAAAATACCCGAATATAAGCCGTTCCGTTCCTTGCTGCTCCTGGCTGCATACTAGGGGGTGGGGAGCGGCGCTGTGTTGCCGGCGGCCTTTCCCCTTCCTCGCTCTCTCCCTTCCCAGCCTTGGGGGAGGGGATGGGGGACTATGCATGGGGCGGGCCATCGTTCTACCCGGACACTGAGGTCCAGCGCCGAGGGCCTTCTGGTGGTTCCCTCACTGCGAGAAGCCAAGTTACAGGGAACCAGGCAGAGGGCCTTCTTGGTAGTGGCACCCGCCCTGTGGAACGCCCTCCCACCAGATGTCAAAGAGAACAACAACTACCAGACTTTTATAAGACATCTGAAGGCAGCCCTGTTTAGGGAAGCTTTTAATGTTTGATGTATTACGGTATTTTAATGTTTTGTTTAAAGCCGCCCAGAGTGGCTGGGGAAGCCCAGCCAGATGGGCAGGGTATAAATAATAAATATTATTATTATTATTATTAGCCGCTCTCGTGGTGCTGTTTGCCCTACGCTCCTGGCTGCGTACCGTAAGGTTGCGAATATAAGCCACACATGAACTTTTCACAGTTGGAATTTGGGAAAAAGGGGAGGCTTATATCAGGCCAATTGAATCAAGGTCACCCAGGTAGCTTTATGCAAAAGTGGGGGTTTGAAGTGGGTCCCCCAGGTCCATTATTCTTATCCCAGCCCTAAATATGGTTTTGACTATAACTCCCATCACCCCTGCCCATTGATCTTTCTGGCTGGGGCTGATAGGATTTGTATTTTAACAACACGCACAACGCGCCAAGCTCCAGCCAGTTCAACACACCGTTTAATCTGTTTTTGTTTTTATTTTTATTATATATTTTACGTTTTTATGTTGTGACTTTATCTTGTGAACCATCCTGAGGCCTGCGGGTATAGAGCGGTATACAGATTTAATAAATAGAACAACATGAACAACAACATCACACTGTTTCCTCATACTTTCCTTTGGTATAAAACCCTAATATGAAAACTGCTTTGCGTCCGACAGCTGGGAGAGTGTAGAAATAAAAATGGATTCTGTTTGTTGACTGAGGCGGACAGCCAGGTAGCAAACGTGTACGGCCAGTCCTCGAGGGCTACCTAAACTTCTCCAGCTTGGTGTTATCCAGATGTTGCTGGATTGCATCCTCCATCGCTCTCCAAGAGCCTGGCCAGTGGGCAGCGATGATGGGAATTGTAGCTCCAAACATCTGGAGGACATCCGATTCTGGAAGGCTGCTTTCAGGAACATCTCGGCTGGAGAGCAGATAGCACAAGATATGTGGCCAAAACATAACTGCTCAGTCCCAGCGGCGTAGCGTGGGTTGTCAGCACCCGGGGCAAGGCAAGTAATTTGCGCCCCCTAACCCCTAACCTGCCACCGCTGCCAGCTTCTTCTTGCTGCTGCCTGGGCTGGTCTGGTGTGGTCCTCTCCCGCGCTCAGTGCTGCGCTGGGCGGCCGCTGCACTGTCCCTCCCCCAGATAGTCCCTCGCTCTCTCTCCGCACCGCACGCCTGGCACCCACCCCCTCCACAGTGGGCGGCGACCCAGCGGCTCGGATCGGATTCGCACAGCCAGCACTGCAGTGAGAAAGAGTGAGTGAGCCAGGTAGGGGCAGAGAGCTGCGAGTGCGAGCACCCCCCCATGTTGCGCCCGGTGCAGCCGGCCCCCCCTGCACCCCCCACGCTACGCCACTGCTCAGTCCTGGTAGTTGAATGTAGCCTGTCTTCCCTGTAATTGCCAGATGTTAGAAAGCTCAGCGGCCTGTTTTGTGGACATGAAGTTAGGGTATGTGGGCAGGATTCAGTGAGTAAGTCCCACTAGCAGTAGCTCATGGAAAGACTTCTGCTAGTGCAACCCCCAGAACAGCCACCCAGAGTGTACAAATATAACAACAACAACAATTAAAACAATGTGCGGCCATAGCACTATGTGGATTCCTCCCGACGCTGGTTCTCAACTTTGCATGCATAACAAGAGCTAATGATTGGCTCTTTGATTACATTCAGGTTTTAACTCCAAATTTGGTGGTAGATTCACTTTGTGTATAAAGAGGAAGAGGTAACAACCAGAAATCCCCTCTTTCAGTTTTAGATAGGCAGTGAACTTGGTGACTGACTACTCACTCACTCCTTCCCTTTGTTTTACGTGGTTAGTGTTGTCCTGCCTGTGGGGATAATGTGTATGAAATGCGATGAGAACTCAACAGGAAAGCATGATATACATAGCTAAGCGTTTATTCTTTCCTTCTTCTATTTTGCTTTTATTACTCGTGAGTGGAGGCTTATGGTTTTGGAGCAGACTTCTCCAGCTCTGGAGGAAGGGACCCTACCTTCACAAAGTTGATCCCTTCTCTTCCAGTAACGCCGTTGCGGTTATGTGATCTTCTGCTTGCTCAGGCATGAAGATCGCTCAACCTGCCATGTCCTAGGGGAACAAAACAAAACCTTGGGTCATACTCTGGCCGTGGTGAGCTTGAGCATATTTCAAATTGTTTCTAGCGTGCCAATGGCCCTCACAATCTGAAGAGTTGGATGCTTCTTCTGCCCATGATTTGCGTGTTTCTGAGACCCAGTTCCCACGTAATGCTAAGCCACGCCATGGCTTCTTGCATGCATGAGGGTTCCTGAAAAGGAGATCATGGCCGCAGAGCTCCTCTCAGGTTCTCCTGGTGCCACCTTGCCCTGGGCTAAGACATGGTTCCACTACTACATCAAACCCGGCTTGTGGTTTGCCTCAGTCCAGAGAAACCACAAGCTGCGGCCAAGATTTGGTTCTTAATCAAAGTGACTACCGGCAAGTTTTTAGTTCTTAAGTATTTATTTCCCGAGCAAGCACGCATGCCCATTGACTACTACGGCAATTAAATCATATCTGTTTGCAATTAAACAATATATATGTCGGGTCATTTTGCAACCCCATCTCCATACTTCCAAACCAATTCCTTTGGTGCTTCCGGAGGGGTAAGGATCCTGTGTCTATCCGGATGTTGTTGGGCTCCACTTCCCATCAGGCCCAGACAGCGTGACCCAATGGTCAAGGATGATGGGTGTTGGTGCTCTCCACGTGGCACCAAAACTACAGGTTCTCTAAACAGTTGAATTTGTAATTCCTTGAGAACTTGTGGAATTGAGGAATTTTCTTTGCCTCCCTATGCGTATGCAAGGTGACACCACAATGTTTGTTCAAGGTTATTTATTTGAACACCAAGTGTCCAGAACTTTCTAGAAGTTAGTGATGCTTATTGGGCAGGACGGTGTTTTGCCCTGGTATAGGAAGTAAGTGCCCGTGCTACATCAAATCTAAGTGATACACATTCGCACAATAATCAATACTCACTATCATCTGTATCTAGCAACCATCTATCTATCTATCTATTTATCTATCTATCTATCACCTGCCCCTAATTTATTCCTTTAAATAGAATAGCAGGGTTTATTTTGATGGCTCAGTTTGGGTAATTTTCCAGCCATGGTTTAGAGAGTCAGGAGTTTACAATGTTGTATGCTTATATTTTCCCCTCTTAGATGCTGATCCATTCTGGTTTGTTCTAAGCACTCTTCTTTTCTTCCTCTTCTTCTCCTCCTCCTCCAAAAAAAGATTATTTAATCAGCTCAAAGGTGCTTATGGAATGAACAGTAGTAAAAAAAGATCAGAAGATTATGTGAATGTGCACACATAGTGTATTATTAATAATAGCCTACTTCACAAGAAAATGAAATTTGCATTGCTGGGATATCGGGGTTAGAGAAACTGTGGTTAGTGCTAACCTCTAAACTATTGCAAACCTATTTCAAATTCTTGCATACTCATGCAGTGGTGCATTCCAAACCTGCAAAACTGTGGTTAGGAGAATCTTAATGTCCTAATGTGACTATTTTGTTTGTATTTGCGGCATGCATTTTTGTGTTTTTATATTGTAAACCGCCCTGTGATCTTCCGATGAAGAACGGTGGAGCAGTTTAATTAATAAGAAAAGCAAGTTATATTTAAGGGGCATGTAACACAGCCATATATTGAAGAAACGTATTAAGTACAGAAAGTAAGAAGTCCAATTAAAAACACACACAACACTTCCTCACCCTGAGTGAGTGCTTTTACTGGCTATACATTGATTTACAGTGGAAATCTAGCCTGTGGACTGTTTGGCGACCCCATAGTAAGAAATACGGGAGTCTCTCTTCAGAGAACGGCGCGACTTCAACACATTTAATTATGTTGCAGAGCCTTTAAGGAAAAGCTAGGCTGTGTTCCAAGCCATCGGGCAGGAGAAGGATCGGTTGCTTGAGCTCACAAACTGCTGAAAAGTGCTTTGAGTTCTGTTCCAGAGCATTACAAGGGACGCTGCTTTAGTGTCTACCAACCGTGGAAGCAGCAAGAAGCCTGTTAATGGCACTTGCAGCCTGACAGGAGCACAGCTAGGTGCATGTTGGGGTGTGTGTTTGTGGGACACACACCCATCACCCGAATATGATTATGCAGATATCTCTCTTGACTGCAAATTTAGACCTCTGAGCAAATGAATACGGTGGGAATCTGGGGTCTTGATGCTCTGTAAGCTAAGTATAATATAATAAAAAAATATTGTACAAAATGGGGAGGGGGCAGGAACCCTAGGGCTTGGACCATCCTCTGGAAATGACCGCTGTGGCCTAATTCTAGGCAAGCTTACTCAGAAGTACCGTATTTTTCAGTGTATAAGATGCCCCCCCATGTATAAGATGCCCCCTATTTTTGGGGACTCCAAATTAAGAAAACACCCCTCAGCACTGCCCGTGTATAAGACGAGCCCCAATTTTAAATCTAAGTTTTTGGTTAAAAAACCTAGTCTTATACCCGGAAAAATACGGTAACTGTTCAGTTGGGACCTGCTTTCCAGAAAATCTACATAGAACCACAGCCTCTGGTCACATCCTTACTGTATATCAAAAGCTCATGGCTTCTGCCACAAGCAATTCTGGGAGCTGCAGCCGAGCCCTCACAGAGCTACAATTCCCAGCACCTTTAAACTGCAGTTCCCATGATCCTTGAAGGGAGGCCATGCGCTTTGAAAGTATGCTGTGGTTGTGCGGTGATTTGCCCAGCCGTTCTTAACCGTTAATCTGCTGCCACCCGTCAAGTTTTTCTCCAAGCCCGCGAGTAAAAAATTAGGACACTATGCAAAAGCTTTGTTCTGATTTTCAGGTAAATTAATAATATGTGTTGGTAGGTACCTTGAGCCTCAGTCCTCTGTGATACTGTGAAATGGCCACTTTTCTTACCTATTTGATCCATTTGTGTGCTGCTTTGGAACGTAAAGGTCTCGGGCCGCTTGTGATAAAAATGAAAAGCACAGTGGTGCCTCGCAAGACGAAATTAATTCGTTCCGCGAGTTTTTTCGTCTTGCGGTTTTTTCCGTCTTGCGAAGCACGGTGTCGGAAAAGTTTTGGAAAAGCTTCAAAAATCACAAAAGTCTTCAAAAACCTCCAAAAAGGCTACCACACCGCGTGCTATGAGTTGCTCCTCGAAGTCAAGTCGCAACTGTATTAACGGTTTTAAGAAAAGGAAACAAACTTGCAAGACGTTTCCGTCTTGCGAAGCAAGCCCATAGGGAAAATCGTCTTGCGAAGCAACTCAAAAAACCAAAAACCCTTTCGTTTTGCGAGTTTTCCGTCTTGCGAGGCATTCGTCTTGCGAGGTACCACTGCAGTTTAAATTCGAAATAGGACATGCCGTTCAAAACTCCGTAAAATCCAACCAGAGCAAAAGTCGCTGCACCTCTGCAAAGTTCAGAGCCCAAGCGTTGGAAACGGAGAAGCTCAGACGACATAAGTTATTTAAAAGACCTGGGTGAACAGAAAGGTCTTCACCTGGCCAGGAGATGATGCAGCAGTCCTGAGGCTACACTCGACTAAAAGAGCAAGGGAGAAATGACCAGAGTAGATTCTCTGTGTGGTTGGCATATTATGCTTCATTCTGCTTTGCCTCAAACAGGGAAGGGGCATGCTTCTCTGTTTGCTTTTTGCTGCGCATTGCTTTTTGAGGGCCCGGCGCAGAAATGCGCCATTTTTATCCTCCGAGCGTCGCAAGTGGTGTGCAACTCCCCTCCACTGTCCTTCAGAAGCTGTTTGCAAGGTGGGAAAACAGGTTGCCGCAAATCCCAAATAAGCAAAGAATAGACCTGCAGAAATGCATGGACCTAACCCAGTCGCGTTCATTTGCCGCACTGAGCAGAACTTAGCCGAGCACCAGCCCAAATATCCCCCATTTGCTCCACCTCAAAATTCTGGATGCTCCCTGCAAATGTCTGTATATTACTGGGATTGGCTCTACCATTGGGCAGAGTGAAGCAGCTGCCTCCAGACAGCAGAGGCTGAGAGGCAGCAGGAAGTCGGAGCTGTGTGCGCCTTGCGGCCTGTCTGGCATCCTCCCCTGCTGCCCTCAGGTGTAGTGGAGGATGCTGAGGTCAGGTTTAGGGAACGGGGAAGGTACCATCGTGTCCATGGGTAGGCAAACTAAGGCCCGGGGGCCGGATCTGGCCCAATCGCCTTCTCAATCCGGCCCGTGGACGGTCTGGGATTCAGCGTGTTTTTACATGAGTAGAACGTGTCTTTTTATTTAAAATGCATCTCTGGGTTATTTGTGGGGCCTGCCTGTTGTTTTTACACAAGTAGAATGTGTGCTTTTATTTAAAATGCACCTCTGCGTTATTTGTGGGTCCTGCCTGGTGCTTTTACATGTGTAGAATGTGTCCTTTTATTTAATGCATCTCTGGGTTATTTGTGGGGCACAGGAATTCGTTTATTAGTTTTCCCCAAAGTATAGTCCGGCCCCCCACAAGGTCTGAGCGACAGTGGACCGGCCCCCTGCTGAAAAAGTTTGCTGACCCCTGTCCTTTGCCTCATGGAGCAAAATGTCTTGCACTTGGGCCTGCATATTGCTTACCAGGACGGGGCAAGAAAGTTGTATCATAGGGAAAAGTTTAAGAGGGACAATGCACAGAAATATTTAAGAAGCAAGTTACAGTGGTACCCCGCAAGACGAACGCCTCGCAAGACGGAAAACCCGCTAGACGAAAGGGTTTTCCGTTTTGGAGGCGCTTCGCAAAACGAATTTCCCTATGGGCTTGCTTCGCAAGACGACAGCCCATAGGAAATCTCAGGGACAGCGGGAAGCGCAGCGCGCCTTCCCCACTGTCCTCGGACCTCCTCCGAAGCCTGGCGGCGGGGCGGGGACACCTCCTCCCGCCGCCGCCGGGCTCGAAGGCTCCTCCGGCCGGGCGGGGGGAGGGAACACCTGCGCCGCCGCCGCCCGGCTTCGGAACGGTGCTCCGGCCGGGCGGGGGAGGGAACACCTGCCGCCGCCGCCCGGCTCGGAACGGTGCTCCGAAGCCGGGCGGGGGAGGAAGACCTCTCCGCCGCCCGGCCCGGAACGGTGCTCCGAGCCGGGCGGGGGAGGGAAGACCTCCCGCCGCCGCCCGGCCTCCCAACGGTGCCCCGAAGCCGGGCGGGGGGGAGGGAACACCTTCTGAAGGCGGGCGGGGGTCGAAAGTCTTTGCTCCCCCCTGCCTGCCTGTCCCGGAGGGCTTTTGAAGGCGGGGGAGCAAGACTTCGCCCCCGCCCGCCTTCAGAAGAGGTCCAGGACCTCTTCTGAAGGCTGGCGGGGGCAAAAGTCTTTGTCCCCCTGCCTGCCTTCCCAGGGGCTTTAGATTGCCCCGGACAGCGGAGAAGTCCTCCGCTGTCCCGGGTGATTTTAAAATGCCGCCCGCCAGCATTTTAAGATCGCCCGGACAGCGGAGAAGTCCTCCGCTGTCCCGGGTTTTAAAATGCTGGGGGTGGGAAGAAAGCCCTTGCTCCCCCAGCCTTCAGAAGAGGTCCGGGGACAGACTGTCCCCGGACCTGGTCTGAAGCGGTTTCCCTAGGAACGCATTAATTGATTTTCAATGCATTCCTATGGGAAACCGTGCATCGCAAGACGAAAAACTCGCAAGACGAAGAGACTTGCGGAACGAATTAATTTCGTCTTGCGAGGCACCACTGTATCTTCTAGCTTCTTTTCTTCAAAGGAGGATGCAAAACTTGACTGATTTTGTGTGTGTGCTAAGTACCGGGCTTTGGGTTGTCCCCATCCGCCGGATCCTAAATTTTGCCAGAGGCTCTGTGCTTGCAAGGCAGCTGAACGCACAGGTCTGTAAAGCCCTGTTCAGAATTGAGTTTTATATCAATCGGTTGCAAAAGTTCTGGGGTGGCATTGAACTAAGTTCTACAAAAAGCTATATCCATTGAATTTAATGAACCTGCCTTTATCTGGCTGGGGTAACCCAGTCAGATAGGCGGGGTGCAATTATTTTTATTAATTTTAATATTGGCCATTGATTTTGGTGGGTCTAGTATGAGTAAGAGCCAGTTGAATGCAATGCATTGTTTGGCACCTTTTAATGCATTGTAGTATAATATACGATGCAACAGGGAGAGGCAGTCCTAGCAATGATATATTTGAATATGGGCCATTCCTAGTATCCAAGAGGTGAGGCCTACTTTTATGAGGGTGGTTAAAGTTTCCTTTACCCCCCCCCCCCAACATCTTGTTCCTTGAGCAGAGTAGGATTGTTCAGGAAGCATATCTGACAGGAGCATAAATAAATAGTTTGGTGAAGCAGGTCAGAAGACATACGTTTGTTCCTGTTTGTAATAAGTACAACGCCGTGATATGACGTGTGGGTTATGCAGAGGGGAGCTTACACGTAACGTGGCCTGCATGCTGCGCTAGAATTTGAGGTCTCTGCTTGTTTGTGCACCTGGATGCTTGCATTGCAATTACTTCTGCAATCGCGTCTGCACTTGAACCTGTTAAAAACTCTCCTCTCTCTCTCTCTCTCTCTGCGCGTGTGTTTGGTGCAGAACAGACCTCTGTCTGTTAGGGTTGTCGGAGGCCTCTGTCGCTTCCTGAGCTGTGTGTGTGGCTGTGGGAACTGAATTACGCAGGAGGGGAACAGGCTGGTAACTTTTGGCAACTCCTTTTTTGAGTTAATAAAAATAAACAAGCACGCCTTTGGGCACCGAGTCTTTGCGCCAGCTTGCATTAAAGTCAATGGGACGGCGTAATTGGAGCTGGCTTCGGTTCTGCCAGGAATCTTTTTGTTGGCATCTTATCTGGGGCGGCTTAGTGTTCTCCTCTGAAAGGCATGTGCAGCGCAAAACTCTGTCAGGGCTCCGACTCTGTTCCATTTGGGGGCTGTCTGTGTGGCTCAGTGGTAGAGCCCTTCCCATCCTTACCTGGAGAGAAAACCACCTTTATGTATAACTCTGTGAAAACATTTTTATTTATTTATTTTTGGGCCGCTTTCGTCTCCTGTAAATCTTACTTTCTTCCCTTCAACCCTTTCCCCACCTTCCCCCTCCCGGGTTTCCGGAGTTTGGCTGTGTTTTAAGTTGTGGCGCAACAGAGGAAACTTCTCATAATTACTCATGTTTGCATGCACATATCTAGGTATTGACCAACCGCAGGTTTTCCTCCAGTGGGGTGATATGCGACTAAGCCACAGACTAGAGCCACTGAAAATCATTTGACTTCACTTATTTTAAGTCTCTTGATTTTTCAGCAGATCAGCTTTCGAACATGGCCGACATTGGATCTTGCGCAATCGGTGACGGTTCATTCAGTCTAGCCGGTCTCAGTTCTCCGTCTTGCTCAATCTCTCCTCTTTCTGTTAGTTCCACATGACCGCTTTGTCCCCATGACTGACAATTTGGCCAAAAAGTCCTGCACAGTATAAAGCAGTGCACTCTGTCTGTGTGCATGTGTGTACAATAATAACATGTGGTCAGCACAACCGCACAACTCTCAACAGGGGGGTGTTCATGAACTACTTTCTTTCATTACGTGAGTCCAGGTCCTAGAGAGCAGGCGAGCCCATAAGGAGCGAGGAGTTGATTTCTAGTCCGTCTTGTGAAATATTGGTTTAAGGGCGTTAAGTGCCAAGCCTTGCTTACATGTCTCTGGGTGGTTGAGAGTTGCTGGGAAATTCCTAACCCGAATCTCACTTTTATTTTGCATGTCTCGCTGTGCTTTGTAATTTGGGAGCTGTTTGCAGAACTGAGAATTTTCCGATGCAAATTTATTGAGCATTATGCTGGTGTGAATCGAGGGTGAGGCCTTATGCACACCACAGATGGAGCCTTCATGTTGCCTCGGAACATGCTTTTAAATAGATGGTTTTCACATGTTCAGGTACAGGGCCATAGTTGTTGGTGGAGCATCTGTTTTGCATGCAAAATCCTAGAATTGCAGAGTTGGAAAGGACCACAAAGGCCATCTAATCTAACCCCCTGCAATGCAGGAATCTCTTGCCCAATGTAGGGCTTGAACTCATGACCCAGAGATTAAGAGTCTCATGCTCTACTGACTGAGCTATACTGAAGTGCCCAGTTTCAGTCCTCTGTATCTCAGGATATAGTGCTGGAGAGAATCCAGTTTAGGCAATACTTGGCTAAATTCACCATGCGACAGCTTGCTTTGTTCCTATGGCAATCTTTGAGCACTGAGTGATGTACATGTACTCTAGTTCACCTGTAGAGCACTTGTTCTGAATGCTTGTGGTTCTGTTTATTTACTTGAAAATCCTCATAGGGTAAAAACCATCTCAGGTTAGCTTTTGAATTAAAACCCAATGTATAGGTACCAACCAGTGTTAGAAACTCTGATATATAATCTAGGTGCTAAATGGCTCCTTAAACCAAGGTTACAGTCGCCAAAATGGAATGTCTAGTTGCCATTTTGGGGCAAGACGGCTCTAAGGTCTTATTTTTCAAATTGATCAACTCTCAGTTAAACATCTGGCTAGTTCAGATGACAGCCTTGAGTTAGGTTCAGAACTTTGAAACCTTAAAGAAGACAAGTCATTTGATCCAGGGACTATCCACATATATATTGGCCTATTCCAACCTGTTCTTATTAATAGAGGCTGCACAGAATAAGCATTTTGGTTCCAGAAATTCATTCCAATTGTGCAGATAAAATATAACAGATAGAGTTCTACAGGATGTGTTGCTAGTGTGTGAAAACAGTCAAGATCCAAGGATCCCCAGGCATGTAACTCCAAGTGGTGGAGATGTCGGGCGCCAACTTGGCAGCTGGGCATCTTCACTTGGTCACAAGTGTCCAATAGCCAGGTGCAAAATGCACTTGGCGAATTTCGAACGCTGCTCGGGAAGAGAGAGCGCAAACGTCTTTGATTGGATTGTGACTAGCCACCTATCTCAAGAGTTCTGTTTTGAACTCCTGAGCTTTGTACCTGTAACCGGATCTAGATGTGTACCTGATCTAGATGTTATACACCTTTACCTCTTGTTGCAAGTTTGGGCGTTCGTTTAGCACTTAATGAGAGCAGCTGCAAAGGCTTCTGAGATTAATATCTGGAATTATTTTGACAAAAAGCCACCCCATCTCCAAGGGAAAGCTTTGCCTTCTGGTTGAAAATAAACCTGTCTTTGAATTATTGATATACCTTAGCGAAAAGGAGGCTGCTAGGCAAAATCTGCCAGAGATGTACTGGTCCATTATGCCAATTAGATTACTTGCAAGGCACAAATACATTGTACTGGTGCACTTCAGGAACAGTGTGTGATTAGGAAAACAATGCTGCATTTTGAATAGATGAAGTTTTAACAGGGCCAGAGGTAAGCTTCAGGCCAGGTTCTGTAATGGAGAACCCTATGCTGATTTGCATTCACCTCTGGATCAATGTGCTGGGGGAAAACCAGTGCTTTTTCCGGCCGGAGTGCAGTTCTAGCACCTCTCAGGTGGGCGCTTAATATCTATAGCTGCCCCATAGCAGAAGTACTCTAGGAAGCTAGTGTGGTGTAGTGGTTAGAGTGTCGGACTAGGACCTGGGAGATCAGGGTTCAAATCCCCACTCCATCACGAAGTTTGCTGGGTGGCCTTGGAGTCAATCACAGCCTCTTAACCTACTTCACAGGGTTGTTGTAGGGATTAACTGAGAAAGGGGGTGAGCTATGGACTCCCTGGAGAAAAAGGTGGGATATAAACACAATAGATAAGCCCTTCTGCTTATCTGCTTAAGAAAGCTGGAGGAGCCAGCTAGATGGAGATTTTAGTAACTAAACTGGCAACCAGAGATCTCCATGTGGTCACAATTGGACTTGCAGCAGTTGCAAAATGCGCTTAGTTCCTGGGGAATTTCAAACACTGATATATGTGTGGTAAGGTGATCTTGCACATCTTCTTTGTCTGGCCATCACTCGCAGCTGAGTAAGATTGTCTTCCATTTTAACAATGAGTCCGTAAGTGACTGTGGAGGCCAATTCTGGATCCACACGTCCTTCCACAGTGGGGACATTGGTTTCTGGGCGGAAGTTGATCACGGTGTGGGTTTGCCAAGCGTGCCTTCCTCTTAGCACGTTTCTCCCTTGCGTCCTGAGTTTGAGTGTCTTCAAAGCCTATGGCACCTTTGGTAAAGGCTGTTCTCCAATTGGAGCGCTCGCAGACCAGTGTTTCCCAGTTGTCGGTGTTTATACTACATTTTTAAAGATTTGCCTTGGTACAGTCTTTAAACCTCTTTCGTTGACCACCAGCATTACGCTTTCCATTTTTAAGTTTGGACTAGAGTAGTTGCTTTGGAAGACAATAATCAGGCATCCGCACAACATGGCCAGTCCAACGAAGTTGATATTGAAGAATTATGGCTTCAACACTGGTGAGCTTTGCTTCTTCCAGTATGCTGGTATTGGTTTGCCTGTCTTCCCAAGTGATGTGTAAAAATTTTTGGAGACTCCGTTGATGGAATCTTTTGAGGAGTTGGAGATGGCGTTTATAAGTGGTCCATGTTTCACAAGGAGACAGTAAGGTTGGTAGTACAATAGCTTGTAAACTTCTCCCAATACTTGTAGACCCTTCGTAGTGCATTGTGTGTGCTTTTAGAGGTTTAATTGGAAAATGAGTGGGAAGAGATCTACCTAGCTGTGATATGTCCCTCATCCCATGGCTGTATCGTGTCATGGCTGTGTTGTGGGATGTAGGTGGATCTCGATAAGAAAAAAGCACAATACATCCTCTGCTTTAACCATAGCTGCTTCTCAAAAACATGCCTGCACGACGTGAAGATGTGAAGACTTAATCTCTGTATCTTGAACACTATCCTTTGAAGTGGCCCTAACAGTTAAATTAGCAACAGACGTGACTAATTGGAGTGCAATTGAAGTCTTCAAAGATAAAAGGAGCAAAACCGTATTTTAAGCTGTTACCGTTCACCGAGTTTTTATGAAGATACCTTGGCAACATGGTCTAGAAGATGAAAGACCATTTTTAGAGCTTCCGCAAACGGTGACAATGAATTTTGACATAATGTATGTATAGTCTTTAATGTTTCTACGTTTTCAACTAAATTTCAAAACAGCTCTCTGAAAGAGCTGCTGATACAGACTTCCTCCTTATCAGGATTCTCGATTAACACAGTTATAAATTAATATATTCCCCCCTCCTCCTGCTAGCTGAAACCCTGGAGAGCTTCTGTGTCGTTTAATACTGAGTGAAGCAGACCACTGATTTGACAGTGGAAGGGAACTTCCTGTGCTCCTGTTGTTCAAAACTGTTGCGTCTGCAGTCTTCAGTTGGATTTTGACGAATTTATATATTTATTTGGGTTTCATTTTTTGTACTTGTACTATTTTAAAAATTTTGGTCACATATGTTGGATTTCCAGTCACATTCTTGCAGCCTCTCTGCCTAGAAATGTTTTCATTTTGTTTGCATTGAAATTATCCTCATCCTCATCATTATTATTACTATTAGTTTCGTTTCTTTACTGCTTTGTATTTTAAAGAACAAGTCTCAAAAGCACTTGTAAACACTTGTAAACATCAAATAGAACAATCCGGAATAAAACAAATTGAAGCTTCAAGGACATTTGTTTAAAGATCCCTCTCTAAGTGACAATTTGCTTTCCCCAGTCGCCAGCATGGCATCCAGAGATCTCCAGGTAGGTTGCAATTGGGCCCATGCCAGTTGCAAAATGCGCCCGGCTAATTTCTAACACTGATGCCAGCCTACTGAAGTTTTACATCACCCCACAGAAGCATATCATGTACCCTCTAGTCCAGCAGGGAAGTTTAAGGCAGCAAAGTTTAGGATACAAAATACTGGGCTGGGGGCGGGACTTGGGATAGGTTCGTGATCCCAGATGCAGCTTTGCAAATGGGTACAACTTGCTTCTGTGCAGTAAAGCAGCAACATAGGTATTGGCAAAACTGGCCTGTTGCTCCAGTGTTGGGTGATACAGAAAACCCTGCAGGAGGAGTGGGTGAGTGGGAGGCTATTGCGCAAAAGTTGTGATTGCTTAGAAAGACAATTTCTAAGCAACCCACCCCAGAAATGTCTTTGCAATTTACAGCCATCCCCTGGTTTTTACTGATGAGATTGTTTTGCCAGTTCTTCTGTTAAAAAGAAAGCAGGGAATCTTACGGGTACTGGTAAAGGTAAAGGGACCCCTGACCATTAGGTCCAGTCGTGGCTGACTCTGGGGTTGCGGCGCTCATCTTGCTTTATTGGCCGAGGGCGTACAGCTTCTGGTCATGTGGCCAGCATGACTAAGCCGTTTCTGGCGAACCAGAGCAGCGCACGGAAACGCCGTTTACCTTCCTGCCAGAGCGGTACCTATTTATCTACTTGCACTTTGACGTGCTTTCGAACTGCTAGGTTGGCAGGAGCAGGGACCGAGCAACGGGAGCTCACCCCGTCGCGGGGATTCAAACCGCCGACCTTCTGATTGGCAATTCCTAGGCTCTGTGGTTTAACCCACGTCCCTCTACAGGTACCAGTAGAAGGCCACAAATTGTACTTGGGGATGCATTTTACACAGTGGTTCAAAGAAAGGTCATGCTATTATTTATTTATTTACTTACTTACTTACTTACTTACTTACTTACAAGGTGTTAGCCAGAAACCAAAGGAAGCAGAAAGCATGTGGGAAAGTGGTGCAGCTTTAGAAGTTGTGAATAGAAAAGCAGAGTCCAGTGGGCATGTGTATGTGTTTGCTTCTTGGCAGACGCAGCTCTGAATGGACTAGGCGTTAATGTTGCCCCAATATACTTGCATTAAGGGCCATCATTGCTTTCTTGTAGTTTCCTAACTAGGTTAATTCCGCAACGATGTGCCTTGTTCTCCTATTTTCTCTTTACATTTACGTCGTATTAGCAGAATGGCGCTTCTTATTTCACACCGTTTGATGACTTGTAAGGAGAGGCACTGCCGATGCAACAGCCAAGACGATCTTGATTCCTGAGTACAAGGATAGAGAGAAAGGGCCCATTTTCGAGCTTTGTGTTAAAAGGCCTTTTCGCCAGCATCGACTTGCCAGTCCCTTTCCTTTCAAGACAGACCCTGGCAAGCTCACCCGATGCTGCAAAACTTCTATTTCTCGAGTCATTTCCTTCCTTCCTCATCATTCCGCCTCCTTTCCCCCCTCTGATTCCAAAAAGATCGCTTCTGTAAAGGGATCAAAGTTAGAAATTGAAAGGCGCGATGGAAAAGGGTGCATGCGGGCCTCTGCGCATGCAGCGTTGCGCTTGCTGGGGTTGGACAACTTCTGTGCTCCTCAAAAGCCACTTGCAAAGTTTAGCAGAGCTCTGGAGTGGTCTTTAATGCAGCACAAGGGGCTGCAGTCAGAACTGGAGGTGAGTCTCCATGCAAGAAATAAACACTGTAGACATCCGTGGGGATGTTCCTGCCAAATCTCCAGCTCTTCACCTTTCTGTATTTCTCACGTTTTTGTGTACAGGCAACTCCCAGTTTACACAGGGGCTATGTTCCAAGGCACCATGCGTGTTAAGTGAAATAGCATATATTTGAAACGCCTTTGGAAAAGCCTGCAAATACACATTAGATCAAGGGTCAGCAAACTTTTTCAGCAGGGGGCGGGTCCGCTGTCCCTCAGACCTTGTGGGGGGAGGCGGACTATATTTTTTTTGGGGGGGGGGGGGAATGAACAAATTCCTATGCCCCACAAATAACCCAGAGATGCATTTTAAATAAAAGGACACATTCTACTCATGTAAAAACACCAGGCAATCCCCACAAATAACCAAAAGATGCATTTTAAATAAAAGGACACATTCTACTCATGTAAAAACACGCTGATTCCAGGACCGTCCGGGGGCCGGATTGAGAAGGTGTTTGGGCCGGATGCGGCCCCCGGGCCTTAGTTTGCCTACCCATGCGTTAGACCTCTGGAAACTGTTGAAAAACCCTTAAAAACCCCCCAAAACAACTAGCAGCCCTTTCCAGATGGTCATGAATGGTGGGTCTCAGTCTCCTTGCTCCAACTCCCGACTCTCCACAGGCCTCAACAGTCAGTGCAAGGGCTCATGGGATTGCTAGGTGCTCCTTTCGTGATTTTTTTGCCCTATCTGGGCTATTTCAGGGCCGCTTTTGCTGTTTTTAAAGTCACTTCTGGGTTCGGCGCAGTTGCGCATCGACTGGAGGCGCACAAATTGGTTGTTGCTTGTATTTCCTTTGCTGCAGTTCTGATGTTTGCAGAACGTTCAAGGGGTGCTGTGCCAGGCCTGCATAACTTCAGGCCCTAATGTGACCAAACACACACTAAACACACACTTTCTTGCAAGTTGGTGGACTGTGTTTGACGGGTCACAAGCTCTGTAGGCCTGAGGGCATTTCTTCCTGCCCCCCCCCCGCAGCGAGGTACCTGTGCCACAACTGTACTCGGGAGTTAGAAAACCAAAAGAAGAGAAAGGGAAACAAGGAGTGTGAAGGGGGAGAAAGACCGGAGGTGTTGGGAGAGACTGAGACCGGAGACAAGTAGGAGGTGTGAGACAGTATTGATTGAAGTAAAGCCTGCTATAGCGGATCATAATGTAACTCCCCCGCCCCCCCCCCGCAATATTTGATATTTCCAGTTGTGCTTTTTGACAACTGCTGCACAGGGAAGTGTTTGAAAAATGGCTATGGTGTATCTTTCCGGAGTGATAGGTTATAAAATAATAGCTAACATATTAGTAATGCTATTTTTAGTTGTGTCTCCACTGACGTAACACTCTCTTCTCCGTATCCTAGTTGCGCAGCGGATCCAAAGTGTGTTTCTCGGCCGTAATTATTTTGCAAGGCTGCACATTCTTACGTAGCTACTGGCGGGAGATGCAGATTAGGTGGAGAAAGGGGGGGGGGTTGTTAATCCTGCCGCCCCGTTGCTGGAAATGCACGCATATGCACAAAACACGCACCGCAGCCACAACTGTTAGTTCGAAGAGAAGCTTGAGATGGGTGATGTGATTAGGAGCAGTGGTTTGTTGAAGTGTAATCTAGTTAAGTAAGGCATTTGTATGCATTTATATTACAGTTGCCCAGTTCAGACTACACAGATCATTAATGAATGCGTTGAACATTGCCATTTTCATTACAGATACTCAAGGCATCCTGCTGGTTTACCACTTTTCGGAGCTGTGAGGCACAGTAGAGTTTAAATCTGAACACATTATTTGTTTCGGGGGTGGGGGCCTGCTGCGGCCTCCTTGCCTCTCATTCTCCAGTGGCTTTTCACCCCCTCCTTGGAGGGGCCTTTCAAGAACCCTTTCCCCCAATACAAAGATTCATGTACAGTGGTACCTCTGGTTGCGAATGGGATCCGTTCTGGAGGCCCATTCGCAACCTGAAAAGAACGCAACCCGTGTCTGCGCGTGCGTTGGTCGCGATTCTCCACTTCTGCACATGCGCGTGATGTAATTTTGCACGTCTGCGCATGCGCAAGCGGTGAAACCGGGAAGTAACCCTTTCCGGTACTTCCGGGTTGCCGCGGGACGCAACCTGAAAACGCACAACCTGAAGCAAACGTAACATGAGGTATGACTGTATACAGTGGTACCTCAGGTTACATACGTTTCAGGTTGCATACACTTCAGGTTACAGACTCCGCTAACCCAGAAATAGTGCTCCGGCGGCGCGGCAGCAGCAGGAGGCCCCATTAGCTAAAGTGGTGCTTCAGGTTAAGAACAGTTTCAGGTTAAGTACGGACCTCCGAAACGAATTAATTACTTAATCTGAGGTACCATTGTATATATAGTTGATACCCTGTGAAAGCCCCTCTCTCTGTGTGTGCATAGCCCAGAAAAGTATGCAGCACATAGCATTTTCCTGCCCCCAGAGCAGATTTGGTGATGCGCTTAACAGTGCAGTCCTGTGCACGTCTACTCTGAAGCACGACTAGCGTAGTACCATGGCACCTACTCCTATGCAATTGTGTAGCAGAATGCAGCTTTAAAGACCATTATATGGTCACTTTGAAGTTCATTTCGGCCAATGTTTGTGTCACCTTCTTGTGTAGTCATCTTCCATTCCTGACTTTTAAAATGGGGTGGCCATGTGGTGTGGTAAGGTGGCATGATGATGTCCCCAGGAGATTTTTGAGAGCTGCAGTGTCATCGGTCCTCACTCTTTGTCCCATCATTAGGGGAGAAAAAATTGTGTTTTCATTGGTGAGCTAGTGGTCTAGTTAGCACATAACATTAGGCTATGGTTTGTTTAACAAACCACAAGTTAACCATGAGTTGACCCACAGGTGCTTAAACTGGTTTATTTTTCCAACTTTTCCAGCTGTTCTCGCCTCATGCTTTTGTAGTGCAAGTGTCTGGGATAGAGTGGTCCAACAGTGGTTAAGAAGGATGCTGGTTTCTTGCATAACACCCAGTCATAATGAAACTAATTTCTGTAAGCCGTCAGTAAACCATGGTTTTAGATCATGCTTTGTTATTAATCAAGCCATAGTTAATGCTTGGTACAGGGTTCATACAAAGCCAAGGCCTGACTATAGTTCATTAAACCATGGCTTAGCGCTACAATCAAGCCAATGTGTGTATGTCCAATATTTTTGTAAAAGTTTCAGTGTTTGATTCTGATGGTACAGATCCCGCCTTTAGCTTAAGAAATGAAAATGCAAATGTTATTACTGCAAATTCAAAACTTGTTCTCTCAGGATAACACCCCCACCCCAGTCCATATGAGTAAAGAATGCAGCGTGTATTGGCCCTTCCTAAGTGGTTGTGGTCTCTCGTATTATTCTGTTTTGCATGAACCAAAAAAAGTCAACAATCCCGTAACAATGGCAGTAAAGGTTACAGAAACAATTACAGTTTTAGATCATCCTGTAGAACTGTGGAATTCTGCCCACTGTCTACAAACAACTTGATGTTTTGTTTTTTGACATGCATGCTTGCTGAAAGGAGGGAGGAAAGCCCATAACCTTTGTAGAATTGCCCTGGCGCATACATGTTCAACGTTGACGGCTGCATAGCAGCCCTCCCACAAGCATTCCATAAGTGAAAATGGGCTTCTTCAGTTGCAGAAGCTGTGCATACATTTCCTGGGCAGATAGGCCAGTTCTCTCAAACAGTCTCTCTTTATGTATAGCTCCCTCTCTGTGCAAAGGATCATGGGAAGCCTCTTTGTACCAAAGATGACTATTACCTTGTCAAGCCCAGGTTCCTGCCTTAACTCTGAGTGGCTGTGGATCTCCAGGTCTCAGGCAGAACCACCTGCTTTTGCGCATGCAGAGCACCGAGCTGTGGTCCCTCACCAAAGATGTGGCTCATCTTTCCCCACCACCGGGCACACTGCTTTGTCAGCTGCCGTATGTCAGGGAGCAGTCCTTATATATGGGAAGCCAGCGGGAGTTTAGCTGCCGTAAGTTATCGCTATTCTGAACTCCAAACAGGAGTACACCTGCTGCCAGCTGAGCCGGCTTAACAAGCCTTTAAAATATAGTTTGACTTATGCTATGCTTTTTGCCAGGGCATGTGACTGAGCTGAACACAGGACCCACTGCAAGTTCTTCCCTCTGCCTGGCCCTGCCCTTGCCACTACCCCCAAATACCCATTTTCCAGGGCTTACACCGGCGTAAGCTCTGCCAGACTTGGTTCAGCTGGCTGGGCCCTGGCTAAGCCAGGAGGCGGGGGAGTTAAGCTGACCTATCTCCAGCCAGGTTGAGGAGTGTGCCAGGAACCAGCTGACTGAGCTAGAGACCCGCCGCATCCTAACTCGTTCATCCCAGCGGGTCTAGGGTTAGGATTGTGCCGTTCGTCACCAAATAGTTGTGTGAGAACCTGGATCTTTGCACCTCTGCTCGTACTTGGCCACCTGCGTTGGGAAGATGCAAAATGCCTCTTGCCATTGTGCATGAGTAACTGTTTTCGGAAGGAGTTGCTGCAGCCTCGAGCTGAACCCCCCACCCATTTCCTTCCGTGGTTTCTCAGTTTCTCTACAGCAAATAATGTCGTAGAAATAGCATGCATCAATCCACAAACCGCCAAAGTCATCCCTTCCCCCCCAAAGCACCTTTTTGTTTTGCGCACGTGGCCCTAGCTAGATCCTGCCAACGAGACGCTTTAGTGTAGTTAACCTCCTCCTTGTTTGAATCACACACCCCGGCCCCTTTAGCTTTTAAATAGCTTCGCTAGGCTTTACGTCAAAATAATATATTACATCCCCCCCGCATCTGAACATCTGCAGTCTTGGATTCTCTTGACACAAAAGCGCAAAAGATAACTAGGCCGCCTGCCTCTGAGAGGGTCCTTCATGATGTAGTTTACTAACAATGAGGAGAACAGCCAGTTCTGATCTTTTAATTGGGTTCTTAGCGTGGGGCTTCCTAGGCTTGTGTAAGCCTTTTGCAAGAAGACCAGAACAGCCAGGTGTCCCCACTGGGGCTGAAATAGCTGCGGGCAGCGGGGATGAGACGTTGTGGCGGTGCTAGGAAAGCTTCACATGTGCCATGGACACGTGCATCATTTTCACTACTCTCATCGTCCCTGCCCATTAGCCATGCTGGCCCAGGCTGCTGGGGGGATGCAAGACTCTCCTTTGGAGGCCTGTGATGTTCCGTAACCTGCAGAACAGATGTTTGGATGGAGGTGCAGGGTGGATGGGGCCTGAAACACAGTCCAGGTTCAATACAGGAAGTGAAGTCCAATGGTTAGGCCAGGTTCCCACCTCTGCAGCTGATCCAGGGTCAGGGAACCAGTAGCTCAGTTGTGTGGAGCTCCTAGGACATGCAAGCCGTGGTCCATCACCAATTTTTTTTTTAATGCTTTATTGATTTTAAACTTTGTCTCCTCTTGGTTATTTGAATTACATTAATTTTGTAAGATTCTCTTATTAGACGCAGAAAGTCAATCCAGACCTGCCAGCGGATTTATCTTTTTGCAATGTTCTTTTAAATAAACTCTATACATCCCACTCTCTATTGAATTTTTCATCGGTAACATCTTGGAACCTTGCTGATAATCTGGCTAGTTCTGCATATTCTCGCCGTTTGTTTTGCCAGTCTAATTTGGATGGGGTAGTTTCTCCTTTCCAACCTTTTGCGATTAAAATTCTGGCTGCTACTGCAGCATACATGAAAATTCTCCTGAATTTCTCTGAGATTTCATTACTCATTATTCATAGCAGAAAGGCTTCGGGCTTCTTGGGCAAAGAGCATTTAAACATTTTTAAAAGGTCGTTAGAGATCATCTCCCAAAATTCTCTGATCTTTTTACAGTTCCACCACATGTGGATCAATGTGCCTTCCGCCTCCCTGCATTTCCGACTTCCATGGGAAGTTGAGCAGACACAGCACTGTATCTCTTGCTTCCCTTTTATTCCCCGACTGTTGATTGCAGCATCTGGGCTTGCTGAGGCATTTGACCCTCATCTGTCCTGAGCCTAAACCAGCTGAGCAATCACATACCTCCCAGAGCTAGCAAGCCCCACCTGGCCGGCTGGGCTGTGGGCCCTTGCCTGCCTCAGCCTCCTAGATCAGGGGTCGGCAACCTAAGGCCCATGGGCCACAAGCGGCCCATGGGGGGGTCGTTTAACCGGCCCATGGACCCCCACCACTCGCTCGGTCGGCTCCCATGTGCCAAGCAGAGCAGGGACCGCCTTCTGCGATGCTGGCTGGCTTCCCATTGGCTCCAGGAAGCTCCTGCCGGAAGGAGCACTGGAAATAGTGTTTGCGCATGCGTGCATGCACACTCTGGCCCACCGCAGCGTCTGTGGGACCGGGAACTGGCCCAAGCCACAAAAACTTTGCCGACGCATGTCCTAGATTGTATGTCCTGCTACTCTTTACACCTCAGAGCCTGCTGTGTTTGAGGGGACAGAGGCCCTTCTGGCTCTGGTGATGAGTCCTGCTCCTCTGGTTCTTCTGCACAGACCCCCATCCTCTCACCATCCTCTGCCGCCCTGTGAGTACTTTCCATGCTCCCAACCTCTCCTCCTCCAACCCCAGTTTTCCCTGGTGGGACCCAGTCGCGGCTACAACCTCCTCACTGGAATCCTCTTCCTCCTCTCTGTTGTCTGGCCGGTTCATGACAAGCTGTTGTTTAAACCCCAGCTGATCTAAGTGTCTAAAGTGGGAAAATTAAGTTGGATTTGGATATTTTGTTAAGTTTCCCATTTTTGTAATACAGTCATACCTCATGTTACTTTTGCTACAGGTTGAGCGTTTTCAGGTTGCGTCCCGGGGTGGCCCGGAAGTACTGGAAAGGGTTACTTCTGGGTTTCGCTGCTCGCGCATGTGCAGAAGCGGCGAATCGCAACATGCGGACACGGGTTTCATTCTGCTCGTGTTGCGAACGGGCCTCTGAAACGGATCCCGTTCGCAACCAGAGGTACCACTGTATGTCTATTCCCTGAACAAATCCGCATGTAAATAAGGTTTTCATAATTCACAAAAGCCAGTTTGTCTTCAGTTGGCAACTAAGCAGAGCATTTTATACGAGGAGCGTGATTTTAAAGCGGAGCAAGCCGCGGTTTACTGTCCTGGATTGCAAAGGAGCGTAAACCATAGTTTGCCAGTTCAGGTGTGATGCCAACCCTGTCTGCCACATACCAGAGAGGAAGTTACTACAGAGTACCGAAACTGTATTCTCATAACACCAAATTCATGATTATCAGTGCTTGACCCTGTTTGCCCCTACAAAACACATCTGTATGACTTCTTCTTTTCTTTTCGTAGCTGACATTATTATGTAATACTTGGTAGAGTGGCTGAAGCGGAAGAATCTGTAAATTGTTCTGACGCTTCTAACAAGTATTCATTCTTGTCACACAGACTTCAAAGCATCCTTGAGGACTTGGGGGGGGGGCGGTAGAACACCAATAACTTGATTGTAGCAGGTTATGCTATAAGCAAATGTTAGCTTGACTTAAAAATGCATATTTTTTCAGCCTGCTAATAGCCATATAAAACAACACTTCGGTATATATCATTTTGAAGTATTCATTATTTGTTTGTTCATTGCTTATGTAGGTGTTTTTGACTCGCTGAGGAATTTCTGAAATAGTTCCGTGTTGGTATTTAGAAAAAAAAAATCTATTTGGTCCAAAAGAATATCTCTTAGAATCACTCCAAAGGTACTTCCAATATAATCTGATCCAGTCTTTGCCTTAAAGCTATAGCCCCAGTGTATTTTCTCCAGCCTACAGTGAATATTTTATTTTTCCTGCCCTTCACCAAATTCATAGAAACACAGAATTGTAGACTTGGAAGGGAATCGAAGGGTCATGTAAGTCCAACCCCCGGACAAATTCCCAAGGTTGTGCATGCAAAGTTTAAACAATTATTTAACAATATATTTTAAAAAGCAAATTCAAGCATCATGATGTCAAAAAGCAGCATAAAAGCAGCTGGCAGAATTGAAAACAGTGTGCAGAATATTAAAGAGTTTATGCATGTCTAAAATGACATCAAGGTATGTGCCAGGCTAGCCTTCCTGGGGAGAGCGTTGAACAGTTTTGGTGCCATCACCGAAAAGGCTCCTCTTCATGAACGCAGTCACCTGCTTCAGCTCAGCTAGAGGAGGGGTCACCTGGAGAAGGATTCCTATTATCTAGACCCAAGATTTCCCACATATGTTCGCACAGACTGGTTTATCCTCTGGATGTGAATCTGGGCCTCCAAATTGTACCGAGCCACTCCTAGGCAGTGTAATGTCAGAGTAGTAGTAAGATAGGAGTAGGGCATCTGCATCCTGCCATGTTGTTGGACTACGACTCCCATCAACTTGCCCAGTAGTCGCGTGATGGGAGTTGTAGTCTATTATTGGTTCTCACAATAGGCTCTTGCATGTGAAGCAGATGTACTTGGGCCATATAAACCTGAAATCATGTAACACTGTAAAACTTGGAGAATGTTCCATGCAGTTTCTGAAAACCATTTAATTTGGCACAGGAGTAAAATTGTGGGGAAACGGTCTACCATGTTTGACAGAGCCATATAAAAAACGTTCTAGAGGTTGTCTGTGGCTGCAGGCTACCAGATTAGCAGCTCGGGGTTTATAGGCCATATTCTGGCTAGGGATGGGTGGACCAACCTATTTCAAAGAATCAGAATCAGAAGAATCTTTATTTGCATCAGCCACCAGCCGTAGCAAGAAAATAAAATAAAATGAACTGAAGATAGAGGCAAAAACTTAACTCTACAAAATACATTCTGTAGGTTTACATCAATAATCAAATAATAGATCCTACAGTGGTGCCCCGCAAGATGAATGCCTCGCAAGACGAAAAACTCGCTAGACGAAAGAGTTTTCAGTTTTTTTAGTCGTTCCGCAAGACGAATTTCCCTGTGGGCTTGCTTCGCAAGACGAAACGTCTTGCGAGTTCTTGCGAGTTTGTTTCCTTTTTCTTAAAGCCGTTAAGCCGTTAATAGCCGCTAAGCTGCTAATCCGTTAATAGCCGCTAAGCCGCTAATAGCCGTGCTTCGCAAGACGAAAAAACCGCAAGACGAAGAGACTCGCGGAACGGATTAATTTTGTCTTGCGAGGCACCACTGTATTCTAATTGCCCCTGCTAATTTTTTTGCAGCTTTTGCTGTCACCTGATTATCTTGATTTGCTTAGAAGAAAGGACACGGTAGCAATGGTTGAGTGACCTGTTAAGGACAGTAGTAGAAGGGTAATAACTTCACTCCTCAAATCTTTATAAAGAGTGCAAGCACATGAGCTACTGATTCAATACTGCCATCTCCACATGGACATAACCGTTTTTCCAGCAGAATTTTTTGAAACCAACCCTCAAGGACAGCTGAAGGCAGTACAGTAGTACCTCGGTTTTTCGAATGTAATCCATTCCGAAAGACCGCTCAACTTCCGAAACGTTTGAAAACCGAGGCACAAAGGGCAGCCTGAAAATTCAATGGAGAAAACTGAAAAAGAACCTCAGTGGAAGCCGTTCGACTTCCGAGGTGTGTTTGAAAATGGAAGCATTTACTTCCGGGTTTCCGGCGTTTGAAAACCAAAACGTTTGGCTTCCGAAACGTTCGAAAACCGAGGTCCCACTGTATATTTAATCTTGCGTAAGTGAAAGCTCACCTGTATTTTGGAATTGTTAAATTTTGCAAATGGGGTGTCAATGCGTCAAAATGACTAGGTGGAAAAGAATCATACCGTGAACAAAATTTCCTTATCGTGGCCAAATTATTCTGTTGCTCGATATCGTATAGGCGCTGTCTAATTAAATTATTTGCTTTACTGAAGCCCATTGTTAAAAACTGTTGCGGTAATAAACGAGAAAAGTAAAGCTATTGGTTGACAATTTTAGTCCAAGCCCTCTCACGACAGTCTTGCGATACTAAGGGTAGTAGACCAGTGGGGTTTAAATTTAGCCAAAGCCAATAATTAAATGTCCTACTACACCAAGTCTGTAATTCAACAAAGGGGAGTTTAGCCTCCAAACACAATGAAGCATTTGGAACACAGGATGGAATAGAATAAAAAATGCCTTTGGAACTTAGATTGAACAACTGTAGATACAAGGTCAGCGCCTGTCCAAATTTGCGCCCCATATAATAACTGCTGGGGTTTAGCTTTAAACACTTCAAGAGCTGATGGTATGTGATTTCAGAGATAAGTCTCTTTTTTCTTGTTTTATGCAGATTAAAAAAGAACACAAAAATTATATTTAAATTGTACTAACTTCCCCTGATATTACATATCGTGTATACACTCGGTCCTTAAAATTGGATTTTTTTGCATGCACTTCCCCCTAAATTGAAAAACTGCGTTGCAAAATTCAGACCAGCACAAAATTCAGTTGGAAGCTGAATTCCAGCCTGCATATAAGTTAGTGGCAAATTAATAATAGGAATAGTAATTATTTGTATACATACAAATACATACAAAGTTCACACAAAACATGCACCTGTCTGAAGTCGAGTTGTCTGAGGAAGAAAAGAAATTAAGAGTTACCGTACTGTAACGCAGACAAGTGCAGTTTACTTTTTTGTTTTTCACACACACAATTCCCCCATTGAATTGGGAAACGAGGCAGTCAAAACATCTTCTATTGCCTTTGTTTTGTTTTCTTTACTCCCCACCCCAGTGTATATACTTTTACTGGCATCTTACTTGGAAACCCACTTGCTTTGGCAGATAGGGGAATGGAAGAGGCAGAAAATATTAGTTTTTGGAGGCAAGAGGAAAGATGCCATGACTTGACTCGTAGCTCAGATTTAGTGGGAATTTAAAAGCTCTCTGGGTTTCAGATTGACGAGCCTGATGTGCTGTAGAACTTCACTGCTTTCAGCCCACCGCCTCACCCTCCCCTGCTTTTTAAAGTGTATGATGTAAACTTGGGCTCAGCTTTTTCTCTGCAGCAGAGGGGATTAGAAACAACCTTGTATTAACTCAGAACTGGATCTCACAAGTTCCAAACTTAGCTTGTTCAAACAGGCCGTGCAGATTGCCGGATCCTCCTCTGAAGTCTTTCTCGCTTCACTGAAAGGAAGTTTACTATGATGACATTTTTCGCATTTCATTCGGAACGATGGAGGTACCTCCGAAGCAAATGAGTCTCGCGGCAAGTACAGTGGTACCTCGGGTTACATATGCTTCAGGTTACATACACTTCAGGTTACAGACTCTGCTAACCCAGAAATAGTGCTTCAGGTTAAGAACTTTGCTTCAGGATGAGTACAGAAATTGTGCTCTGGCGGTGTGGCAGCAGCGGGAGGCCCCATTAGCTAAAGTGGTGCTTCAGGTTAAGAACAGTTTCAGGTTAAGTACAGACCTCTGGAACGAATTAAGTACTTAACCTGAGGTATCACTGTACAGGATGGCCACTTCAGGTGGGGCAAGCATCCGAGACAATGCCTTCCAGCTGTGGGACTACAACACCCACCAGCTGGCAGGGACTGATGGGTGTTGTAGTCCCACCGATGGAGGGCACCAGGTTGGCGAAGCCTGTCGGGCTTTCCTTCCTTTCCCCCAAATGTGCGGCTGCTTGCTTCCTGATGGGGTTGGGTGACAAATGCACTGTCGCCCACCTGCCGCCTCCTCTTTCTGACTTGACTTTTTGCAGCTTGCACAGAAGCTTGGCCTCTGGCCACTGCGGTAGGTACAGCCAGATGGCGTACATAGATTGTAGGCCCTACAGAACCATAGTTTTGGACGGTTGTACGCTGCTTTAAGTCTTGCTTCCGTCTCGGCTGAAAGACTGTGGAGGACGGGGGGCAGACGCCTACAGGTCACTTGTAAATCATATTCTAATCTCCAGGCCACACATTGTAGCTGTTGCTTTGGTTCCCACATTACAGATTTAACGAGGCACTTCCTTTCATCCCTAGCAGATAAGAGAAGAAGAGTTCGTTCTTTTTATTCCTTTTTTTTTTTAAAAAAAAGCTGTTTCGCAACCTCTTGCAGTGTTCTGAGGAACTGCAGCAATGACCTCAAACTTCCTCCCAGCGGCCTGCACACCTTCATAACACTGGCACACATTGCCAAGGATGGATGTGCGGTTGCAGTTAGGGTTTCGCTCTATCCTGCGAGGCGGATGTTGTTGCTTTTTGCACTTTGGTTATCTGTCGCAGACAAAAGGAAGTCCCTCACTGAAGGTGGCTTCTCATGGGTTGCCCGTTGCATTATTTCGGTTTAGCAGTTCTAATATTTGTGTGTGTGTTCGTGCGCTTGTGCGTCCAGACACTCTCACATAGACACATCTAGTAAGGCAGCGCCATTGTCAATTGAGATGATGGAAAGCTTTTTTGTGACATAAATAAATACATGTGTAATATTCCTCCCCCAAATCTCTTGTTTGAATGTACTTTTGTATTTTTGGAAACCAGGTGAGGTGGAGAAGTAGCATACAGGGATCCGAGATGTGTATTTGCCTAAGCTGTGGACCTCTGAATGGTGTTCAACTCCATCTCCCATCATCTCTGACTATTGAACATGCTGGTTGGGCCTTTTGGGAGCTGGAAGCCCAACAAGAGTTTGTGGGTCACAGATTAACCACTACTATCTTAAAGGCAAAGGGACCCCTGACCACTAGGTCCAGTCATGACCGACTCTGGGGTTGCGGCACTCATCTCGCTTTATTGGCCGAGGGAGCCGGTGTACAGTTCCGGGTCATGTGGCCAGCATGACTAAGCCGCTTCTGGCGAACCAGAGAAGCACAGAAATGCCGTTTGCCTTCTCACCGGAGCGGTACCTATTTATCTACTTGCACTTTGACGTGCTTTCGAACTGCTAGGTTGGCAGGAGCTGGGACCGAGCAACGGGAGCTCAGCCCGTCGCGGGGATTCGAACCGCCGACCTTCTGCTCAGCAAGTCCTAGACTCTGTGGTTTAACCCACAGCGCCACCCGCGTCCCTACTACTATCTTAGGCGTGCCAGTTATGCAGACTTCCTGAGAACTTTGCTGCTCTAGTTAGCATCTTTTGGAGGCTAAACTTCGTCTCTAAATGGTGCCAGTGGCACAAGTAGTCTGATTTGCCAGTCTCTCGATGGCACACGAATCCAGCAAATGTTGTGTTGTGTTTGAGTGGTGTTCTTGCTCCATGGTGGTGGGAAGGTGCTTGATATATAGAACTATATTTAAAATTCCTAGGTAGCGGAATAAAAGTTCCCGGACCCCCTGACTAATTTCCATGTGGCAGTTTACACATGGCTGGAAAACACGTGTCTGAAAATATCTGGTGGCGGTCGTCATCTAGACCTCTAGGTGATTAGTTTCCCAGCCGTTAATTCTGTGCTTGTTTGAGTGTCAGGCATTTAGAACACATTTCCCTGCGTTATCCTTGACTTCTGTTTCATTTGTGCGTTTTGTGGCAGGTGCCTCCAACGTGGGTCTCAATTTTAACTTTGATCTCTTCCTCCTCCTCTCCCTTTCTTCCCTCTCATTATGATGCGTGGTTACGGTGATGTTGTCTGTTGCAGCAGTCACCAGGTGAAACCCAGTAGACCAGATGACCTTTTCATCTCCTCTTTTTCTGAATCTTGTTTGCCTTTGCTGAGCAACATGCTTGCCTAGTGGAGAGCATCTAAAAATTTGAAGCCTGCCTCTTCAGAGATGCCAAGAAATGCAGAGTAATTTGGAGCAGTCGTAAGATCAATGTGTTTTGCTTTGAAACATAACAGCTTTGCAACCACGCTAGTTGCCTATAAAGGCCTCCCCCCACCCCTTGCTAATCACTCATGTTAGCAACATGAGCTTGTTATTTTGGTTGCAGATAATCTGCATGCATTTGGAATTCCTGCTTGTTTCTGAATTGTGCTTGCAAGCACACTATATGCATTAGAGCAGATTGGTAGGAGCAAGCTGATGAGATCCTACATTAACCCACACCTCTAGGCAGTGTTAGAAACTCAAATACACAAACTAAGCATCAAGTGGCTCCTTAAACCTTACAGTCTGCCCAGTTGCCATTTTTGGGCCAGGCTGCTCAAAAGCCGTATTTTTCAATACAACTTTGCAGATAAAATATAGTGGGTAGAATTCTACAGGATGCGTTGCTGGTGTGTGAAATCAGTCAAAATACAAGGATCCCCAGGCATTCATCTCCAGATGGTGAAGACGTCAGCCACTGTCCTGGCTCCTGAACGTCATCGCTTGGTTGCAAGTGGCCGGTAGCTGGGAGCAAAATGCTGCTGGCACCTGGCAAATTTCGAACACTTGCCTCTAGGGCAGATACTCATGTAACCTAAAATCCATTAAAGGTTGGAGGTAGCCCAGGAATAGCCCATGATGTGACACCATCACTGTTGCTCAAATACAATAAAATTGGACCTTGCTGTATGTGTACATTCTGCCTGCAACTACCTGCCTTCTGCAAATACAGTGGTGCCTCGCAAGACGAAAAGAATCTGTTCCGCGAGTCTCTTCGTCTTGTGGGTTTTTTCGTCTTGCGAAGTCCATTAGCGGTTTAGCGGATTAGCGCTACAGTATTAGCGGCTTAGCGGGCTTAGCGGATCAGCTGATAAGCGGCTTAGCGATCAGCTGTTAAGCGGCTTAACGATCAGCTGATAAGTGGCTTAAGGATCAGCTGATAAGCGGCTTAGCGATAAGCTGTTAAGCGGCTTAGCCGATCAGCTGATAAGCGGTTTAGCGGCTTGGGAAAAAGGAAAAAACCCCCGCAGGAACTCGCAAGACATTTTCGTCTTGCGAAGCAAGCACATAGGAAATTCGTTTTGCGAAGCACCTCCAAAACGGAAAACCCTTTCGTCTAGCGGGTTTTCCGTCTTGCGAGGCATTCGTCTTGCGGGGCACCACTGTACCTGATTAGCATTACGTCTTGCAGTTCCCGAGGCTGTTTATGGATTATATGAGACCTTGTGGCAAAGCCATCAAGGGCCGTTAAGACCTGTTCATGGGCCCTTCTCCCCATGCCAGTCTGGAATGTAAATTGGCATGCCACTTGTGGTAGGATTCTCCGTGTGGGGAAAAGCCACTGCATGTGAAAATATACAAAGAGAACTGTGAACGTGGCCAACTGCTAAATGGTAGTTGTTGGCATTCAATAGTATTCAAATAGCTGCATTGCTCAGGCTTGCGCCCAGGAGAGCTGTTGAAGTCCTGGATCGCACCACGGGCAAGGGAAGGGTCAATTCACCTATATTGTTGCATTATGGACACCCACTGTTTTTATTAAAGTGTTCTGTTTGTGTAGTATTTTGGGCTTTCCTGCCTTCCCCTCTTTTTAAACGCCGTTGGCTCAGATTACTGATGTGTTATCACCAGCTTTGGCAGAGGGTAAAATGCATGGAGTATGGTCCAATGTGAGGACTGCTTTTGACAGCCTTTTCCATTATGAAAGCCTTTTTTGCATGCATTGTCTTTGTCCTGGACATACTTTCTTCTTTTTTTAAACAAGGGGCCCTGAAAGCTTCAGTGTGTGATTGCAGTCTTCCATGCTGAAAATGCTACTTCCACCGTGATTGCATGTTTACTTGCATTGCGGAAAATTGCAAGCTTTTGCATTGTTTCTTAATTACTTGGGCGACAGGGAATTTTGCTTCCACTGATGAGTAGAATTGACATTTCATAGTAGATGGAAATCTGAATGCTGAGTGAAGGCTGCAAAAAGCTCACGCTGAGAGTTGATTCTTTTCAACCTTTCTACTGACTTTCTGGAACTCGCCAGGGGACATAATTTTAATCACTTGGAATCCACCGTCAGGTTGACCACTTCCCCAGTCTTTTTTTGTAAACAAGCATTAAAAGACAGTGTGAAGATGACCCTTTTTCTTATTAGGGTTTTCCGTGCAGCGTGGCAGCTTCTGTATTTTGCTCAGTGCGAAAACCTGCGTTAAAAAAACCCCCTCCACGTTAATTATATCTCTTGATTGCCTGTTGCTAGTTAGCTTTGCTTATTTCCCCCTCTGATCCATTGTTCTTGTAACCGTGTTCAAAACTCGGATATATAATTGCCAAGTGGCACCTTAAACCTGGGTTACGGTCGTCGCAACGGCACCATTTTTAAAAATGGTAATGGTGGTGCAGAGGAACATTTTCTCATGCGAAGGTTACTCGTGGAAAAAGATCATGGGTACCGCATGCACCCCACAGGGGGATCCAGTTGCTTGTGGAGCGGGGAGCTGAAGTTTTCCGCGTCTCTCTCTGAACGCTTGAAAACACAGGGATGTCAGAGACTTGGTTAAATGCACCTCCTGGCCTGCCCCGCAGGCTGCAGAGGGAGCGGTTGCAAGTACAGTGGTACCTCGGGTTACAGACACTCCAGGTTACAGACTCTGCTAACCCGGAATTAGTACCTCGGGTTAAGAACTTTGCTTCAGGATGAGAACAGAAATCGCGGGGCAGTAGGAGGCCCCATTAGCTAAAGTGGTACCTCAGGTTAAGAACAGTTTCAGGTTAAGAATGGACCTCCGGAACGAATTAAGTTCTTAACCAGAGGTACCTCTGTACATTGCGATTACAAGATGCAAGGCATCTTGAGAGACAGTGGAGTGCACCTCTGGGGGCAAAGTCAAACCTCATTGTTTTTTGCTGCGTTAGCAGCACTGAAATGACCTCTCTGTGGCACAAGACTGGGCAGTGTATGTGGATGTCCTGGGCCACCTAGATGACAAGACTCCCCACCTCGCCCTTGCTGATGTGGACCGAAGGAAAGGAGAGCAATATGTTTGGCAGCAGCTTGGCTGCAGGAGTTGCCGGAAGGAGGCATAGAACTGTCTTAGGAACTCCACACCAGTTTTGTGAAGGGTTTTCTCTTTAGCCTTCCCTGCTTGTAAGGCAGCGGAGGTTTGGGATCAGAGTTTTCCTTCTCTTGGATGAGATTACCTTCCCAGGTTACCAAGCCCTCAATGATAATGTATCTTAAACGCTCAGTATCCCTTCTCATAATGACCTTGGAAGATGAATAATTGTGCTTTTTTTAATTGTGTGGAAGAAGGGTTAAAGGGGCTGGGACCAAGACACCTGCCTTTTTGCTTTTTTGGCTGCATTGAGATCTGAACTCGGGGCTCGTCACAGAGTGCACTCCCTCTGGGCACGCCCCACTTTCCTGTAGGTGCACAATTGTGCACAGTCCTTGAATTCTTTTAAGCACAACCCCTGCCATTTGAAAAGCAAAGCATGGTTTGGATTCTCATTGTTTGGACTGAAAACTTCCAGTCCCTCTGTGGCATACGCGATATTGGAGAGTGCAAAGATCTGCGGTTACATAACACTCTTCGGTTAATGCATCTCTTCTCGTCCTTTCCCAGAAGCCTTCTGCTCTTTTGTTGCTGCTGCTCCTGTTCATTTGTGAGCAGGGGTGATTTGTTTTTCCTTGACACAAGGAGGAAGGGAGGGGAGCAGTCTGTAGCCTAATGTACAGCAGCTAGAAATTTCTGTTCCTTACCTGCATAACTATTTTTTTACTTTATACAGTAAAAGAATTTAATTCGTTCTGGAGGTCCGTTCTTAACCTGAAACTGTTCTTAACCTGAGTTACCACTTTAGCTAATGGGGCCTCTGGCCACCATGCGATTTCTGTTCTCATCCTGAAGCAAAGTTCTTAACTCGAGGTACTATTTCTGAGTTAGTGGAGTCTGTAACCTGAAGCATCTGTAACCCGAGGTACCACCGTATTACTCGTTTGTTGAATTTCAGAAATTTTTAACAAATTCACTTCAATTTAAACACATATTTCCCTTTTTTGAGTTCCCTTACCTCCATGCTGTTTTTATTTCCTTTTCCTGCTGTATTATATAGCATACATTTAACGAATATATATTTCCTCCCTTACAGTTATTACTGTTTCCCTTCTGCTGCTCATCCGCCTGCAGAACTCTTGCATTTTACTTACACAGAGTATATCCCCCCCCCCAATTTTGCTCTGAGTTTTCATAGCATAGGAAGTGTGCTGCCGGAACGAACCAGAGTTGGAAGGGGGGAGGGTATGATCCCATCCAGAGCAGGCAGTTGAGTGGTTTATGTAGACGTGGTACCCACCCAACGTCCCTCTCCCCCCCCCATTTGTGCATGGCTTTTCCTCACCCCCAATCAAATGGGTGGCAAAGAAGGAGGAAAGGAAAATGGCCGTTGTGTTGCTCATGCGATGCTTTTGGTCAGGTTATCACTCAGCGGTTGGAAGACCAGCACCTTAAATTCTACAACTTGGATATAATCCGTATAAACTGACCTAGAGGCCTGATGCCAAAGACTCAGCTGCTGGTTTCAAATCAATATGTAAACACCAGCCTCCTGGCCATGTGCGTTCCTCTTGTCTGTCCAAATCTCTGTTTTCCCTAGACTCTGAGAGTTTTCATCTGTCTTGCTCTGGAAGGTCTTTTATTTCAGCCATCCTTTTCCCAAGTCTCCAACTCCGTCCCTCCGTCCGGCTTTCCTTCGATCCTGGTCCTGCTGCTCTCTTGGATTGGATCAGCTCAGCCAATGGCCATCAGAGATACACCTGCCCATGTAGCAAAACAGAGCTCAGTTAGATGGTGCTGGGGATGTCTTTGCCTCCACTGGACCCATTGCGACATCACGTTTTGTTGGAAGGATGGGAAGAGGGGGAGTGAGCTTGAAATCTTTCTCGGTAGGGTCCCAGTGCCTCTGTAGATTGGATTTCACATTTGCGTTAGGTTTTGCCAGCAAGAAAGCTGAGCTCCATGTGGCTCTCAACAGCAAGGCATCGACATTTATTATACCTGCCACTGTTCAAACTATGGCATTTTCCACATCAGTTCACAACATTCAAAGCTGTTATAAACAGCACAATCACAATAATAGCAAACATCAAAAACATTTCAAATCAATATATATTGCAGCCAGCCATACCATTATTAAATCCAAAAGCAGAAGTGCCTGCCTTTTAGTTCATTTTTTTTGTTTTGATAAAAGTACAGTGGTACCTTGGTTTGCATACATTTGGTTTGCATACGTTTTGGATTACAAACATGTCAAACCCGGAAGTGCGTGTCCTGGTTTGCAACCTTTTTTTTGGATTACAACCCTTTTTTTTTTTATTACGATCAAATTTTTTTTTTGAGGCCCCGTTGGTGAAAGTGCGCCTTGGGTTACAGCCTGTTTTGGTTTACAAGCGGACGGATTCTGGTTATAAACGAAGGTACCACTGTAATCATGAATTGTCCTAAGCATTACCAAGGAAGTGGCTGATAGTATATCTTGGGAGGAAGCTTCATAGCTGGGGGAAAGACCTTTCTAGGGTTGCCATATTTTGAAGAGCAAAAAAAGATGGAGACCTTTGCTGACTTGAAAAAGAGGACATGTCCTGGGAAAAGAGGACATATGGCAACCCTACTTGGGTCTCTTTGTGGCCAGAAGACACACAAGCCCATCACCTTGCTGGCCCTAAACTGGAATCATGGAATTGAGGAGTTCGATGGGGCCACGAGGGTCATCTAGTCCAACTCCCTGCAATGCAGGAATCTTTTGCCCAGTGTGGGACTCGGAATGCATGACCCTGAGATGAAGAGTTTCATGCTCCACTATTCCACCCAAAGCAGTTTGGGTTTGGCCAGTGCCTGGATGCCACATGTACTCTGCGTTGGGTCCCGTAGCAGAAGAAAGGCAGCATAAAATTGTAAGAAAAACAGAATAAAAATACCCACCTGGCAAAAGCACCTGTAGGGCCTCCGCAACGGATTTGGGATCCCTGGTGGAATTTTATAGGGGCCTAGGTAGTAACATGGCCTTTTAAGTAACATGGCCCCAAGTAAGTACCATGTTAGTCAATATACACATGCCAAGAGAACAATAGTCCTTTTGGTGGCTACCAATTTAGATGGCTTCGAAAGAAGATTAGACAAATGGCTAGTAGCCATGACGGGTCCGCTACAATCAAAGGCGGTACGTTTCTGAATGCCAATTTCTGGAAACCACAGGAGAGGGAGATGCAGTTTCCTACATGCACACCTGGTTGGCCATTCTTGAGAACAGGATTCTGGACCGTATGGGTCCTTAGTCTGATCCATCAGGGCAGCTCATAATGTTCTTTTATTAACACCGTAATGCAATAATATGGCAGCTCAACAAGCAGTTGAATAAATGCAAATGCAATTGAGTAATTACAATAATAAAGGTCCATAGAAATAATTTTAGAAAGGACATTGCAAAAAGTCAACGCAGTACATATCAAGAAACGCAGGACCTAAATTCAGGTTTTGCTCTCTAGGGTAGAAGCTAGTGGCTTCTGGAAGGCAGCAACCCGGAAGTCATAAATGAGAGCAATGATAAGTGCTCACAGCCACCTTGTCGATGGCTGCTGTTTACAGTTTGCAGCTTGAGTCAGCAGGAAAGGCTCTGATCTGCCAGTCTCATCAGAACTGCTCACCAGCAGCAAGTGCTTGATAGAGGACATATTCTCCTCTCCCCCCCACCTCATTTTTGGTGACACTGCAAATTCGACATCCTTCAGTCCTCCTGCTCTGTCCTCTCTCAGACTCCGCTTCTTTATCTGTGCATTGTAGCATCTTGTTTTCGGAGCGTTATCTGCATTTGTTTGGAGCGGGCGGTTTCTGCTGAATCGTGCTTTCCGTTACCTGGCGCGAGGCCTGTCTTCAAGAAAAGGGTTTTTCTCCTGGGTGCTCTTAATGAGTTGTTTTGCAATGATCCCCACTTCCTCCCCGCTGCAACCTGACGGCGTGGCATTCTTGCAGTCCGCCTAGCAAGCATGCGTGTTGCGATGTGGGCATTATCATTGTTTGGCAGATTCCTTCAGCATTCTTGGGAAATTCCCAGGCTTTGAGGAAGCGGACCTGACAGCTTCTTGACTGGGCAGAAGTGGCAATTTAATGCCAGCTCCAGTGGAGTGTTTCAGCCACGTTTCGCTGCGGGGGCTTGACTGACACAGCGACCTGGTGATGCGCTAACACCCAGAGTTTCTGCTTGGTCTGAAATGATATCTTTGGCCCTACGGTGAGGCAGCTGTCCGGAGATACAGTGGATGCTTGGGTTACGAAGGTGATCCGTGCGGGATGCACATTCGCAACCCGCAGTGTCTGCAACCCGCAGCAGCGCGTCCGCACACACGCGGGTTGTGATTCAGCACGTCTGTGCATGCGCAAAGGGCGATTTAGCGCTTCTGCGCATGCACGACCGCCGCAACCCGGAAGTAACCCGTTCCGGCATTTCCGGGTTTCGGCGGTCTGCAATCCGAAAAAACGCAACCTGAAGCGTCTGTAACCCGAGGTATGACTGTGACTGTACTCAAAGGGTGGCTGCTTTCTGCCTTCCGAAGGCGGCTAGTTATGCCCTTGATTGGACTGATACGGACTTCAAACCGCTTTTGGACGCTGTATTGTGCAGCCCTAGCGCATGATTCAGAGCCACAGATTCTTGGCCTATATCAGGGGTCAGTAACCCCTTTCAGCCGTGGGCCGGTCCACCGTCCCTCCGACCATGTGGTGGGCCGGACTATATTTTTTAGGGGGGAAAAATGAACAAATTCCTATGCCCCACAAATAACCCAGAGATGCATTTTAAATAAAAGCACATATTCTACTCATGTAAAAACACCAGGCAGGCCCTACAAATAACCCAGAGGTGCATTTTAAATAAAAGGACACATTCTACTCATGTAAAAACACGCTGATTCCTGGACTGTCCATGGGCCGGATTGAGAAGGCAATTGGGCCGTACCCGGCCCACGGACCTTTGGTTGCCTACCTCTGGCCTGTATATAGTGTGTGATTAAGGAGGAATTGCTTCTAGGTCTATGCGCTTAAGAAGCGAAGCTAAACTTTTTTTTGGGGGGGGGAAGTAACTGAAATTCTGCAACCTGTTTAAATTACACATTTATAGGCAAGCCCCCCATTTATGTACATTCGATATGTGCGTGACTGCACATATGCGCCTCGCGCTGAACCTGGAGGTGGCCCAGAAATGTCACCAGAGGGGGAGGAAGTATTTACAATGGTCTTTTCCCAATGGTATTTCGAAGATAAATATGATTTCACTGACGTTTGCTGTGCCTCTGAATGTAACTCCTGCGTAAATAGGGAGTTGCCTGTAATGCGGTATTTTACCCCTAATCCCCTCTTGCGGTTCTTTAAAAGCATTTCTCATAATTCTGCGTCTGCCGGGTTGAGGACACTGAACCTCAGTGGTAAACCACTTGCTTTGCAAACCCTGACACAACCCTGGGGCTAGGTAAGACCCCACCTGGAAACCCCAGAGAGCCATTGCCAGGTGGTGTAAACAGTTCGGAGCCCGATGGCCCATGGCTATCACAGCCTAGGACTTCCGTCAATCTCGACTAATGGTTTTCTAACTTCCTTTCTGATTTTGCATTTTATTTTAATAGTTGTTGCTATAAAATCCTAAATCCTAAATAAACTCCTCCTTAGTCCTTTTTCGCAATAATTCATATAGTTCTCCTTACAAAACTTCTTGCAACCCTACAAGCGATGTCAATTGATTACAGTTGTCTTTCAAATATATCATAAATTTCTTCCAGTCTTTCAGGAAAGTCTGGTCTTGCTGGTTCCAAATTTTCCCAGTTAATTTCGCCAACTCGGCAAAATTACATGGGAACAACATGGCCTAAGTCCACTTCATAGGCTTATCAGTATATCTTTGAGGCTTTACCCTCTGCAAATCTCCAGCACCACACCAGACGTCTGAAATTTAACTGGGCATTACATTGTGTCGTATACTTTTATATCCTGCCTTTCTGCTGTTTCTTGCCAACCAAGGCAGAGGATGTTTCCATGCACATTTTGCAAAAAAAAAAAAAAAAATGGTTAGAGCTGAATAAGGCTTATAATGAAAGGAAGTTGAGATTTCTGGAGCTGAGCTTTTTTTCTGTGCTCCTGTGGCATCGAGGCATGCACAAACCTCATGTCTTCCTTGCGGTCTTCCCATGGCATCTGATTGTGGGAAACTGGACGTTGGATGAGAGGTGGTTTGATCCTGCAGGTCTCCCGGCTTAGCATAAGAGTCTTGTTGGTTCCCAAGGATTCAGAGATTTATTGCTTCTGAGCACGTAGCCACCATGGCTTTAGTGGTACCTTGGTTTTCAAATGTCTTGTTACTCAAACAGCTTGGAACGCAACACTGCAAACCCAGAAGTAAGTGTTCCGGTTTGCGAACTTTTTTTGGAAGCCAAATGTGCTCCGTTTTGAGTGTTAACGTTTCCGTTTTGAGTGCCACGCTTCCGTTTTGAGTGTTACACTGAGGTCTGTCTGTTTTTGCTTTTTATTTTGCGTTTTTCTTTTTGAGGCTCTTTTTAAAAAGATATATATATTATATTTATAAAGATTTGGTGACTGTGTGGAACCCAGTTCAGCTACTGATCGATTGATCGCGTGACTGCAGTACGTTGTTTATTGCTTTCATTTTATGGATCAGTGGTCTTGTTAGATAGTAAAATTCATGTTAAATTGCTGTTTTAGGGGTTGTTTTTAGAAGCCTGGAATGGATTAATCCATTTTGCATTACTTTCTATGGGAAAGTGCACCTTGGTTTTGGAACGCTTTGGTTTTGGAACAGACTTCCGGAACGGATTAAGTTTGAGAACCAAGGTACCACTGTAGTAGCCATTAATGGCTCTGTGCCACTCTGTTTATGTGTGAAGCTGACTGCTCCACCAGCAGTGATGTTTATGTACTGTTTTTTAATTTTTGGCCTTAAGAACTTTGGTTCAATGCTCAAAACGCTGCACTAAGTCTAGAAATTCCTGTTTTGGTAGCTGATTGACTCTGAGTTCTAAATAACTTGATTATTCGTATGTTAGCACTCATTCTCAGCTTAAGAGGAAGTGGAAAATCGACAAATTTTAGTTCACAGTAAGCGGAGAACTTTTGTTGAAAATTGAAACGTGAAATGTGGTCAAAGTTTAAAGTCAGATGTCCAGATTGAGAGAGAGACTGTGTCTCTGTTTAAATCCTAAAAATGCCTTTAAATAAAGAGGACATTTAACTTCAGTTGCTGGGAACATACGCTTTAATTGACTTTAACCCCTATTAAATAATGTACATTTTTGGTTAATTTAAGGGTTGGGGCCCAATTTTAATCAGAGATTGAGATTTGAAAGCATGCTTGTTTGTTTTTTGAGGTTATTCTGGTTTTACCGGGAAAAGAGTGGAAAAAGAAAATAAATGAGTACTGTTAGCAAAATGTTTAGAAAGCAGAATTCCGAGTCTTGATAGAATGCGATTATAAAGAATTGTAGATGTCAGGGTTGCTAGAAGGCAGATTTTACCTGCTATCCTATGGAAACAGTAGCAAAATTAATTCATGGAAATAATAAGTTTGGAGACCATTCCACCCCCCTCTCCCTCACCCTCTTTTTAAGAGAAGTTTTATCTTCCAAATTACAGCCATAGAAGACAAGGCTTCAGGGATTCAGGGTTCTGTAGTGCAAATCCCAAAATGAATTTATAGTCTCCGTTGATCAGAGAAAACAACGCTTGGTGGTAAAGTTCACTGGTTCTCAGTCCTTGGTAAGGCGACCTTTGCTCCAGCCCATGGCTAATGAAGACTTTGGAGCGACTTCCCAGATTCTTGTGAGCTAGGTGTTACATGTGTGCAGATATATAGCTGGTTTCCTTGCTTGGAAGCAGGGTGGATTTGATTTAAATCAAATCGATTTAAATCATGATTTAAATCACTAGTCAGTAAGACTTGATTTAAATCAATTTTTTTTACAGAAAGACTCATTCTTGTTGGTATAATCTTAATATTTACAACCAGATGGAGGTTTCATTTTTGGAACAATAAATTTTCAGAGTAGTCAAAAATTACTGATTTGGTTTTACTATTAGAAATACATTGGCAGATAATTATGAAATTATTGCGAGGTATAATAAGTTAACTGTTTATATTTTGACAACTTTTCTGCTGTACTTCATTGGAAGGAGAAAAAGAATCATTTCCTTAATAACAATTTAAACAATTTATTTAACTAAATAACCTCATAGCATATGTATCCATGTTTGTTAACTGCATCCCGGCTATGTCCGGGAGATTGCAGGCGTATGGCAGCCTTATTTAAATGCACTTTCGCCATGTTTGGGTTTATGCAGGAGAGAGTCAGTGCGGGAAGCAATTGCTTTTAACCTTTTAAATCTTGGCCAGTTCCAACCATGGCCCCAGGCTTTATCATAGATTCATAGAATCATAGAGTTGGAAGAGACCACAAGGGCCATCGAGTCCAACCCCCTGCCAAACAGGAAACACCATCAGACCACTCCTGACATATGGTTGTCAAGCCTCTGCTTAAAGACCTCCAAAGAAGGAGACTCCACCACACTCCTTGGCAGCAAATTCCACTGTCGAACAGCTCTTACTGTCAGGAAGTTCTTCCTAATGTTTAGGTGGAATCTTCTTTCTTGTAGTTTGGATCCATTGCTCCGTGTCCGCTTCTCTGGAGCAGCAGAAAACAACCTTTCTCCCTCCTCTGTGTGACATCCTTTTATATATTTGAACATGGCTATCATATCACCCCTTAACCTCCTCTTCTCCAGGCTAAACATGCCCAGCTCCCTTAGCCGTTCCTCATAAGGCATCGTTTCCAGGCCTTTGACCATTTTGGTTGCCCTCCTCTGGACACGTTCCAGTTTGTCAGTGTCCTTCTTGAACTGTGGTGCCCACGACTTTAAAAAGACTTTAAAAGGTCGTTGGTGAGTAAGTGTTTTAGGTGAGGGGAAAGCCATACATTACCGCAAGATTCGCAGTCTAAAGAGGTGGTTTGTTCTTGTGTGTGAAGGCCCAAAATCTGAGTGCAGGTTGACGCCGTTTTGTCAGCGTCAGCTGTACTTAGGAAATAATTGGCTTCGTATACGCAAGAGTTCTGTGCAGGTTATTTTGCATGGGGAAACTGCAGAAAGCGGTAATTGAAATCCGAATCCATCAATCTTGTTATTTTTATTATTATTATTTTTTTCATAGCTGGGTTACGGCTCCTGATGTGTGCGGAAGCAGTAGTAGAAGTTGCTTAGGGATTTGAGAGCAGAGACAAAGGAATGCCTGCTTAGATTGTCAAACGCCAAAGATATTTAGGGGGTGGTTTTTGGTTCAGTCAGTCAGAGCCGAACTTAGTGTTTACAAGCAGATGCTTATAACTAAACTCTGGTAGCTCCTTTCGTAAAGGTAAAAGCTCTTCAGCACCATCGTGTCTTGGGCGGGAGCTACGTTCTGGGATGGAGCTTATCTACAAAAGCATGTATACCTGTACTGACCCATTGGACCATCTTCTGCAAAATCATCCTCATCTTTCAAGTCGCGAGGCTGACTTGAGTTCCCGCGACGACTTTTGAGAACTCCCAGAACCTTCCAGAGCCTGATAAGCGAGGTAGCTGGCCTGGTTAGAAACTCTTTCCGCACAGGGAAAACCTGGCTTGAAATGAGCTTTTAAGCTCCCTGCTTTGCATGCAATTAATTTGTGGGATTTCAGTCGGCCAGCTTTCAACCGCGCAAGGTTGGAATTCTACGTTAAAGTGGGATTGTACCATACTCGTGTGAATGCTGTGCTTTGGAGTGGAGAAGTTGCAGGTGCAAGAAGAGTTAAGGACTCATTAAACCCTCCCGATTCTCAGTGCTAAATTGATCCCCGTAGAAAATTTAAACAACTGTTGTCCTAAAGTACGGATGACTCACCTGAGGCTCCTCCAGATAAGTAGAACACCCCATCAAGCCAAACATTGTTATTGGTCCAGAGTGAATGAAGCTGGGAGTCTTAAAAGCATCTAGAACAGTGGTTCTCAACCTGTGGGTCCCCAGATGTTGTTGAATTACAACTCCCATCACCCCTAGCTAGCAAGGCCAGAGTTCAGGGATGATGGGAGTTGTAGTCCAACAACATCTGGGAACCCACAGGTTGAGAACCGCTGATCTAGAATGTCCATTAAGCCATTTCTGTGATAAGGCTTAGTTATGTAGATATGTGTCCAATGTAAATAGTGTGCTGAGTGGAAGCACTGTGTAGTCGTCAAAGTGGGCTAACCGCTGCTTCTCCACCTAAGCTGCCTCACAGGGTTGTTGTGGGGATCAAATGAGGACCCGGGGAGATGCATGCCACCATAAAGCTCCTTGGGAGAAACGTTGAGCTAATAATTGCAGGAAATAAAAAAGGACACGTCTCCTTTGTTGACTAATAAACATTTTCAGCTGCTGTTTTGGTCCTAAAAAGTCAACAATTAAAAATTCAATAAAACCAGGATAAAACGGGCAAAGCAATAAAACAGCAGGGGAGGGCAGAACTGCAAACAGAAGCGAAAGCTTGGCAAAACCAGAGGAAAAAGTCTTGCCAGGCAGCTGACCTGTAGCCAACTGGACCTCTTGTGGAAGGGAGTTTTGCAACCTGCGTGCCACATTAGAAAAAGTCCCCGTCCCCCTCTTTTGACAATTTGTGCCTCTTGAGGGTGATGAGACACATTGCAAAGCAGTATTGAGGAATCAGGTTGTTCATCTGGCCCCATATTTAATAGGCAACACACAGCGTTTTATAATTTGGGACCAGAATCGCAACTGGGAGCTAGTACGGTTGAGCTCAGATTGGAGTAAAAAAAGCAGCAAAAAGTCAGCTCCAAACCCTATTGTACACTTTTCATCTGTTGAAGTTTCTGAACACTCTTAGAAGACAGCTCCATTTACAGGAGGGGTGGGGGACCTGCGTCCCTCCAACTTTGATGGACCACATCTCCCATCATCCTAGCCATAAGCCCTGCTGGTTGCGGCTCCTGGGATTTGGAGTCGGTATTACCAAAAGCTAAATGCGCCTGCAGAATTCTTTACCCCATACTATCAAGTGCTCAACATCAAAAAAACTAAGATCATGGCCACTGGTCCCATCATCTCCTGGCAAATAGAAGGGGAAAAAATGGAGGCAGTGAGATATAATACTTTCTTGGGCTCCATGATCACTGCAGATGGTGACAGCAGTCACGAGATTAAAAGATGTCTGCTTCTTGGGAGAAAAGCAATGACAAACCCAGACAGCATCTTAAAAAGCAGAGAAATCACCTTGCCAACAAAGGTCCATATAGTTAAAGCTATGGTTTTCCCAGTAGTGATGTATGGAAGTGAGAGCTGGACCATCAAGAAGGCTGATCGCCGAAGAATTGATGCTTTTGAATTATGGTGCTGAAGGAGACTCTTGAGAGTCCCATGGACTGCAAGAAGATCAAACCTATCCATTCTGAAGGAAATCAGCCCTGAGCGCTCACTGGAAGGACAGATCCTGAAGCTGAGGCTCCAGTACTTTGGCCACCTCATGAGAAGAGAAGACTCCCTGGAAAAGGCCCTGATGTTGGGAAAGATTGAGGGCACAAGGAGAAGGGGATGACAGAGGGCGAGATGGTTGGATAGTGTTCTCGAAGCTACCAGCATGAGTTTGACCAAACTGCGGGAGGCAGTGGAATACAGGAGTGCCTGGCATGCTCTGGTCCATGGGGTCACGAAGAGTCGGACACAACTAAACAACAACAACATCAAGTGCTTAAAGTTTTTGCTCACATACGATGGCCTCCTGCCTTTAGCGAGGAGTCGGCACAGCCAGCAGCTGCCACACAGGAGACATTTGTGGAAGTTCCACCTTCTTCAAGGAGCTGAGCCCAGGCAGGTCAGTGGGCTGCTATGCCCCTGAGAGAGAGCCCCAGATCTTTTCACTGAGTGGTGGTGTCATTGCCACTGCTTTTCAGGTGAAGCCACTTGGATCCTGTTTGTGGGTTCCTCATAGGCTTCTGGATGGCCACTGAGATGGCAGCATGCTGGCTTAGGAGGGCATTTGGTCCAGTCCTGCAGAGCTCTTGTATGCTCAGCTATTTTCTTACCTTAGCTTTGTACTTGTGCATGTAAGACTTGACAGAGATGCCTTAAAGCAGCGGTTCCCAGTTAGCTAAGTCCTGCAGACCCCTTGTTTTTCCCCAAGCCAAACCATGGACCCCCCCCCCCACTTTTGAAAACTGGGATAACTCCATGGCAATAATAACAATAATAATAATACCTTTATCTTTATTGTCAATGTACAACCTGTGTACAATGAAATTAACTGAGTCTCCCTCCCCTCCCCACAAACACTCACTCTCATTGCACTCTGTGTGCTTGTCGCATGACACACCAACCCCGAAAGTCAGTTGCACTATATTATTTTCTGTTCAGCAGCCTAACAGCCCACGGATAGAAACTGGTTTTTAGCCTCTTGATACGACTAATTATATTTCTATATCTCCTGCCCGAAGGTAGAAGATTAAAGAGGTGATGGCCAGGGTGTGAGTCATCCCTGAGAATTTTTCTCGCTCTCCTAAGGCATCGATCCCTTGCAATGTCATCTAGCGGGCTCAGGGGACAGCCCATAATATCATGCACTGTGTTAACTACCCTCTGTAAAGACTTTTTGTCTGTGGCTGTCAAGCCAACGTACCACACTGTGATACAATATGAGAGGACACTTTCTATTGTGGACAAGTAGAAGGAAGTCATCAACTGTTGTTTAACATTGTTCTTTCGCAAGACCATGAGAAAAATGGAGTCTCTGTTGGGCCTTCCTAACCACCTGAGTTATATTGTTTTTCCAAGTGAGGTCTTCACTAAGCTAAACTCCCAGGAATTTAGAGGAAGAGACTCTCTCCACACAACCCCCCCCCCCCGATATACAACAGGGCTAGTTCCTCTTCCTCCGAAAGTCCAACACCATCTCCTTTGTCTTGCTAATATTTAGGTGGAAGATATTCTCTAAGCACCATGTACAGTGGTGCCTCGCAAGACGAAATTAATTCGTTCCGCAAGTTTTTTCTTCTTGCGAGTTTTTCGTCTTGCGATGCACGGTTTCCCATAGGAATGCATTGAAAATCAATTAATGCGTTCCTAGGGAAACCGACTTCAGACCAGGTCCGGGGACAGTCTGTCCCCCGACCTCTTCTGAAGGCTGGGGGGGGGGACAAGGGCTTTTCTTCCCACCCACCCCAGCATTTTAAAACCCCGGGACAGCGGAGGGCTTCTCCGCTGTCCGGGCGATCTTAAAATGCTGGCGGGCGGCATTTTAAAATTGCCCCGGGACAGCGGAGGACTTCTCCGCTGTCCGGGGCAATTCAAAGCTCCTGGGAAGGCAGGCAGGGGGACAAAGACTTTTGCCCCCGCCTGCCTTCAGAAGAGGTCCTGGACCTCTTCTGAAGGTTGGCGGGGGGCGAATGTCTTTGTCCCCCCCCCACCTGCCTTCAAAAGCTGTCCAGCCAAGGCTTCGCGGACCTCTCCGCAAGCAGCGGCAGCACTGCCGCTGCTTGCGGAGAGTTGCCGGCATGCCGAAGCCTGCGCGCGCTGAGATCAGCGCGCCCAGGCTTCGCGGACCTCTCCACGAGCAGCGGCAGCGCTGCCGCTGCTTGCGGAGAGTTGCCGGCATGCCGAGCCTGCGCGCGCTGAGATCAGCGCGCCCAGGCTTCGCGGACCTCTCCGCGAGCAGCGGCAGCGCTGCCGCTGCTTGCGGAGAGTTGCCGGCATGCCGAAGCCTGCGCGCGCTGAGATCAGCGCGCCCAGGCTTCGCGGACCTCTCCGCGAGCAGCGGCAGCGCTGCCGCTGCTTGCGGAGAGTTGCCGGCATGCCGAGCCTGCGCGCGCTGAGATCAGCGCGCCCAGGCTCGCGGACCTCTCCGCGAGCAGCGGCAGCGCTGCCGCTGCTTGCGGAGAGTTGCCGGCATGCCGAAGCCTGCGCGCGCTGAGATCAGCGCGCCCAGGCTTCGCGGACCTCTCCGCGAGCAGCGGCAGCGCTGCCGCTGCTTGCGGAGAGTTGCCGGCATGCCGAGGCCTGCGCGCGCTGAGATCAGTGCGCCCAGGCTTCGCGGACCTCTCCTGCCTTCAAAAGCCGTCCGGGATAGCGGGAAGCGCTTCCCTGCTATCCCGGACTGCTTTTAAAATGCTGGCGGTGGGGCGCCAGCCTTTAGGCCCCCGCCCGCCTTCCAGGACCACGTCTGGAGGCCGGAGGGGGGGGGAGGGCTTTGCTCCCCACCGCGAGCTTAGAAATGTGGGCCCCGGAGAGTTCCCTATGGGCTTTCGTCTTGGGAAGCGAGCCCGTAGGGAAATTCGTTTTGCGAAGCGCCTCCAAAACGGAAAACCCTTTCGTCTAGCGGGTTTTCCGTCTTGCGAGGCGTTCGTCTTGCGGGGCACCACTGTAGATACTTTTTGAACCTCCCCCCGTACGCTGATTCATCAGTTTTCTGTGGTGCCTCAGACCCCTTGAGTGGGTTATGCGGATGCCCCCCCCATCAAGTAAAGCAATAGAAATACTTAAGTAATAGACCAATCACGTTAGTCCTGCCCCCCCATCAAAAATCCTGACCACACCCATGGCAGACGCCCTGTGGTCCTCGGACCACCAATTGCGAACCACTACATTAAAGCAAGCCTTTCTCAGTTTCCTCGTACAGGTAGCTAAACAACAACAACAATAACAAATTAATTTGTTTTGGAAGCAAGATGTTGATGAGATACCAGGTTAGCACAGCTTTCTCCAATCTGGTTCTGTTAAGATGCTTTGGACTACAAGCCCCACCAGTCGTAGCCAGTATGGCCAATGGTTAGGGATGACGGGAGCCATGTACACAATAACATCTGGAGAGTGAGGAGGGCTTTGCCGTGGGCAGGATTAATTCAGTTGACTTTCTGTAGTTTTGATTTGCCTTATTGATTTGCCTTAGAAATGTCGGGTGCTCAGTAACCATGTACAAAGCACAATTTATTATTATTATTTCTCTTGCAGCGTGATACAGTAGTCAGTGCTTTTAATGCTGGAATCTTTGCGCGTAATACAGTGGTACCTTGGGATGCGAACGGGATCCGTTCCAGAGCCCTGTTTGCATCCTGAATTGAGCGTAACCCGTGTCTGTGCGTGCGTGGGTGGGTCACATTTCGGCGCTTCTGCGCATGCACGTGACGTCATTTTGATGGTCTGCCCATGCGCGCGTGGCGAAACCCGGAAGTAACGCGCTCCATTACTTCCCTGTCACCGCGGAGCGCAACCTGAAAATTCTTAACCCGAAGTGTATTCATCCCGAGGTATGACTGTACAGCGCACTTCCGAAACGATAGACACAGCCTTCAGCAGCAATCTGTGCTTCAGCAAGTTTGAATTTATGGACGCATTCACTGCTGGGAGGGTTTTACTGTGTTTATTTGTTGGAGGTACCCGTGAGTGTGAACTTGCAACCCTGCGGAACAGACACAAAGAATTTGGTGCTGCTAGTGGTTGTGTCCATTGGGGTTGGAGAGGACCTATGGATCTGGTGTGGTGTAGTGGTTAAGAGCGGTAGTCTTGTAATCTGGTGAACTGGGTTCGCGTCTCCGCTCCTCCACATGCAGCTGCTGGGTGACCTTGGGCTAGTCACACTTCTCTGAAGTCTCTCAGCCCAACTCACCTCACAGAGTGTTTGTTGTGGGGGAGGAAGGGAAAGGAGAATCTTAGCCGCTTTGAGACTCCTTAGGTTAGTGATAAAGTGGGATATTAAATCCAAACACTTCTTCTTCTTATATAGTCTGAAAATTAGCAACTTGTTCAGCCATGGCTGTACAGTCATACCTCGGGTTACAGATGCTTCAGGTTGTGTGTTTTTTTTTTGGGTTACAGACCTGCTGAAACTCGGAAGTACCGGAACAGGTTACTTCTGGGTTTCAGCGGTCGCACATGAGCAGAAGCGCTAAAGCCGTGCTTTGCGCATGCGCAGAAGCGCCGAATCACAACCTGCACATGCGCAGACACGGCACTGCGGGTTGTGAACGCTGCGGGTTGCGAACGTGCCTCCTGCACGGATCATGTTCACAACCTGAGCGTCCACTGTATCAGTTTATATACTACGACATTATACAGGTGCCCAGTCCCAGGTGTTGTGGGTGGAGGATGCTTTTTTAAGAAATGAAAAAATGAAATGCCAGTTGCCTTGTTTACACGTTGCATTTTCCCCCTGGGGAGTTCTCGTCCTGCAGCAAAAATCTCCAAGGATTTTCTTAGCTCTGCTAGTGTTGCACAGATGTTAACTTTCCTTGGCTTGGGCTGGGGAAGCAGGATTCCTAGAATTCAGCCCTCCTCCTTCCTCCTCCTCCCCAGCTGGATTCAACAACGTGGGCCTCGCTTGCCCTTTCTGCAAGCGGGTGATTGCCCAAGTATTCACTACAAAGGCTACTTGAGTGCAGTATGTTCCCTCTGACGCAGGGATTTTTATTTATTTATTGTTAGATACCGCATAAAGCTAAGGAAAGCAAAGTTCAGGAACAGTATCAAATGTCTACTGAACTTCCGCCTAAGTTTTCCTTCTGCAAAATTAGAAAAGTTCACTTCGAGATAGCTTTTCTGTCTTATTCTCTCCACCCACCATAAAGAACATCCGTAATGTTACAAAGATGTTGGCGGAAAATACGTAGGGTATAGTTTAAAAAAAGAAAAGAAAAGAAGAATGGATCGGGTTATGGACGTGTCTTGCAGTGCAATCCTATTCAGGTCTACTCAGAAGTAGCATTTGGTTCCATGAGACTTTCTCTCAGGTAGTGAGTACAGAATAGAGCCCCTTGTAGTCTTATGGCGGATCTGGGTTGTTGATCCTCAGTGTTTGACGCACAAGGCAACAAAAGGTGCAAAGCCCCCAGAGAAAGTTACAATAATAAAAGTTCACGATGCAAATCAGCTTTAAAATGTATTGTTAGGTCCATTTAGTGGAACTGTAGTCAGCTGGCTGGGGTTGCAACGCTGGTTAGTGATTGTGATAATTATTCAAAGCACTGATGATATATGTACTGTATATGAGATACTTTTGACAAGCTTTTTATTTTTATTTTTTTTAAAAAAAACATTCTTCACAAAGCACTAGACATCTGTGCTTGGATGTGTACCATATTTTAATTTCTTTGTGACAGAAAATAGCAAAATTTAACTCCAGTCACGAATGCGCCTCTACATAGATGTTGGTAGTGCAGGAATTGTTGCAGAAAGTAGGACATGATTGTATTCATGCACAATATCTGGGGAGAAGGGTGGGTTTCAAATTTGTTGTTATTGTTATTATTACCGTTATTACTATTATTAAATCTGTACCCCAGTTATTCTGTGGAACGGAACCCTCCATGGGCTGCAACTGGTGTCGTGTTAGGATAGTGGACAGAGAACGGCCTCATTTAAAGCAGGATCATGACATGACACTTTAAAACAGTCATGGCTTTCCCCAAAGATGCCTGGAAACTGTAGTTTGTAAGGGTGCAGAGAGTTTTTAGGAACCCCCCCCAACAGCCAAGTGGTTAGCTTAGCGCAGACATCGCTAACTTTTTCAGCGCGGGGCCGGTCCACTGTCCCTCAGACCTTGTGGGGGGCCGGACTATATTTTGAAAAATAATAATGAACGGATTCCTATGCCTCACAAATAACCCAGAGATGCATTTTAAATAGAAGGACATATTCTACTCATGTAAAAACACGCTGATTCCCGGACCGTCCGCAGGCCGGATTTAGAAGGCGATCCGGCCCCCGGGCCTTAGTTTTCCTACCCATGGCTTAGCGTTAAGTGAGAACTGGGCTAACCTGTTAGCTAGAAGTCAGGGATATCAGGTAGAATCTTATGGACTCCGTCAGTAGCAAACCTTGCTTCCTTCTCATGGCTTTTTTGAAGAAAGCTTAACCGCAAACTCAAAATTGGACACGCTAAGCCCAGCCATGGTTCTAGTGCAGCAGCAGCACAACGACTGGGGGGGGGGGAAAATATATTATTTTGTTTATTTGTTTAATGTATTTATATCATGCCTTTCTCCCAAGTTGGGATTCAAGGCGGCTTACAGTATTTCGAAAACGTCATTTTAAAATACCAAGTAACAGAAACAAAATAGTTACAAATAATAGTTAAGATACAATAAAAACACATTCAGAGCCAGCATTTTTAAATACTGATTGTCCTGATAGCAGGCCACTTGTCAGCATCATCTGCACCCATTGTTTATTTTGTGTTTATGTTTTAGTATTGTCAGCAAACTGAGCAACCTGCCTGGGTTGACTTAGTGTGGCATCTGAAACAGGCAACTGTGTGTGTCTCCCTGTTTCTGGATCCAGGAATTGCAATCATTTCTCCTCTCACTTTTCTCTGTTTCTTTTCAATTTATTTCTCAATAGTGTATTTTGTTTGTTTGTTTACATCAAAGAGAACAATATATAGTTCTAAAATAATAATAATGTACTTTTCCCCTAAGGGGATTGTAAGCATACGAGTAAAATTCTGTACCAGATAACTTGATTTTTGTCTGGGCACTGTGTGTGTGTCTGTGTGTGTGTGTGTGTGTGTGTGTGAGAGAGAGAGAGAGCTCGCTCGCTCGCTCGCAAAGTCCCTCTTCTTGCTCAGGTTGTGTATTTTCCTGTTTTGCTTTTCTAGAACACTTTGGAACGTGACGATCCCAAGGTTGGCTGTGTTATTAATTGCAGGTTAAGTGAGTTTAGAAAAATAGAATGTCCCTCATGGTAGCATCTGGTACACCTTCTACCAATTAGCGGTAGGAACATCCACCACGCAGCAAAAAAATCAAAATCAAAACAAAGCAAAAAAGGTTGTGTAATGCTGTTTCCGATGAGCTGCTCTATGGAAACCAGAATAGAAAGTAAGCAAGGTGAGAATGTGAGGGGGATCAGGCTGTCAGGTTACCATGGCGACGATATATGGGATGGAGCAGCCGTCACCCAAGCGATGGAACTGCCAATTCCTTTTTCATAGGTGTGAGCCTTTGGAGATGAATATTTACCATATGTGGGCCAATATTTGCTAAACATCCTGTAGAATCTGAGTGGCAGGGTTGTAATTATATTATTGAGCACACATGCAAGCATCTGATAGGGTTACCCCAGCCCCCACTCAGGCACACATCTCAGTGAAAGTGCGTTTTAGCTGTGCTCCGTTTTTAAAGGATTTGTTCTGTTATGGTTTCAACCTCTCTTTTTTTGGGTGTGTGTGTGTGTGTCAGATTTCCTACGTAATTATCAGGCCCAGTCACACACCCCTCCTTTCTCACGCAGCTTAAATATTAGCTTTGTTCAGCCTTTTTATATATATATATATATATATATATATATATATATATCTAGGCACACTTGTAGGAAGTAGGGAATTTTCCCTCCGGCAATAATAATAATAATAATAATAATAATAATAATAATATCTTAATGCAACGGAATCATAACCTGTGCCGGTGGACAAAACCTGCCTGCTTTCAGAGCTCAAAAGGCAGTGGCAATTGTTGGAACCTATCTTTCTTGAGAGACAATGGAATGTACCTCTGGGGGGTGAAGTCAAGTTGCTGCCTTAGCAGCACTGAAGAGATCTCCCTAAGGTGCAAGACTGGGTATTGTCTATGGGGGTCCTGGGCTGCCCAGACGACAAGACCCATTATTTAAAATGCACCTCTGGGTTATTTGTGGGGCATCAGAATTCGTTCTCCCCCCCCCCCCCAAATATAGTTCGGCCCCCCACAAGGTCCGAGGGACAGTGGACCAGCCCCCTGCTGAAAAAGTTTGCTGACCCCTGTCCTAGATGGGCTACCTTCCGAGGTTGATGAGTCCCATCTGCCCCTCACTTCCTTCTACAGTGCGTTCAGAAACCACCTTCTTGACTGTTGGACCCACTATTCGTGCTCAGTCCGCCAGAGTCTGTCTTCACATGCAGGGGAAGTCCTTAACTCACTGAAGGGATGAGGCCATAGCTGTCAACGTTTCCCTTTTTTAAAGGGAAAGTTCCTTATTCCGAATAGGATTTCCCTTAAAAAAAGGAAAAAGTTGACAGCTATGGATGAGGTCTATCTGCTGCTCTCACCTGGTTTGGCCAGCCAGTCAAAGCCGATTCATGGGATGTGGCAGCTGTTGCATGTTCACAGATTCTAGGCGCCACAGGTGAGAGTTGAATTCAGAGTGGGGACCAAAGGTGGGCAGACTACCCCAGGAGGAGCACAACTTGTCCCCCACCAGAGGTACTACCCCTCCCCTAACGCCCCATGCACCCCATCAATTGCAATACATAACTGCTATCGCGACACAGTCTTGCATCTTGCAGAGAGGGCTTGTTGGAGTCAGCTGGGATAAAGACTTTAGAGTCTTGCTGCCTTCAAAATACAACAGGGCAGTGCTCCCCAGACTCCCCCTGTGGATCACTCACATGTTGCTGATGGTCTTGGTGAACCACTTAAATCATTTCCCTGCCTGCCTCTTACAGTGGCTGCAATATGCTGTGCTAGGTGCTGTAAGGTTTTAAAGTGTGTTTTTCTTGCTGAGTTTATATATTGCATGTCATTTTATCGCATTAAATTTGAATGCCATAGAGCTTGCCCAAGAAAATGTAATACAAGAAATGGAAGCAGAGATAAAAATACAATTGAAAACCTATCTGAATATGTAATGTGGACATGTTGTGGACCATGTGAATGACACTGGTGGTCCACAGAGCAGTTTGGGAATCTCTGCGATAAAGAATAAAGAGAAATGGGTATTTTTTTGGGTTGGGTGTGTTTGTGTGTGTCTAGGTAGATAGGTACGTAGGCAGATAGATAGATTCACAATTTTCCACCCGTTGCATTAATGTTAAATATGTTCCAAATACTTAGCTTATTTGAAATGTTTTATAGTATACCTTGTGCTCCTGTTACAAACCCAGGTCTTTAGACAGCTCACAACAGAGCTCAAAACAAATCAAATAAGCCAAGACAGTGAGAGAATCAGGATTATCAAATCAACAGAGAAGGGCCAAACACATTTGAAACGGAGATTGTTGCAAAGGCTCCTTTGCTGCCAATAAACAGGGAGAATGTTGGAGTTTTAATCGGCTTGAACCCCAAATGGATAGCAGGGACACAGCACTGTCTGCTCACCTGGGGGAGTAACTCAGAAAGCACGGCACATACCAGATCATATTTTAGCAGTGTGGTGTGTGGGAAAATGTTCCTTTATGCCAAGGAAATGCATAATGCACTTTCTGAACTCTTTGGGGAGAAACGGCATGTTTTGAGGTGAATTCAGAGTGTCGTCTTCCTTGGTGATCACTCGTGGCCGAGTAAGATTGTCTTCCATAAACACGGTTTTAACAATGAGTCGGTAAGTGACTGTGGAGGCCAATTCTGGATCCGTGCGTCCTTCCGCAGTGGGAACATTGGTTTCCGGGCGGGAGTTGATCACGGTGTGGATTTGTCAAGCATGCCTTCCTCTTAGCACATTCCTCCCTTGCGTCCAGAGTTCGAGTGTCTTCAAAGCCCATAACACCTTTGGTAAAGGCTCTTCTCCAACTGGAGCGCTCGCAGGCCAGTGTTTCCCAGTTGTCGGTGTTTATACTACATTTTTTAAGATTTGCCTTGAGACAGCCTTTAAACCTCTTTTGCTGACTACCAGCATTATGCTTTCCATTTTTAAGTTCGGAATGGAGTAGTTGCTTTGGAAGACGATCATCAGGCATCTGCACATCATGACCAATCTAACGAAGTTGTTGTTGAAGAATCATTGCTTCTTCCAGTATACTGGTATTAGTTTGCCTGTCTTCCCAAGTGATATGTAAAATTTTTCGGAGACACCGTTGATGGAATCCTTTGAGGAGTTGGAGATGGCGTTTATAAGTGGTCCATGTTTCAGAAGCATACAGTAAAGTTGGTAGTACAATAGCTTTGTAAACAAGCATTTTGGTTTCCCTGCGAATGTCCCAGTCCTCAAACACTCTGCACTTCAATCGGGAGAAAGCCGCACTCGCAGAGCTCAGGTGATGCTGGATTTCAGCTTCAATGTTGGCTCTTGTGGAAATATATTTGTGGAAAGTGCCGTATTGCAAGCTGGCTCAACTGTAAGCAGGCATATTTGCTTTGTTTCCTCTGGTCTGCTTGTTTGCAGAAACCGATTTCCACTGTTCCTCTGCCATATGCTGGATATGCATCCTTTAGAGCAGTAGAGGTGATATATATTGGGGTATGGGAACTAGACTCCGTAGGCCCAGGAGGAAAGGCAGGAACTTTTGGCTTCTTGAAATGGGCACGTGTTGGAAAGATGGCCTTGGGATTCCTGCTGGGGCAATACTGGGAGGGCGCTGAAGTGGTTTCTCGCCAACTAAGCCTGCTTGTCTTTAGTGGTGCATCACAGGACTGTAGGGCTCCTGTTGGCTCAAACACGCCGGTGTGTGTTGGGTTGTGACCTAGGCCATGTTCATACTGTTGAACATGGCTGGCAGTCCTGTGTGCATGTCCGTGGGAGTAACGCACCATTGACTGAAGTGAGTGGCATTCCTGAGTAAACACGCACAGTAATAAATGCCATCAATCAGCTAATCAGTACCAATGTATAAGATGTATTATAAATGGTGCATTGCGTGTTAACACAGTAAGTAAAAAATTGATTATTATTTTCTATCCAATTTATATTCCACTCTTTCTTCTGAAAGGTAGGGGTGAACTTTGGAAATACGGCATAGTGAGCGAGGACAAAATTTGGCGCCCTCCCTGAATACTTAGTTTCACAATAATTCATTTTGGTACAGTTGCTTTTTAATGGGTTTTCTCTTTAGATATAAGATTATCTATCTACCTCTATTCCCTCTCTATCTGTATATCTGTCTATCTATCTCTCTATCTATCTCTCTTATCATCTATATCTGTCTATTGATATCTATCATCTATCTATCTCTATCTATCTATCTATCTATCTATCATCTATCATCTATCTATCTATCTATCTATCTATCTATCTATCTATCTATCTAATCTCCCTCTTGGCTTAGCACCCTGCATGAGGGAACCACCCGCACCACCCCAAATCTGGCACAGGTGAAGAAGTCCGGGTTTCCATCTGAAAATAAGTATTAAATATATTGAATTCCAACAAACCCACACAACTGTTCATCCTCCCCCCTCTCATTCACACACACACACACACCACCCCCACTTCACAGGAAAATTCTTTCCCTCCATGGTTTTAAAATTTTAGGAAAAATTTCCCACTCTAGTCTCACCAGCTCAAAGTTTGCAGAGTTTGTTGACATAATAGGTTACTTTGGGTAGCTGAAATAGGAAGAGGAAATTGCCCTAGGGTGCCTGAGTTATGTTTTTATTTTTTTGGACTCCGCAGTCCCCAGTGACACCCATCTTTTCTCTGTTCCCCACCCTGCAACCTGCCAGCTTGAAAACATTCCTCTGCAAATCCCTGGTCTGCGGCTGTTACAGCGAGAAAAGTTAAGAACAGTTGCACTTGCCAGCTCCCCAAAATAGAGATTTTAAATAGCTGCGTACAAAAAAATGCTGTCAGCCAGAATGTCTGGGATTTGACAAATTTTTAGATGTGTGTGCATGCATATATTTAAAATGCCATGGTATGTGCTGGAACGCTCCTGTAAATAGCACAATTCAATGTCGTAAGGAAGTGTTACGACTAAAATTGACTCTCTCCATAACACCCATTCTGACTGAATGCTCAGGAGGAGTTGGTGGGTGCCGAAGGAGTCAGCAATTATAAATAGTAAACCAGCCCAGGTTGGTTGAAGGGAACTTGTCGAGCTTGGATGAGAAACTGCAGTTCCAAGTTCTGCAGTCCTCGTGTGTGCACTTTTTAGTAAAATCTGTGCTCATGAAATTCTGGCTGTGCATGTACCCCTCCAGTCCTGTGTGTGCATGCTGGATTGAGAGCACACTTATCTGTGCTTGAAAATCTAACTTGGTTTCCCTGCTTGCGATTGCTTATCAGCCCTCTTAACATTTCTTAATCACGTCTGACTGTGGTTACACAGGGAGTAGCTTGCTATCACTTAAGACCAGGGTTTCCCAAACTTGGGTCTGTATCTGTTTTTGTTTTTGTTTTGGACTACAATTCCCATCAGCTCCACCTGGTATGCAGGCTGAGACCCTACCTGCCAGCAGACTGTCTTGCCAGAGTGGTGCATGGTCTAGTTATCTCTCACTTGGACTACTGCAATGCGCTCTACGTGGGGCTACCTTTGAAGGTGACCCGGAAACTACAACTAATCCAGAATGTGGCAGCTAGACTGGTGACTGGGAGAGGCCGCCGAGACCACATAACACCGGTCTTGAAAGACCTACATTGGCTCCCAGTATGTTTCCGAGCACAATTCAAAGTGTTGGCTTACCTTTAAAGCCCTAAACGGCATCAGTCCAGTATACCTGAAGGAGCGTCTCCAACCCCATCATTCTGCCCGGACGCTGAGATCCAGTGCCGAGGGCCTTCTGGCAGTTCCCTCGCTGCAAGAAGTGAGGTTGCAGGGACCAGGCAGAGGGCCTTCTCGGTAGTGGCACCCGCCATGTGGAACCCCCTCCCACCAGAGGTCAAAGAGAAAAACAACAACCAGACTTTTAGAAGACATCTGAAGGCAGCCCTGTTTAGGGAAGCTTTTAATGTTTAATAGACTATTGTATTTTAATATTTTGTTGGAAGCCGCCCAGAGTGGCTGGGGAAACCCAGCCAGATGGGCAGAGTATAAATAATAAATTTTGCCCTCCAACTTTAAATGAACATATTATTGTTATTTATTATTATTACTATTATTACTGTTGATAGCAGCATGCTCATACCTCCCCATTTTGGCTTGATTTCTTTTGGCACTCAGCCCCCTGAGTTTGCTGTTAGTTGGAATTATTTCTATTTAAGTTTATATACATGTGGCACTCAAGATGACTGAAAGGGTCAATAGGCCCGCTCAGCTGCTACTGAGTTCAAATGTATCACGTCTGGGCAATGCATAGGGTGCATATTGCAGTTGTGTCCTTATGTACAGTGGTACCTCCACCTGTGAATTGGATCCATTCCAGAGCTCTGGTCGCATCCTGAGGAATTCACAACCAGAGGTGCTGTTTCTCTGCATGCACGCAGCACAGTTTAGCACTTCTGCGCATGCATGTGGCACGTAGAGCGCTTCTGTGCATGCGCGTGTGGTGAAACCCAGAAAAATACTTCTGGGTTTGCCACGTATGTATCCTGAAGGAGACATAACCAGAGGTGAACGCAAGTAGAGGTACCACTGTATATACTTTTGCAGTGGTTATTGGTTACTCAGCTTGATCTAGAAATGGTTGTAAAAAATAACAGGGGGAAAAAGGGAATATGATCTGCTAGGACTTTGGTTTGAGTATTCCCTGTTCTGGCTTTCGGTGCCTTTTGTTTTGCTTTTGAAAGGTTTTTCCTCTTCAATTCAGTTGCTTGCAAACTTTAGCCGACTTGCCAATCTTGGTGTAGCCTGTCTGGCTGTAAGCAATGGTATAAGGAGCCTCTTGACAAGTGCCCAAAGGCTAGAATTCTTTGGTTCAAAGTTTGTACGGTTACTATTTGATGGCTCAAATGACTCAGGATTGCAGTATCTCCCCATGTGAACCAATTTGGACCCTCTTCAATCATAATCTGAGGCCCTTCTTTGTGTGCCTCCTCCGTAAGAGGGCCTTTTCTGCAGCAGCTCCCTGTTTGTGGAATGCTCTTCCCGGAGAGGGTTGCCTGGTGCCTTCATTATGTATCATTAGGCTCCAGGCGAAAACATTTCTCTATAACCAGGCCTTTGGTTATGTCCATTCTGTGGCCTTTAAAATGTGTTTGTGGGAAGTGCGGTTATTTTGTTTGATGTGTTTTGTGTTCTCATTTTTTATTCTTACGTTATGAGCTGCCCTGTGATCTCTGGATGAAGGGTGGTCTACAAATTTTAATAATAACAAGTTGGAAAAAATATGAATCTGAGACGGCATCTAATCAGCTCCAGCCTACATTTGACACACTGCAAGTGTGAAAACTTGAAGACTTTCTTCCAACCTCTTCCAGTTAAGTGTGGAGCAGGAAGGAGGAGATGCAATATTTCAAAGCTGGCAATTATGTCTATCCCTGTCCACTCACGTGTAGATCTTAGTGATGTGCTGAACCTTTCCCCTGTCTTTTTCAGTGATAAAGGAGAGGGGTTGTTGTTGTTTAGTCATTTAGTCGTGTCCGACTCTTCGTGACCCCATGGACCAGAGCATGCCAGGCACTCCTGTCTTCCAATACCTCCCGCAGTTTGGTCAAACTCATGCTGGTAGCTTCGAGAACACTAGCCAACCATCTCGTCCTCTGTCGTCCCCTTCTCCTTGTGCCCTCAATCTTTCCCAACATCAGGGTCTTTTCCAGGGAGTCTTGTCTTCTCATGAGGTGGCCAAAGTATTGGAGCCTCAGCTTCAGGATCTGTCCTTCCAGTGAGCGCTCAGGGCTGATTTCCTTCAGAATGGATAGGTTTGATCTTCTTGCAGTCCATGGGACTCTCAAGAGTCTCCTCCAGCACCATAATTCAAAAGCATCAATTCTTCGGCGATCAGCCTTCTTGATGGTCCAGCTCTCACTTCCATACATCACTACTGGGAAAACCATAGCTTTTACTATACGGATCTTTGTTGGCAAGGTGATGTCTCTACTTTTTAAGATGCTGCCTAGGTTTGTCATTGCTTTTCTCCCAAGAAGCAGGCATCTTTTAATTTCGTGGCTGCTGTCACCATCAAGGAGAGGGGTAGCAGGAGCAAATGTAAGTTGCCTGCAAAAAAGGCAGGGGGAAGAGAAATTGTCAGAATTCCTGCTGAGGGAGCAAGGCTGTTGCAACTTGCTAAATGTATAAGGTGGCAGAGTGGTCTTTTCTGCATTTTTTGAAAAAAACTCCTTCCGCCCACATGCACCGCAGGGCAGGCTCTTCTCAGAAAGGAAACATGCTGGTGGCAAGCAGCAATTCACAAGAATGCAAGGACCCTGTATGCTCCTCCTGAAGATACCAACACAATGTGTATATGCCAACTGTAGACTTGCTATTTTGTGGAGCAAATTGTGCCTGTTGCCAGCTTGATGTTCCTCACCTACCCAGATGTTTGTGGTGTCAACATGTTGCAGGGTGAGCGTTTGGCATGCTGAAAATAAGAGCAGATGTACTGTTCGATTTAGGGAGTAAAGGGATTAAAAAAATTCATTGCAAAAAAAAGATTCATTGCAAATGAACCAGGGGGTAGGAAGAAACATGCTTTCCTCATGGGGTTCTTTGTGTTAAAAAGGTCATTTGTCAGCTGCTGATGTTGCTTGCATCTGATTCTTCTTTACTTCTTGTGCTAGATTTTGCTGCTGGACTTGTTAGCGTTCCTTTATTGCTTAAATCTGTTGCTTTACTGCTTTTATTTTTCAACATCTGCACACAACTCTTGACACTTCCCCTTTTTGCCGAATAGCAGGACATAAACCTTTTATATTAAAACACAGTACCAAAAGAAACAGTTTGTTCTCTATTTCCGAAACTTAAGTGACTGATTAAGAAGTGCTTGGAAATGATGTACAAGCAGTAAATGAAACTGCAAGAACCACATACAGTGCTACCTCGGGTTACGTACGCTTCAGGTTACATACACTTAAGGTTACAGACTCCGCTAACCCAGAAATAGTACCTCGGGTTAAGAACTTTGCTTCAGGATGAGAAAAGAAACAGCACGGTGGTGGCGCAGTGGCAGCGGGAGGCCCCATTAGCTAAAGTGGTGCTTCAGGTTAAGAACAGTTCCAGGTTAAGAACGGACCTCCGGAATAAATTAAGTACAGTGGTGCCCCGCAAGACGAATGCCTCGCAAGACGGAAAACCCGCTAGACGAAAGGGTTTTCCGTTTTCAATGCGCTTCGCAGGACGAATTTCCCTATGGGCTTGCTTCGCAAGACGAAAATGTCTTGCGAGTCTTGAGATTTTTTTCCGCTTCCCCCCCTTTTTCTAAGCCGCTAAGCCTTTAATAGCCTTTTAGCAGCTAATCCGCTAAGCCTTTAATAGCTGCTAAACCGCTAATAGCGCTAATCCGCTAAGCTGCTAATAGGGTTGCTTCGCAAGACGAAAAAACCGCTAGACGAAGAGACTCGCGGAACGGATTAATTTCGTCTTGCGAGGCACCACTGTACTTAACCCGAGGTACCACTGTAATGAGAAGCTGCCTTAGGCCCGGTCAAGACTATGGGCTCGTCTAGGTCACTATTGTCTTTTTAGGATGGCTGTAGCTCTCCACGTTCTGTGGCATCACCTCTGTCCAGACTTTTGAAACTGGAGGTGCCAAGGATTGAACTCTGGGCCCCCCGCAATATAAAACACAAGTACAATCACTTTGCTGTCGTCCTTCCCCGAAGGTGGTGGCAACCATAGCAGATTTAAACAGAGCACGTCGTTCCACCCTTAAAAGAAAAGTTATCTATTTATAAGATTTCTTACCCTCTTAGGTGGGTTGTAGGAATACAGTGTTAGATTTTAGAGTCTTTTAAAAGTGGGAGGGGACGGTTGGTATGTTTTTTTTTTTAAAAAAATGTTTTTATTATGTATAATGCTATGTAAACTATGTTTTTAACGTCGCGCACCACCCTGCAATCTTTGGATAAAAGGTGGTGTAGACATTGAACGAAAATAATAAAGTCGCGTTTAAAAACTTGAGCTTATTGTTTTTGTTGAAGGAGGTGTCTCGCCATTGGACAAGGTGGATGTTCATCCATGATGTTGGAAATTTATGGAATATTTTGTGGTGAGCTACTGGATGCAGTAATTGGTGCCCCCCTACAGTTAAGGTAGTCTTTTTTTAAAAAAAATTTAAAGCGTGATTCATTAATATGCAGCGGATTACAAATAGTTGCATTTTTAGTTTTCAAGTTCTGATTGCCTCGGGGAAATCACAGACATTAATTTGCAGTCGTAAAGATTAAACAGGTAAAGCCAGTGAGTAATGCTAATGTGTAGCGTAATTTCTTATTGCCTGCCTGCCTTTTGTGTATTGCTTTCGCTGTTCTCGGAAGATTCAGCACCGATGGTTGCATTCTGTAATAAACCAGCGTCAAACGTTCAAATTGGAATGGGGGAGGAAGACAATAACAAAAGGAGGGGCTAAGACAGGGGTCTGCAAACTTTTTCAGCAGGGGGCCGGTCCACTGTCCCCCAGACCTTGTGGTGGGCTGGACTATATTTTGAAAAAAATAAATAAATGAGCGAATTCCTATGCCCCACAAATAACCCAGAGATGCATTTTAAATAAAAAGACACATTCTACTCATGTAAAAACACGCTGATTCCCGACCGTCCTTGGGCCGGATTGAGAAGGCGATCGGGCCCGATCTGGCCCCTGGGCCTTAGTTTGCCTACCCATGGGCTAAGATATAAAGAAAGCACAGTCCAAATGGCAGCAATCAGAGTTCCAGATTTCTGTGTAGAACCGTTTGAGTCAAAAGAGTTTGACTCTCCAGCGTTGAGCTATAGGAAACGGATGGGGTGGGGGTCCAAAGAATCTAGTCCAGCAACAGCAGATTAAGGTTGCAATGCTAACTCTTATTTACCCAGGAGCAAACCATGTTGGATTCAATGGACTGACTTCTGAGTAAGGCACAGTAAGGTTTTCATGCCAAGGGAGCGATCTTAGGCATGCGAAGCCAGCATAAGTTCCGCTGTCTTAAGTTAAGCCAAGTGGGACGTGGGTGGCGCTGTGGTCTAAACCACTGAGCCTAGGGCTTGCCGATCAGAAAGTTAGCGGTTCGAATCCCCGCAACAGGGTGAGCTCCCGTTGCTGGGTCCCAGCTCCTGCCAACCTAGCAGTTTGAGAGCACGTCAAAGTGCAAGTAGATAAATAGGTACCACTCCAGTGGGAAGGTAAACGGTGTTTCTGTGCGCTGCTCTGGTTCGCCAGAAGCAGCTTAGTCATGCTGGCCACATGACCCGGAAAAACTGTCCGCAGACAAACGTCGGCTCCTCGGCCAGTAAATCGAGATGAGCGCCGCAACCCCAGAGTCGTTCGCGACTGGACTTAACTGTCAGGGGGTCCTTTACCTTTACCTTTTTTAAGTTAAGCCAGCGTAAAGTGTGCCACATCCAAACTCTGTTCAGGACTGGGGCAATTGCTGGCCAGGCCAGCCTAACCCTGGCAAAAGGGAAAGCCATTTCCTTGGTGGGTCTTTCACTGCAGGCTTTTACTGCCACCCCCCACCTTACTTAACCCACGATTGCAGGGCAGAAGGATATGTTGATGGCAAGAAATGTAGGATGTTGAAGGCTACCTGCAGTAGTAGGATGTTGAAGGCTACCTGCAGTAGGTGACTACAGTTTGTTCACTGGGAGGTCACCTTCCCATCCCCGCCCCGTCTCCATTTGTAAAAGTGTGAATGTTCCGCTTCCCACCAGGGTCATGCTCTTGAGGCCCATGTGTGCGAGGAATTTTGCTTTGAGCTTGGAGAAAGTCCTGGGAAGGTTGGCTTCCGCAACAGCGTGAGCCTGCGGAGCAAGGACGAGGGACCTTGTGGCGCTACAGATGTTGATGCTGGCGGTGGCTATATTTATATATGCTGCCCTTTCTCTCGCGGAGCACAAGGCAGCTCACATAATTCATGTACTGCGTTGACACATAATGCAAGAATGATAATTAAATGCCGTCCGTTATAACAGCTAAGCTAACAGCAAAAGCCAGCAGTGACTCCCTAGGCTAGTAAGGCCCTTCAATCTACAGCAGGGTTTTGTGGGAATTGTAGTCCCAAAATAGCTGGAGACCCAAGTTTGGGAAACACTGGTCTACATGATGCACAGAAATTCTGGGGGAATAGGCATGTCTTTAATTGCCACTTAGCTGGGGGAAAAAACCACCTATTGTTGGGCTTTTACATCCAAAACGACTGATAGGGATGATGGGAGTTGTAGTTCCGCAACCCCTGTCCCTGCTCTAAAGTGTCCCCTCCCAATCCTTGGGGATGCCTTTTGATTCTAGGAATTGTTTGTATATATCCACCCTGCTACCCCCCCTCCTGCCATTCTTTTTTCTTTTCTTTCCAGTTGTAGGGAGGGGTAGAGATCTTCATGCTCGTGGTTCCAAACATCTGGGTTACATTTATGCTGGTTTTGAATGTAGGTCAGTCTTCATGTGTCGCAAAGCCTTGAATGCACAGCAAGAAAAATTAGAGGGAGCCTCTTGGCTTGCCTCCTTGGCCTGTTCTATGGGGGGAAACAGTCGCTTGGGATTGGAAGCAGGGAGTTTTGCTTTGGTCTGCTCTCGGCACACCTGCGTCGCTGCTGGTCCTGGGTGGGCGTGAACAACCTGTATCTTCCTCCATCCCCATGATGGCTTTCATAAATGCTTCATTGCAACTTAACATTGCTGCTTGGGGCCAGGTTCCCAAGGCCCAAGGCCTTGTTCAGGGTGCGTAGCAGCCTGAAGGACATAAGAACATTGGGAGACCCCTGGAAAGTGTGCACATTTTATGTGGCAGGGGTGTGACCATTCAGCTGTTGCTGGACTCCCACCTCCCAGGAGCCCCATCCATGATAACCGATCCAGAGGGCCAGTGATTCACCCATTCCTACTCTCTGGTTTCCCTAGGCCCCAATCCTGCCTCGTTACCTCCCCACCCACTTCTGATTTTGTGCTGTGTGACATCTGCTGATGGGAGTCACTGGGGTGATGTGTAGCCTTTACCTATGTTTTAGGCCACCCATTGGAATTAATGGGCACATTCATTATTTTCAATGGGTCTACTATGAATATGGGGACGCGGGTGGCGCTGTGGGTTAAACCACAGAGCCTAGGACTTGCCGATCAGAAGGTTGGCAGTTCGAATCTCTGCGACGGGGTGAGCTCCCGTTGCTCGGTCCCTGCTCCTGCCAACCTAGCAGTTCGAAAGCATGCCAGTGCAAGTAGGTAAATAGGTAGCACTCTGGCAGGAAGGTAAATGGCATTTCCGTGCGCTGCTCTGGTTTGCCAGAAGCGGCTTAGTCATGCTGGCCACATGACCCAGAAGCTGTACGCTGGCTCCTTCGGCCAATAAATGTGCCGCAACCCCAGAGTCAGCCACGACTGGACCTAATGGTCAGGGGTCCCTTTACCTTTACTTTACTATGAATGTGGCTAATGTTGGATAATTCACAGGGTTTGAGTCTCTTTGTTGTCCCCTTTCCACTCAAACAGAGAAAACATGTAAAATAGAAAATAGCTTATTTTGCAAAATGAGGAGGAAATAAGCCCATTTGCCTTGATTGGCTTAACTAATTTAACTGTTTAGGGAAGTTTTAAATGTTTGATGTATTTATCATGTTTTTAATATTTTATTGGGAGCCGCCCAGAGTGGCTGGGGAAACCCAACCAGATGGGCAGGGTATAAAATTATTATTAATAATAATAACAACAATGTTTTAAGCAATGTCACATGGATGCCTAATTTACTCCTTTTCCGACGCTGCTGCCATCGCTAACCTTGCACGCTACGTACTTTTTCTCCTAACTGATACCCAATGAAAAACATGGAAGCCCCGCACATCCGGGCCCTCGCCACACTGTCCCTGATACACAGACAACACTTTAGACCGTCGCACAATCGTATATTTGTGCTAAAGAGCTTATTCAGTTGAACACGCTTGGAAATTCTCCTCCAAAAAAGCAATAACGACAGTGACACATCTGGCTGGGTTTCCCCAACCACTGTCTTCAAAATTAAAACCACCCTCATTAAAATACATTTTAATGTATTTTTTAATCTTTGTTGGAAGCCGCCCAGAGTGGCTGGGGAAGCCCAGACAGATGGGCGGGGTATAAATAAATAAATAAATAATATTATTATTATTTGTGCTGATCATGAGGAGGTGTGAAGAGCTGTCCTTATGCCTGCTAGACATTGGGGTAGGACTTGCATACCAGTTCCCTGCCTCCATTCCTGGTTATACAGCAGGAGTGTTGTGCCCAGGCAAATGCTGGAACAAGACTAGTATCTCAAGGAAAATCCCTTAAGGTGACGGCTGGACCCTGGCATCATTGTGGGAGGTCATTGGCACCTGTGGTGGGCTGTCTGAGAAGGATTGCTTTCTTTGTGTCAAGCACATGTTTACTAAGCCAGCACTCTCTATATTAAATAGTCCTTGCATTCAGTGCCTCCCCGCGTATTAAGTGTATCAGTGGAAGCCGTGTTCTGAATATCCCCACAGCCCCCTACTCTTCGGAGGTTAGGTAGGAACCTCTTCTCTCATGTTGTCTCAGTCCTGGAGCACCTCGCCCAACAGTCTCCTGCTTCTAAAATATCTTCCGGACGCCTGCTGAAAGCTGACCTATTCTCTCGAGATTTTGGCGGGATGGAATTGTGCAACTGTCTGGGTTTCCCCCCCTATTGCTAACTTTGATACTGATAGCATTGTGGGTTTCCTGCTTTGTTTCATTTTGTGTTTGCTGCATTTTATATTGGTACGTTAAGCCGCCTTGTAAACTCTTGGTGCGAAGACGTAGCTGCAACAAATGCACGCACATGGTAGGGTTGCAGCCTCGCTTGCGGGAAGTTGTTTTTGGGTAGGTTGCATCCGTCCACGTTGTTCCTCTTAATGGTGGTCCCCAGGCACTTGCAGCAACTGCGACAAGCAGCAGGGTTGCTGTTACTAAAAGGGGCATTAGATCTTGCATTCGGAGGGAGCCTTGTAAGGTTTGCAGGTTCTAATTTATGGACCCAGTGTGGTGGGTGCCCTTTGCAAAGCAGTGCGAGCCAAGCAGTTTCCTGGACCCAGGGCTTTCCAGGACTGGGGGAGGCAGTGTCACTTAGTTGTGACACTGCTAAATATCCCCCCCTTGTTTTCCTTCCCCCGCCCCATCCCCCAGTGTAGCAGTGTGTGGGCCAAGTGTTGCCACATTGCTGCTTTTTATACCCATCTCTGATCTTGCAATGCATCTATTCTAAATGTGTTAACGTATATTAACTAACTTTTGCCTCCTTGGAAACATGACAACAGCTCGCCCTCTCTACAAATCCAGCAGTGAGAAATTCCAGGCTTTTCCCCTCTCCTGAGCAATCCACTGTCGTATTATGATGTGTTAACATCCCTTTTGGTTTTTAAATAGTAAACCTTCCCTCCCCCTTTTCTTTTCCAGTACCATCTTCCTGTGACGGGAGGCTCCTAACAGGACACCTTCCACCCATCAATGCACTGCCAATGGTAAGTTCAGGGAAACCCCCGTTGCAAAAGTTTATTGTGTTGTGATGTGGCCTTTACACAAAACCTTCTGCCTGCAGGAGAAGAGACAAGCAGACGGGCTCCTAGGCTCAGGAATTCTTTTTTCTATAAAAGCATCCTATTATTTTTGCATACGTGGAGGCCTGTTTCCCCATCTGACAGTAACTGCGTCCGTTTTGACAGCTGCATTTGATGATACCTGTGCAATTGGTATCACAAAATTCTTCCCTGGCTAAGCTGGAGCATCACTCCTTCTGATAGTGAACTCAGGTGACAACAGAAACATGGTCTTTGAGAAATGGGAGAGGAAGGTATTGGCATACTCTGGGGATTACCTCCCTAATAATAATAATAATATCCCCAAAACTTGAGGATGTGTGTACGGCAGGGACATCTTAGCCACAGAATGCTGTTGGTTGGCCAAGAAAACTGGAGGAAGTGAAGAAATGGGGGGAAGAGTGGGAGAAGAAGAATGGAATGAGCATTGTCCCAGTATAACAGTTTCCATACCTTCGCCAGTGTGATAAACTCATAAATGACTTCCTAGGTGGGTCTTCCTATTGCCCGTTAGCGCTGAAATGGGCTGAGTTGACTTTCCCTGTCTTGAGTCTAGAGATTCTGGGATCTATGCTTTTGTGCCAACTTTGTGTTTACATGAGTTGGCATGAGAAATCGTCAACGATTCGCCACGTGTGAATATTGGAATCCACCATGGGGTTTTGAACTGGGTTTTTAAATCACATTTCATAGGATTTTGCTTACATGAGCAAAAAAAGCACAAAACACATACACAAAGAAAATTACAGAATTGGGGTGTGGGAGAAGGCCAATGTTGGCAAACTGATGGTACTTCCAAGCATATGGGAGACCTGATGTTTTTATCTTTGGATGAGAGTCCCATCAGTTCCGCAGCTTCTGGAGGGACAAGTTTTGGCCTCTCGCGTTTCCCTATTTAATTACTATGAAATGCACTTCTGATTCAGGGAATTACACAGAATTCAAAGTCCTGTCCTATGTACCTAGGCCAGACTTCCTCAACCTCAGCCCTCCAGATGTTTTTGGCCTACAACTCCCATGATCCCTAGCTAGCAGGACCAGTGGTCAGGGATGATGGGCATTGTAGTCTCAAAACATCTGGAGGGCCGAGGATGAGGAAGCCTGACCTAGGCTCTTGGATGCAAGTCCCATTCAACTCCCATTGCTTAATTTCAGGCGCCTGCGTCGAAAAACCTAAATGATGACAAGGTCATCATCGTCATCTGCCCCCCACTTAAGTGTAGCATAAGTCCCGTGCAGATATTCAAACTGTACTCAAGGAGGCCGACCAAGGTTTCCTTGACCCACCATGCCCATTTCTGCCCCACGCACCATTTGTACATTAGTCTTAACATTTGCCCTGCAGCTGCCATGTCTTGACCCCAGCATGGATGGACCTTGTCCGTGTGATCTGTGTTTCCCCTAATGGAGTGTTGGGTGTAGACCCCATTGCACACATAAATTGTGGGATGGCAAGGATGGTGAGTATGTGTGCCCTGGGGAGGTTGGATTCATATGACCCTGAGCCACATGTGCAGTTCTGAACAGCTGCTTAGAGTTCTGCTTTCCATAACACACAGCTACTGTTCAGAAGAGACCTCTGATTTGGGTTCCCCATTGCAGCAAGGCTAATAGTGTGGGTGGCTGAAAAATTCTCATTCTAAGCAGTGTGTGGGTTTGGACACAAGACTGAGAACTTTCCAGTCCTTCCTTGTAGCATTCTTCTGCTCTTTTTTTATTTTTTTAATTGTTTGATTTCTCGCCTGTTGCTTTCTCCAGCAGAATACAACCCCTTCCCTATATTACTTCATGCTTGCGTACTGTGACTTAGCCAAGATTGAAATACTGTTCTGCATTATTGCCTCTCTTAAAAAACATGACTCATTGCATATTAAACTACTCCCAACACTTCATTAATTTTTAAAATACCAGGAAGAGGCTGTTTGAAGTCTTACTGCGTTTTCTCCTAATTTCCCCCCTACAGGCTGTGCCAGAAAATAAGTATTTGTAGAGTCTTGTGGGCCTGTTACTCGGTGTAGTGATAACTGATTCATAATTACTGCTTGGAGCAGGAGGAGAGAGAGGCCTTTTCACTTTTCTTTTCTTTTTCAGTCTTTCGGTAGAAAGAGCCTGGCTGTGGGGGGGGGGGGGAAATATAGAGCACAGGGGTTGTGTGTATTTTGCCATTTGCCCTGCATTAGCATGGAATTCGGTGCTGGATGAAAAAGTCACGGTTGTGAGAATGTCCGCTTCTACCTTATTTATTTATTTAAAATGGAAGTTTGTTTCCGTTGTGGCTACAAAAGACAGGCTTGCGGAAGGGCTGTGGCTCAGGAGCAACCAGCCGTCTTCTGGCAAATAGAGGCTCAACCTCTGGCACTAGGACTCTGCAATCTCCTGCCCTTTCGGCGAAGCCTTGGGAGAGCCACATCTAATCTGCGTGTAAGACCAGCTTAATTTTATCCCTTTCTTTGTGGTATTTGGGCGACGCCTGAAGCCACGGTGGGCAACCTGTGGTTAGCGACGGTTTGCTGAAGTCAATAATCTCCAAATACATTGGCCTCGAATTTGGAGGGCCAGAGTCACTGCCATCCAGCAGAAAAAATATTTTTTTCAGGGTTCACTGTAGCTGCCACTTGGGCTCGCTGGCAACTCTGACGATTAGGGTGTTTCTCTTCCTTAATTTATAGCTTGTATCTTATAAGGTTTGACACAACCTTTCGTTCGGCAGTGCCTGGCAAGGTGCTCAACCTAGCCCAGCCCAGCTTCTTGCAGCCTCGCAATATGGGGGAGTTAGAGCATTAAAATAATGAGATAAAACAATGTTAAACAAAGTTAAAACAACAAGACACAGCACTAGAGGATGCACTAGAAGAAGTTAAAAAGTAAAACGGAAGAGAGGGATAAAAACAAGTACTGAGGGTTGGTTATCCAGTGGTACCTTGGGTTACATACGCTTCAGGTTACAGACCCCGCTAACCCAGAAATATTACCTCAGGTTAAGAACTTTGCTTCAGGATGAGAACAGAAATCGTGCTCCGGCGGCGCGGCGGCAGCGGGGGGCCCCATTAGCTAAAGTGGTGCTTCAGGTTAAGAACAGTTTCAGGTTAAGTACGGACCTCCGGAACAAATTAAGTACTTAATCCGAGGTACCACTGTAAAGCAAAAACTTGCATTGAAATGAGCCTTAGAGCTGAAGACCCTCCTTCCTCCATTAGTGCTCTGGCCCCTTCTGGGAAATTTTTGACACAAAGGGTGGGACGTCTATCTGCTTAATCTCAGAAAGCACTATATTATTTGTGGATGGAACTTTGTTTTTAACAACAACAACAACAACAACTTTATTATTTATACCCTGCCCATCTGGCTGGGTTTCCCCAGCCACTCTGGGCGGCTTACAGCATATATAAAAAATTGTAAATCATCAGTGAATAACAATTTCCCAATACTGGGGTGCCTTCAGATGTATTCTAAAAGTCAGATAGTTGTTTATTTCCTTGACATCTGACGGGAGGGCGTTCCACAGGGCAGTTGACGCTACCAAGAAGGCCCTCTGCTTGGTTCCCTTCTTGCAGTGGGGGAACCGCCAGAAGGCCCTCTGAGCTGGACCTCAGTGTCCGGGGTGAACGATGCAGCCCTTGCCACGTGTTTTGGACTGCTTCCCCATCCCATCAGCCCCTGGCAGCTGGTGGGATTGGCCATCCGAAACACCTGGAGGTCACCAGGTTGTTTCAGGCTCCAATACCGTGAGCATCACCGCAATCCCCAGGTAGCTCAGTTGGTCGAGCAAGAGACTCTTAATCTCAGGGTCGTGGGTTTGAGCCCTACCTTGGGCAAAAAGATTCCTTCATTGCAGGGGGTTGGACCAGGTGACATCATGGTCCCTTCCAACTCTAAGGATCTATGAATTGGTTTTGTGCTTTTGTGGCTTTTCCTATTTCTTGAAAGGAGGAGGTTTGCAAACAGCATTCCTTTTTTAATGCTGCCTGGTTTTTTACTGTTCTGCTTCTTTATTGGCCTCCCTTGGTTCAAGGTTGAGGGTTTTTTTGTGGGTAGAATTGGGGTGGCTGCTCCTTTATGATTCCACGTATCCTTCCTTATGGAGCATAAACTCCAGCTTAAGCTCCTGTTTACCGAGCCAGTGCCAGAAACGGGGGCCGGGGGCATTGTAAAACCTCCTCTGGCTCCTAAAGAGCCCAGCATTGGCCTCTTGTCTTTAAGTACCCACTTCCCTTCCCTGGATTGGCCCATCAGAAATCTATCATTGCTTTTAGTGGTCCGTTTTTGCTGCTTCCATTGCTATCGACGCAGAGCCCAGAGGGGTCCATTCCTCTGCTCAGTCTCACCGCAGATATTGGCATTAGGCATGTGTTGGAAATACCGAGCCTGTTTTGGGGGGGTGCGGGAAGATGGAAGAGCACTATAGACGTTAACTGTTAAATGGGGATTAATAAGGAGGCATGCAGGAAAGTTCTTCGTTCTTGTGGTGTTTTTATTTTTGCAAGACAGGCAAACGCGCCTATGGTTGTATTTTGTATATAGTGCTATGAGAATGCTGTTTTGTGTTGCGTCAACAGAAGACCGCCTTCCTAACCCTTTCATGCCGTTCGACTGCTTGCTTAATGGCTGACGGTAGTAATAATGGTAGCAATATTTTTCAGCCCCTTTTATCCCACGACTCCCTTATGCTTAGGGCAGTGTACATGGTGTTCGCACTGTGGGTTTTTGTCTGTGCAACACCTCTTGAGACGTAGGCTAGGCTGTGAATGGCCATTGCTGCAGTAGGCAGCTTCATGGCTGAGTGAGGGTTTGACGCAGGAACTCCCTAGTTCCAGGTGGGACACTGTAACCACTAGGCCATGCTGGATTACTCCAACCTACCAGTATGGTGGCGGCAGAGAGAACAGCAGCACAGATACAGTGGTACCTTGGTTTTCAAACGTAATCTGTTCCGGAAGACCGTCCGGCTTCCGAAACGTTTGAAAACCGAGGAGCAAAGGGCGGTCTACAGTTTCGATGGAGAAAATAAAAAAAAAACTCAGCAGAAGCCGTTCGACTTCCGAGGCGCGTTTGAAAACGGAACTATTTACTTCCAGATTTTTGGCGTTCAGAAACCGAAACGTCCGACTCCAAGACGCTTGAAAACCGTGGGACCACTGTATGTCCAGTATAAGAGAGAATTGAGTTATGTCGTGAATAGCAATGCGTGCGTATGCTGTGTAAAAAATATTGCGATGGAAAAAAGTGAGGTTCTCCTGCAATTCATGCTGCCCCTTTGCTGTGCATTGTAAAATAACAATTGTAACAATATGTTAAAGGCAAGTTTATCAGTTTTAGACCCCTTAAGCAGTAGCGGTTGGCAGGACATTACCCCGTTCGCCTCTGCATATTTCCATCCTGGTTTCAGATGCTGTGATGTATCGGTATATATTGCGATGTTTAGCCGGCGATACATCACGATGCTGGAAACCAGACATTGCTCAGCCATTGACAGCCATGGCTTCCTGTTAATTTCTCTAAGCGCCTTTTAAAGCCATCAGAGTTGGTGGCCGTCGTTATATCTTGTAGCAGATTCCAGAGCTTAACTATCCCCTATGTGAATAAACACTTTATTTTGCTGGTCCCGAATCGTCAAACGTTCATCTTGATGGCACGAGACCCTCACCCCCACCCCCTCCCAGTTCTAGTGTTATGAGAGAAGGAGCATTGGATGCTGTTCTAAAGGTCTCTCAAAGGTTGCGGACCTGATTCCCATGCTAACCCCCCCAAAAAAAACTTTAAAAAGCTGCCCCTCTGAAAGGAAGGATGCAAATGTCCTCTCTGTTGACGCCTGCTTTGCCCAACAGCTGAGCCCTTCTCTTGAGTTCCTAGGCTGAATAAAGGTCTGCCACCAATAAATATGGAGATGACTTGGTTGCAAGGCTTTAGCCCACATAAGCCATCCATATGTACTGCAGAGGGGCTCCTTTTCGCCTCCTCACATCTTGCAAAAATCTGTCATGGATGCAATATTCCGGCGCAGCGGTGTATTTGCGGTTTGCTGTTCCCCCACGAGCAGATGGGGAATCCCCATAAAATCCCCCAACATTTCTCGGTTTGCCGTTTTAGTATTTTAAAGACCACTAAAGCTTTGTACGTACAAGCTGCTGAGAAGAGAAAGAAAGAAAAGATGATGACCCAATGATAGCAGTGCTGGATCAAATGGAAGAATGACCGTCCAGTATTCTGCCGACCAGATGTCGCTGTTTAGACGCAAAACCTTCTGGCTGGTTTTGGCAGTAATGTGCATAAAGCATTGTGTGATATTTAGAGGCATGGTTTCTACTCCAAAACAGCAGCCTTGCATCTCCTATGCCTCTTCCTTTCCCTTCCAACAGTCTCATGAGACTCCTATTCTCAGGGCTATGGGTTCGAGCCCCATGATAGGTATAAGATTCCTGCACTGCCGGGGGTTGAACCAGATGATCCTTGTGGCCCCTAACAACTCCACAATTCTGTGATTCTGTGCAAAAATGTGGTGTCATTGGCTTGTGACTTTATTGGATGAAGCACAGCGGCGATGTGACATTGCCTGTTGAGTTTGCACCACTAGGTGCTACCAGGGTCAGAAGAGGAGCTGTTGTGAGGCTGCTGTCCTTTAGCGGTTGCTACAAGCCTCATAGCAGCCTTGCCCCTTGTTTACCAATGCCACTGGTAAAATTATGTTTCCTTTGTGGTTTTGAAATACAGCTAAGGAAACCAAGCTAAGGTGATTAAGAAATTCCTCCCTCGCTTATGAGTTCTTAATTTCCAGGCCTTTATACTGAAGATGGTTTGGACATAATGCTAAATGATAGTTGAGCACCACAAGGAGGGAGCCTAAGCAAGCCTTGGGCTTGAATCCTCTCCCCACAGTCTCCTCCAAGGCCATGAGAATTAATTCCACACAATTAAGTGCCCCTGAACCCACGTAAACTGTGGTTAGTCTTAGCTACGGTTTACTGAAACGAGCCAGCTTCCAACAGTTTATGCAGCTGAGTTGTTTCACTAAACCATGGTTAAGATGAGTCATGGTTTTAGGATTCCTGCAAGAGGGAATGGCTGTGACGGAAAACAGGAACGAGTGATTCCAAACTCTCCTTGCAGCCACACTAGAGAAAGGGAGGGGGCAGGTTGGATTCGATGACCCTTAGGAGCCCTTCCAACTCTCCAACTCTATGATTCTATGCGGTAAATGGACTGATTGACTTGCTCCGTTATAACAGCAGCTTTGTGCCTTTGTGCATAAAATTCAAGCATGAAGCTGGTTAATGTAGGTGGCAGAATCATGTGAAAAACAGCAACAGATATTTTGTAATGGAAAGGTCTGGAGCATAAAGGCAATGAGTCATGTGCACCGAAGAATGACTGCGAGAGTGAGGTCGGCGCGCATAGCAATTCAGAGCACGCATATGTGGTTATTGCTGCTCTGCACATAATAGTGTTGAATGGTAAAGTTCAGGAGGGGTAGGCGAAACCAATCAATTCCGTAGGCAGTGGGGCTAAAACATTGGGATCCCACTCACTGGAGCAACTTTATTACGTTTGCCTACAGCAGAAGCTACACGGTGCATAATATGCAGCCTCAAGAATCTTGCTGCAGGATTCTTATTCAGTTATTATTATTTATTCCAGCGTTTGGGCTCTTGTTCATAAGATGTCAATTCGTATTGCCCATTTGACAGAGATTGTAGACTGGACTCTCTTTCTCTCTCTCTCTAGCAATTCTTAGGGTAGGGTACACAAAAAGGTAGTCTGGAATGTAAAATTAATATTTCATAGAGTACAGTATCAGCTTTCATTTAAAGAAAAAGGGTTTTGAGGTTTCAACCATGGTGTGGCTAAAAGTTCACAAAATGCACAAAGGAGAAGAGAGCATCATTTAGATTGTGATTGCTTGAAGCTCATCCCTAGAGAAGCAGCCAGTGAAATGCAACAGAATTGAGTCATAACTTCTATTTATGCAACTGTATACCGTACAAGAAATGTCATTGAATGGCTGCAGACCGAGATCAATAACATGGGACCGTAGCTCCATAATAGGCAAAGGAGCAAGCTCAAAACACAAGCTGAAAATACGCATTTGGAAGAGAATGTGGAGCTTGCAAAATAACTTCCACGGTTCCTCGTTCGGCTTGATCTTTTTCAAATGTTAAAGATAGAAAAAATTCTTGAGGCTCAAGCAATTAAATGCTTGAGTGCAATTTCCTGAAAAATCGTCGAAATGATTCCAGATGACTTTGGGCATCACTTTTAACTTGTTCCTTGCTCTTTGGGGTAATGTGTGGGAGTCATGCCTGTTTCATTCTCCAGAGCCGGACGGATTTCATGAATCATACCTCCACTGTTTTTTGATCAGCCTGGATCAGTTGGTTAGAGAGTGGTGCTGATAATGCCAAGGTTGCGAGTTCGATCCCTGCATGGGACAGCTGCATATTTCTGCATTGAAGGGGGTTGGACTAGATGATCCTTGGGGTCCCTTCCAACTCTACAATTCTGTGATTGATGATAGGGCTTTAACTTTCTGTGTTGCCCCTTGCATCTCCCCAAAACCAGCAAGACCAGATTGTATGACGTGAGATGGAAAGCTTCACAGACTAAACGTATGCAAATTTGCACACCATATTTGCACAATTTATACAGGTGGTAGAGTTTGGTGCGCCTTAGTGCAAAGTTGGCATTAGTGAGGAGCGCACATAACCCCGGCTATAAACTGGAATCACCGTTGGCTGCAGGGCTCCTGGCCACATTTCAAAAGTCTTCCAAGATTGGCAAGCCCAAAGGGCAAATGGGGGATGTTGGGTATCACCCGCCATTCAGAGGGTGTAAGGGGCGGACAGCTGAAGAACCTGCTGCTGACACCCGATGGCTGCCTCAGTCGGGATTCCAGGAGGAAGGGGAATCTGAAGTGCTATAGTGCTTAGTGGCATGCATCTGTAATAAACACTCTGAAATAGACTTTGCTCTGATGTGTTGATTGGATGAAAACAATGGCAAACATGCTGGTGCATCAAGTATGACAGGCAGATACCCTACCTTGTAATCCTTTTCCATCCATCCATCCATAGAATTGTAGAGTTTGAAGGGACCATGAGAATCTTCTAGTCCAGCCCCTCTGCAATGCAGATATCCTTTGCCCAATGTGGGGTTCGAACCCATCACCCAGAGATTAACAGTCTCATTCTCTGTACCAGGGGTAGGCAACCTAAGGCCCGGGGGCCGGATCCAGCCCAATCGCCTTCTAAAACCGGTCCTCGGATGGTCCGGAAATCAGTGTGTTTTTACATGAGCAGAATGTGTCCTTTTATTTAAAATGCTTTCTCTGGGTTATTTGTGGGGCATAGGAATTCTTTCATCCCCCCCCCCAAATATATAGTCCGGCCCACCACATGGTCTGAGGGACAGTGGACCGGCCCATGGCTGAAGAAGGTTGCTGACTCCTGCTCTATACAATATTTTTAAAAAATATATATGGAGAGAACAAGCATGCACAATATACAGAGATCTTTAAGAATACGGTTGCGAACTATGGGTAGGCTCCATCCACAATGTGTTTTTTGACCCATATATTTTCCGAAATATTTGTAGGGGAAAGTTGCAACTTCCTAACGTGTTCCTTCTCACAAACGCTCTCTTCTCTCAGAAACGAGATGTGGCCAACCTTCTGTGGGAATGCAGAATGTCCCTCCCTTTCTGTCTCTCCCCCCCCTTCTTTTTGGGGTGTGCGTGCGAAGCAGCCGCACGTTTGACTGGTTGTGAACCACCAGGCTTTTTGAGTACTCATTAAAATAATAACAATAATACGGCAATGAAAGAAACGGCAAATAAAAACTGCCCTTGCAGTTTCCTTTCATGGCAAACAACAAGGGACACATTCAGGAGTATCAGGTACATAACAGACAAATTAAAGAAGAAAATAGATGGCCAAAAGGTTAAAAGGGAATGAAAACACAAGCTTTAATAGTCACAAGATCAAATGAGGCATTAGTTAATTTTCCTCCCTTTTTTGGTGCAGTTCATCAGAAGTTCAAGCAATTCAGCTGAGCGATTGAACTGGAGTAGAGCGCTGTGCCAAAACCCCCTGATTACTGATAGCATAAACAGAAAAATAACAAACTGAAACTAACGCTCGATGTCATCTCTCACATAAGAAATTGCTTCTGAGAATGTTGGAATTCTACCCGAGTTGCGAGCGGCGACCCGCACCGCGTGCGAATGCTCACAATGGCCGCGGCCGCAAGCAACAGCTGAGAAATTATTTCTTGCTAATGAGCAATCAAGCCGGATTTAAGACTCAAATGGCTGAGGCAGGGTGTGTTGGGGGCAGCAGCAATTCACAGTTGTGGGAGGGACGGGAAAGGAAAGAGCTTGTTTACTGGAGGTGTAGCTGAAAGTGATGGATCATCAGAACGGGAGAATTGCTACTTCTGGCATATGCAGAGTTCAGAGACGGGAAAGGTGTGGGTTGTGTTTAAAGTGGGGGAACGCAGTGTCCTGCCTACGGGCTTTTAAAAAATATATGGTCAGGCTATCTAAATAAAATTGATTCCCCATTGAACTAGCCCCTCACCATATAGGTTTTTAAAGTATTTATATGCACATAGGTTTGTTGTTGTTCTTTTGAAGAGTGAATTATAGTCAAATTGTCACCATCTACTATTTCTCCAATGAAGGAGTTTCAGGCATGCAGCTTGGTCATTTAAATTTATCTGTGAGTTTGCCTTGCAATCTGAACTACTCCGAGGGCACTATGCAAGTTGGGACATGCATCTCATCCTTCTTGAATGAAGGGCTGGAAGGCGTGTCTGCATTAGCTGCCGTGCCGTCGTTATGAAAAGTGGAGAGGAGGAGAAAGTGGAATGACCAAAAAGCAGTTCAGGACAGGGAACAAGAAGGTGGCCCTGGAATCCCTGAAGATGCTCCCTGCTTGTGTAAACAAGGGTTGAGTCAACAACGTCGAGACCATATAACACCGGTCCTGAAAGACCTACATTGGCTCCCAGTATGTTTCCCAGCACAATTCAAAGTTTTGGTGTTGACCTTTAAAGCCCTAAACAGCCTCGGCCCAGTATACCAGAAGGAGTATCTCCATCCCCATCGTTCTGCCCGGACGCTGAGGTCCAGCTCCGAGGTCCTTCTGGCAGTTCCCTCACTACGAGAAGCAAAGCTACAGGGAACCAGGCAGAGGGCCTTCTCGGTAGTGGCGCCCGCCCTGTGGAACACCCTCCCATCAGATGTCAAAGAGATAAACAACAACCTGACATTTAGAAGACATCTGAAGGCAGCCCTATTTAGGGAAGTTTTTAATGTGTGGCATTTTAATGTATTTTTAATCTTTGTTGGAAGCCGCCCAGAGTGGCTGGGGAGACCCAGCCAGATGGACAGGGTACAAATAATAAATTATTATTATTATTGGCCTCCAAAAACTAGGGTTGTCACCCACTTAACACATATTTTAGTTTATTATTCACCTGCCTTTCAGCCTCTTACTTAATCACATTGCAGTATGTTTGCATGGTACAAAGTCTCTGGATTGGTGCCTCTTTCAACACTGAAGGAAGTCTGCAATAACTTATAATGTATGAACAAAGGCTGCCATGCATCGTTAGAGAGAACAGCCATCACCCGTCATTTCCTTTTCCAAAAACAGCCTACAAATTTTAAAAAGGGAAGCTACCCTTAACATGAAATCCCTCTGATTTAACATGAAAGCAAGGCAACTAAGCAACCCTCCTAAGGGGAAATGTCACAACATTTGGGGGGATTTTTAGATTAGAGAAAGAGCGAGTAAGGAGGGACGTGGTGTAGGTGTATTAGATTGTGCGGGGGGTAGAGAGAGTGGACAGAGATGCGTTTTCTCCTTTCCTCATAATACTAGAAGCCTCCATGGCTATCCAGCGAAGAAGATTCAGGACAGTCAGAAGGAAGGTTTAGTTGAGATTCCTGCTTTGCAGGGCAGTGGACAAGACGGCCCTCGCAATCCCTTCCAGCTCTACAGTTCTGTGATTCACGCAGCCCGCAGTTGAACTGTGGAGTTTGCTGTCACAAGACGCAATGGCAGCCACCAGCTTGGACGGCTTTGAAAGAGGATTGGACAGATTCATGGAGGACAAAGTCGTCAGTGGCCACTAGCCATGATGGTTAGGTTACACCTCCATTCTCGCAAGAAAAATGGCTCCGTATTCCCATTTTGCTGGGAATCACGAGTGGGGACAGTGGTGTTGCGGTCAGGTCTTGCGGGCGTTGTACAAGTTATCTGGCTAGCCACTGTGAGCAGCATGCTGGTCTTGAGCCTTTGGTCTTGCAAGGGGGGTGAGCGTGTGTTCCAGCTCAGACCCCTGTTACCATTCTGATCACCCCCACCCTGATCCAGGGAGACTCCCTGCATATTTTCGAACACCGATCTCCCCCTCCACGCATGCCATGCCCCCTCCTCCCGTGTTAACACAAATTGAAAACTTTGAGAACGCATCCAACAAAATTGTCTGGCAAAGAGGGATTCAGGGCAGACAAAAATTCCTTAAATCGTGGCATAATTGCTTGAAGGAATTTGCTGTGGTAGTTTGGGGTGACGGACAGCAGTTGGGCTCGCTTTAAATGGGTATTAGAGAAATTCATGGAGGATGAGGGTCCTTGTTAGCTAAATGAATATCTGCTGGTGGTGGGGGCAGAGGGAGAAGAGTGGGGAAAGGCTGTTGCCTCTATGCCCCCCGTTACAAACTTCCCCAAAGGGTCTGTTTGTCCACTGTGGGAAAATGCATGCGGAACTAGGTGAATATTTGATTCTTTCTTCAATGCCCCAACTGGAAGCTTATAATAAAATTTGCCTGCAATGTTTGTTTCCTGCTCTCTCTCCAAGAAATATATAAAGTCATTCATTTTGTTATCTTAGCAGCAAAGATATAGTTATATTGCACTGATACATAGGGGATATTTTCATTAAAAAAGAGCTTCATTTGTCTATATTTATTATGTATAACCAATTTAATTTAACCACAGAGTTATGTGCTGGAAATGGGGCTCTTGTCTTATTACCAGTCAACTTTTCTCTGCTTCTATTTCATCTGCAGTTGACATTTTGCTAGTAGGAGGCTAATTGCTAATCTAAAAGGAAATAAACCATAGATCATGCACTGGTAACAAATTGGTATTTAAGCATATGTTAGGCACTCGGCTCTTCTGCTCATTTGAGGGGCGTTCTGATTTATCTGGTTTTATGTTCTGATTTATCTGGTTTTATTTCCAAAAAAAGGTTTGATTCCCTCCCCTTCAAATAAACTTTGTTGGTATGTTGCAAATGTGCAAGTATTAGAAACGTATTCCTGTTGTCATGAAACCTGGGGTGCCAAAGGCAAGAAGCAGAATTCTTTGCAGAATCATTTTCAGATGGAAATGCCAAAGATTCAGTTTGGAGGTTTGCACTCTCCTGAGTTGAGCCCACAGCAGGTATTGAACTGGCAGCTTCATAGATGCTAGACCGTGGTTCTTCCAGTGTGATCCCCACCCCCCTCATGAGTTTAGGCCAAAACAAATGAACTGCGAGAGATTTGCTGTACAAACAGCCCCAAGGCCACTGAGCAAACCTGGCTTGTGTCGAAAGGAGACTTAGCCATGTTTCCTGCCTCCCATCAGCTGCTTCTGAGTTGGGGTTTCTCACTGAGCAACAGAGAGACCTCTTGTTGCTGAATACCAGCCATCTTGTTTCTCCTCTGCCTTGGTATCCATTCTGAGCTGCACAGGAGCCACATACCGTATTTTTCGCTCTATAGGACGCACTTTTTCCCCTCCAAAAATTAAGGGGAAATGTGTGTGCATCCTATGGAGCGAATGCAGGCTCCTTGGCTTCAGCGATAGCAACGCGAAGCCTCCAAAGCACGCTCCCTCCGCGCTCCAGAGGCTTCGCGTTGCTTTCGCTGAAGCCTGGAGAGTGAGAGGGGTCGGTGCGCACCGACCCCTCTCGCTCTCCAGGCTTCAGGGATAGCCGCCTGAAGCCTTCGGAGCGCAGCGCGAGTTCCCGCTGCACTCCGCAGGCTTCAGGTTCCTTTTGCTGAAGCCGGGAGAGTCTTACTCTCCCGGCTTCAGCAAAAGGAACCCGAAGCCTGCGGAGCGCAGCGAGAACTCGCGCTGCTCTCCAAAGGCTTCAGGGATAGCCGGAGGCTTCAGCTTCCTTTTGCTGAAGCTGGGAGAGCAAGACTCTCCTGGCTTCAGCAGAGAGGGAGAGCTGCGCAGCGCCCCTTCAGCCAAGCGGGAGGAGAAATGGAAGGGGTTCTGTTTGTCCTGCCGCTTCGCTGAAGGGGCACTGAGCAGAGAGGGGGAGAATTTTTTTCTTGTTCTCCCCCTCTAAAACAAGGTGCGTCCTATGGGCGGGTGCGTCCTATAGAGCAAAAAATACGGTATGTCACAGGATGCCTTTTGCATTTCGGTGATTTGGAAGTGCTCCCGCATTTTCACTCCCGCACCTGAAATCTTATTAGAAAATTATTCAGTTTGGTTTAATATTTATATGCCACTTTTCTGACAACAACGTTGAACTCAAAGCGGCCGGCAATAATAACAAAGCCTTTTAAAAAATCAGCAAACGAACGTTTCCAACTCTGTAATCATCACCAAAAGCACATAAGCCGGGAAGACACAATGCGCCGAGCAATTAATGATGTTAAATGCAAACTCGCAATAATTTGAACATAATTCAAATACATGGTGCCCAAGCTCAAGATCCCATTGCGATTGTAGTGGTTAAGGGAAAGAAAAGAGTGGCTGTGAGGTTGCATCCTTCCTAAAACCTGAGAAAGACTTCATCTTCTGAGTTTCACCTGGAACTTCAGTGGCGGACGCAACTATATGGAATCCTTATAGCATTTTCTAAACCTTTTTTTCCATATAACAGCAGAAATTAAGACATACAAGTTAGTTGCATGAGAACTCAGTGTAACTTAAAGAGAGAGCCAGTGGTGGTGTGGGTGGAGCATTTGACTTGGACTGGGAAAACTTAAGTTTTGACCTCCACTCAACATGAAGCTCATTGGGGTGGCCTTGGGATCAAGCCGCCATCTTTCAGCATAGCTGATCTTGTAGGATTGTCCTTTTGTACACTCCCTTCAGTGGATGGGGAAGAATATAAGAAGAGCATGCTGGATCAGGCCATTCTGTTCTCACTGTGGCTAACCATCACTCCCCGGGGGCAGGTAATATGCCAAGATGTACGCCAGCGCAACACATCTTTGCCAAAGCACCCTCGAGGCTCCTTCACCTACAGCACAGCTGATCTGCACACCCAGCTTTGCAATCCTCGGATGAAGAGCGCTGTATAGCTATGCCCCTTGTCAGGAACCAGCTAAACACGTGCCGCTTTCAAACAAGGGGGAATACTAAGAAGGAAGCAGGAGCTTTGGACACAGGAGCAATTAGAATCGTAGAATTGTAGATTTGGAAGGGACCACAAAAGTCACCTAGGCCAACCCCCTGCAAATTTTGCCCGACGTGGGGCTCAAACCCACGACCCCATGATTAAGAGTCTCATGCTGTACTGCTTGAGCCGTGCTGCCGGCCCTCTGGGTTTTGGTAGAAGGCAGGGTTTCTTTTTAACCCAACAATGTCTCCTTCCTCTGTAAGTGGGGCTGGGCAGCGCATCAGTGTTCGAAACTCCTGTTGTCCTAGGCGCATTTTGCGACAGGGAATTTCATCGAGGCGAGCAGTTTGTGAGCTCTGGGCGCTGCACTGCACCTAAGATTTCACATTAAAGCTGCAGAGTGGAAGGAAAAGAGGGCCCTTTTCTGCCTCCCCACTTCTAGCTACTATTCGAAGACTGGAGAAGAAACCCTCTTAAGAATATTAGGGGGGTGGGCAGGGGAAGAACTAGACCAGGGGTCCGCAAACTTTTTCAGCAGGGGGCCGGTCCACTGTCCCTCAGACCTAGTGGGGGGCCGGACTATATTTAAAATAAAAATAAAAATGAACAAATCCCAATGCCCCACAAATAACCCAGAAATGCATTTTAAAGAAAAGCACACATTCTATTCACGTAAAAACACCAGGCAGGCCCCACAAATAACCCAGAGATGTATTTTAAATAAAAGGACACATTCTACTCATGTAAAAACACGCTGACCGCCGACCGGATTTAGAAGGCGTTTGGGCCGGATCCGGCCCCCGGGCCTTAGTTTGCCTACCCATGGACTAGACCATGTGAAAAACGAACATAATATTTTAGCTGCAGTTCATTCATTTTTAGCACAGTATTCTTGTTAGCTGCCCTGAACCTGGCTTTGGCTGGGGAGGGCGGGGTATAAATAAAAATTATTATTATTATTATTATTATTATTATTAAAAAGTGTGCCTAGACATTCCGCTGTTGTGCCTGTATCCTAGGTTTAAGGTGCCATTTTGCTCCTAGCTTTCATATCTCAGTTTCTATCACTGCAGCCCATGCACGGCTTCCCAAGCACAGGGAGTGGAGATCTGTGCTGGTGCCTGCGGAGGGCGGTTTGGGCTGCGAGAGTAAAGGAAATCCTTTGGGGTTGAGCGTGCACTTAGGGGATGAGTCACAGAGGAAAGGCTGAATTCCCTTAAAAGAACATTGCAGGTTCAAATGCGCTTCCTGACAGCTATTACAGAGCGGCCTCTCGGAGCTGGCTGTGCTTGCACATTTTCACACGCTATAATTTTTGCTGTAATTAACTGAAGAAAATAACTGCTCCCTTCTTAGAAACGAAGCGCTTTCCCCAGCTGTTCCCGCATGCCACTATGTTTGTCCTTTTGGCACCAGCGTTGCGTTCTTGAGCTGCTCTGCACCCCTCCAGAACTGTTTTGTAGTGGCAGCTCTGTTGACGCAGAAGGGGCTGCCCCCTTTTGGTGTCCGCATGCGGGTGGCCTTGTCTGTTGGGTCTGCCACCTGGGACATCTTAGACGAATAAGCTTCTCCTGCAGCCGACTTAGGTGTGTGGGGTGTTTAAGGCAGACGGATCTTTTTAAAGGACCCTCTCGTTTTGCACTCTTGTTTCTTCTTGGTCTTCTGGAAATGATTATACGGATCTGTTTTCCAGTTTGTTGGTTTTTGTGTGTGTGCTTTTTCCAGGTCTAGTCTTGAGAATTCTGTAAAACGGAACACTGAATAATTAAAAGAAAAGAAAAAAAATCCTTGTGGGTTCTTTTTGACATTTTCAACAGGGAATGTCAAAACGTTTTTCCTTTTGTCTTTGAGTGGTTTTGTTCTGGGCCCAGCAGCGCTGCCCATTCCCAGTGTCAGCAAGGCCACAGTCTCGAGAACAGATGGCATTGTCCCTCCCTTCCAAATGAAACTGATGGAATGGAGACTTTGGGCTGCCAGGCAAGCGTTGTGTTTCCAGTTCCAGATTTTAGCATGGAACTGTTTTATCTCCTGAGGTTCTGGGGGGTGCTGGCTGTATGTGTGTCCACTTGGGTTTTTGTCTCTGCTAGTGTTTGGGATCCTCTTCCCTTCTGGGAAGGACTTGTCTGTTTCAGGGTCAAGGCCCAGATAAGGCAGAAATCCCCATAATTAATGATGGTGATGATGATGATGATGATGATAAAAGCTCTGGCACACAGGAATTCTGGGACACCGCTTGGATTTTGGATGGTTGCTGTTTATCAGTTGGAACAGCGTGGAGCTGAAACTTGGTTATAACTAAGGCTTTTTCTTTTTTCTGTTTTTGTTGAGACTGCAGTGAAAGCCAGGAAGTCTGTCACACCTTGAAATGTTCTTCAGGTACATTCAGTGGCAAATCGGGTCCTCCGTTAAAGAGGGCACATATTGTGGTGAGACCTGGACAACCGACACCCTGTGTTGTGGGTGGGTACAGTTGGTAAGCCGCAACACCCAATTGGTAGGTCCCTTGAGGCTGGGTACAATCTGGCCAATGGGATGCAGTTCAAACAGTTCGAGGGACCTATTTATGCCCATGCACGTGACCCAGAGCTTCCTCTTTCGGCGCGTGCATTCGGAACACCCGCCCACCTCTCCCTACTTTTAGGGCTTTGTGCTTGACCTTGCATGTGTCGTCTGTCATTGGGACAGGGGCACGGCAGGAATTTTGCCCACTCGGCTGATTGGCTGTTGCCATTTGGGTTTCACCTGCCGCATAGCAAATCGTCACAACTTGTAAGGTTGCGGATAGGCTCTGGTTCAGGTGATAGGGATGGGAGAATGCTCTCGCCATCCCTATGTGAAGGGTATTCTGCTAAAGGATTCCAGGGACTTGATGGTTTGGTCAACCCCTGAGAGGGGGTTGTGCCCGTGCCTGAGTCCAGGGGGACATTTGGGTGGCAGAGTTAGCCCGTTCCCGGCTTTCTGCTTATCCAGGTGTTCACCCTTGGCTGATGTATGCTGGTGCCCTGGGTCAGCGCTACCTGCATGGCAGGGAGCTAGTCGAACCAGAGCCTATGCAACCAGTCACTTTCTGTAATGAATAAAGTTGTGGCCTAAATTCTGCCAAAAACCAAAGCAAAATTTTGAGTCTTGTATGAATTTATTTAGGCGGGAGGTTTCTGGGCCTGAACACACAGTTTATATCCACGTAGGCTTCTACTTGCAAGGCTCCCTGTGACATATTTTCCCTTCCAACATTTTTTTTTGGTAAATATTTTTATTGATTTTACAATACAAAATTATAAAAACATAACACACGCTTTCTCACAAATACATTCTTTTTGGACTTCCCTCATCTCTTCTGATAATCCTCCGTTTTGATCATTTCTTACGCATTTCCTAATTTTATATTGCCTTATATTAGTAACCTCTCCTCTCTCCTTTTCCCATTTTTACAATATTTCTAATATTAATTATTCACAGAGCTTCTTGCAAACCAACAAACGTTCAAACAAACAAACATTTTTTGAGTATTTTGCGTCGCATCTGTAATTGCTGTGCCTTCACAAATGCAAACAAATTTTCTCTATTCAAGTTTACCCTGTAGCTATGTCAATCAGGACATGTGTGGCTTCCACTGCCGCTTCTAGTTTTATGGTTGTCTAGAAAGTAGTAGGACAAATTCGTCTCCATTCGGTTTCTTCTAAAGCGTATTTGTGGACAGCCTTCTGTTGCCTCCCAATGTCAGAACTGAGTCTTTACCGAACGTAGGAGTGTCGATGGCACAATTTTCATTTTTCCTTGCACTCGTGGTAGCAGTTGCGTTCCTTTCATTGCGACCTTTGCGGCCTTCCTCTGTTGCCAACCCCAGAGGCATTTTGTTTTGATTCTGGTTCACAGAATTTAATCGGAATTTCATGGCTAAGAAAAGAACAAATTAAGCAGTGGTGGTGTTAAGTTTTTAAATAAGAATGAAGTGGAGAGAAATATGGATGGGATAACAAAATATGAGCCTTGTAGCTCTGCTGTGCTCACCTTGACTTTTCTTCATCAAGCTTGAGTGATGGCTTCTTTTTTTGCTGGAATGGCTTAGCAAGTTTTAAAATGCTGGACTGACCCCCTGGCACTTTGGGCTCAAATCTCACCCCTCTTGGGGGATGCTTTACTTGTCCTGAGACCAGTGTTAGAAACTCAAATATATAAGCTAGGCGCCAAATAACTCCTTAAACCAGGTTTACAGTCGCCAAAACAGACTGTCTAGTTGCCGTTTTGGGGGCAGATGGCTCTAAAGTTGTATTTGGTTCCTGAAATTCATTCTGATTATGCAGATAAAATATAACGAATAGAATTCTACAGGGTGTGTTGCTCGCGGCACCCAGGCATCTTCATTTGGTTGCAAGTGGTCAATAGCCAGGTGCAAAATGCTCCTGGCTAATTTCTAACACGGCCTGAGACTTAAGGTGACTGTGACTTGTCACAGGGAATGGCTTTCTGAGAGTGATTTTTTTCATAGCATATAGGCTGTTTTCATTACGTTCCTTAAATCATGTGCCCTCTGTGGGAGGAACCCCTAGAACAGATTTTAAGGTACAGGGCTGGGGCGGGAGGAATCCCAATGGGATGCTTACTCAGGTTTGTATCCAACACAGTTCTGTGCAATATTCACTCAGTGTGCTGCTCTTTCTGGGAAGTAGGCGCCAGAAAGTGTGAGGGTCCTGGTGTGTAGGGTACCAGTTTCTTCCAGAGATATGGCTCAGAGTCAGTATGCAGAGGTAATGAGCACTCTCTTTAGAGGTCACAGTACATTGTCAGGTTTGAGGGTTTCCTGATGGATAGGTTTTAGTACTAGTTCAGGATTGGTTCTGCATGTCCGGCTAGACATCCTGCTCTTGTTAGCTGCTGATTTGTACCTTGTACCTTGGCCCTGGAGACCAATGTTGTTGTTGTTGTTCTTCCCTGGAGACCCTTCTTCTTCTTCTTCTTCTTCTTCTTCTTCTTCTCCTTCTCCTTCTCCTTCTCCTTCTCCTTCTTCTCCTCCTTCTTCCCTGGAGACTGATGATGATGATGTTCTTCTTCTTCTTCTTCTTCTTCTTCTTCTTCTTCTTCTTCTTCTTCTTCTTCTTCCTCCTCCTCCTCTTCCTCTTCCTCTTCCTCCTCCTCCTCCTCCTCCTCCTCCTCCTCCTTGGAGACCGATGATGATGATGATGATGTTATTCCCCGGAGACCGTTGTTGTTGTTGTTCCCTTCACCTGTAGATCTCAGGAAGGTTCAGAATAGAATAATATAATATAAAAACCACAAAATACATAGTAAAAATAAGAACAACCAATAAATAATCTCCTCTCCCACAACACTCAGTCTCAGTCTCAGTCGGTTTTATTGCACAACACCTTTAAGAGGGCACTGGATATCAATCAACCAAAGGCCTGATTGAAAAGGAACATTTTCACCTGGCATCTAAGGCTGTATAATGAAGGCGCCAGACGAGCCTTCCTGGGGAGAGCATTCCACAAACAGGGAGCCACTGTGGAAAAGGCCTCTTCACGTGTTGCAGGCACGTGAAGTAGGGCTTCAGATGATGATCGCAGAGAGCAATTTGGTTCATATAGGGAGGTGTGGTCCTGAGCCATTTAAGGCTTTATGGTTAATATGTCTAGAAAGATGGGCTACAGCTGGTTGATGGACAAATGCCTGTCTATTTTTCTCTTTCTAGCATACTTTGCTCCACAGTCTTGATCACGTCTTCTTCCTGCTTTCTGTGCCTTCCTGCCCTACAACTTAGAAGAGGTTGGCTTTTGAGTAACAGTCTTGAAAGTGCACATCATTTTACTGTTCAATTGAGTATTTTCTGAAGGCTTCTGGAAAAAGCCTTGCTTTGTGTTTTCTGGATCTCTTTGTTGATAAACCTCTGTATGTCGCATATTTGTGCCCTTGTGTTAGAACGTCAACAAAGCCAAATTCTTAAATCCCTTTCAAGGGATTTATTGTGAAAAAGGTAAAGGGATTGGAGAAGATTGGCTACCTGGGGGAATCCTTTTGTGTTCAGCCAGAATGCAAACATTTCTATTTTTGCTGATAATTATACATAGCAGTTCATGCTCAGATATGTGGAGGAGACTTGCTGTTAATGATAATAATGAAAAGCCTCTGACTCATTACAGTTGCAGATGTAAGGATTTCGTAAACACAGTGAGAATACTTGTCTGGAACATTTTTTAATCTTTTAATTCGTTTCATTCTACATGGATTCCATGCTCTGGGCACAAATCAGTGAAAGTCTGTCCCGAGAGAGAGACAGAGAGACTGTCTCTCTCTCTCTCTCTCTCTGTGTGTGTGTGTGTGTATTTGTTTGTGTTTGCTTAGTCGTGTCCGACTCTTCGTGACCCCGTGGACCAGAGCACGCCAGGCACTCCTGTCTTCCACTGCCTCCCGCAGCTTGGTCATTCTTATATTCATTCATTCATTCATGTGTGTGTGTGTGTATGTGTATATATATATATATATATATATATATATATATATATATGAGAACTTTACCTGGATCAAGTGACTTTTCTTGTTTAAGTTTTCAAAGTTCTTAGCCTAGCTCAAGGTTCCCATCTGAACTAGCCAGATGTTTAACTGATAGTCAATCGCAGTCAGTCCATCATTTGAAAAACAGCACTTTTAGAGCCATCTTGCCCAAAATGACAAGTAGGTATTCCATTTTGGCGACTGCAGCCTTGGTTTAAGGAGCCATTTGGGGCCTAGGTTATATATCTGAGTTTCTGACACTGGGAAGGTCCAGGCCGTTCTAAATCTGTGGTGAAAGTCTAGCGGAGAGACACTTGCATTCAGTTTATATAGGATGCTGTTTTGGATATGGTTTCTACACCAGGCATCTGTGGCTTTGGAAGTAGAGATTTTCAGATTAGTGCACTTTTTACATTGGCTAATTAAAAATAATTGTGGAGGTTAATAAAGCAACAATTAAACCGTTAACTTAAAACTTTTAACGTGGGGCACTTCTCTGAGAGGAGGAACCCTACTGTAAACAGGAGCTTGCGCTGGAATTACTGGAATGACTCCACAGGATTGGCAAGCAAGTATTTTGGTTTTTAAGTAAGGTTTTATGTCTCCCTGCTTCCGATGATGCACAAGAAAATTGATGGCTTTTCAGAGTGAGGGTGAGCTGTTTTTCATTAGCAAGCACACACTGCAACTTCTTGAGAGGCCTGTTGGCTTTTGTTAGGCACCTGGGGATTCTAGGTTTCATTTAAAAATAAATTCCTAATCATCATGTTTGTTGCAGCGCACAGCGGTGTTGCTCCATGAAATTACGCTGTGAAAAGTCATCAGTGCGAAGCTTCCACCACGAGGAGCATCTGTGCTTGGCACTTAGAGCCAATCTATTATGTTCAGGAAAGGCAAGTGGTAAAGTCCTTCCTGGCACTAGTGACATTTCAGAATGAATGTTTGCATGCTATCTATGGAGTTCCCATCATGTAGGTCACCCTTCTGTATTCTGAAATGGTGCAGCGCCAAAAAGCAAACTTGACTACTTTCCAGGCACACCTGTCTTTGTAGAAAAGGTGGATCACACTATGGTTTGTATCCAACGCCTCTTGACCCAATATCAATTGCAAGATCTTCAGGTGATCATGAAGATGGATAAGAGGCACTTAAGAGATTGTCTCTTCAGGTTCGACGCAGAAAGGGATTTAACCACGATCGCCTCTACCAAAAGTTCACCATGGTTCCCACTTATCAAAATGGAGCACATCCAAGCTAGTTATCTTCACGGCCTAGGACCCTCGTACCTACAGGACCGCCTCTCCCGGTATGCCCCACGGAGAGCCTCAAGGTCCATAAATAGCAACACCCGAGTGGTCCCGGGTCCTAAGGAAGTTAGATTAGCTTCAACCAGAACCAGGGCCTTCTCAACACTGGCTCCGGCCTGGTGGAACGCTCTGCCTCATGAGACCAGGGCCCTGCGGGATCTGATTTCTTTCCACAGAGTTGTTCCGCCTGGCCTTTGGCTTGGAGCCAATTTGATTCCCTCCCCCTCTTTCTTTTTTCTTTTCCTTTCTCCTCCTGCGATGAGGCTACATTTTAATATTTTAATGCTTCAGTATTTTAACGTTGTATTTTAATTTTGTTTTTTAAGTTGTATTCATTCAACTTGTTTTTATTATTGCTTGTTAGCCGCCCTGAGCCTGGCCTTGGCTGGGGAGGGCGGGGTATAAATAAAAATTAATATTATTATTAAAGCTCCCACTTGCCATACTAAGAATCGCTTTTCCAGAATTACGATTCCAATCGATACTCTCAGCGGTGGTGGATGGTCGGTTACGGCAAAGTACAGCACAAGGAGAGACTCTGTGTGGGCAACCTTGCGTAGAGGCCCTGTACCACTATTTATTGCAATGCCCGCTATATATAGAACCAAGAGACCGATTTATTAATCCCCTGCTTACGAATGGAACCCAATCGAACAGGGCAGAAAAGGTGAAATGGCTGCTGAGTGATACTGAAGACTTTGTAACTTACAAAGTAGCTCTATATGCGTTGGCAGCTAAGAAGATCAGGAGAAAAGAACTAGATGAAATAGCAGTCAATTGCAAAGGTGATTTGGACATTTAAGCCGGCACATTCTACCTGAGAACCCCCTGCTATTCTATCGTATGCAACAAATAATTTGTAGGAGATGTGACCATGGTTTATTGTATTTGCAGTGCCTGATGTTTTTATGGTTTTTATAGTTATTGTTGTTTTTCTTTTTGTTTCCTTTGTGAATGATGCCATGGCCTTTGGCTAGTGCAATAAAGTTGATGATGATGATGACGACTATGGTTTGTGATGCTGGTTAGCACTCGTACTAATTTTCCCCAGTTTGGAGCTGTGCTTTAACAAACAAACAAATCTTATATGAAGCTAGGGGTTTGAGGGGAACAGGGAATGCTCAGGGTCACTGCTCATTTGTGATCCAGTGAAGCATCGGTTATTGGACTGGGAAGAGGACACCAGAACTGGTTTATTTGGTCCTTTGGGGTCTACCAAATTCTTGGAGGTTTGGGGGTTGGGGATCCAGAATTCAGCCGTATGTTCGGATGTTTGGCTGAGCTGACCTTCTGGCTGAATTCATGGGGACAGGGGAAAGGGTTGGTTTATAGTGCGAATTAGGAGGCTTAGAGGGCTAACCTCCTTGCTTTGCACTCCTGGTGTTTCCTCTAAAACTGTTATTCCACTTCATGTCCTCAGATTAAGCTGGGTCACAGCTATCACCATCCTCAGCTATCTTAGTATATGGCCAGGAATAAGGGTAGCTGTAGTCTAACAACATCTGGACCCAAGGTGGAAGAACGCTGTCTTAAAAAGCATTAAGCTCTCAAAACTTGCAGTTACCATTTTCCACCATTCCAACTCACAAACAAGCCATGGTGGGTTTCTCAATTTCTCTTATAACCTCTCCCCTGCTTCCAAAGAAATGTTTTATCAGTAGGGTAAGCAAAACAAAACTCTGAGCAATGAATAGATGTGGGAAAGTTTAATCCTGCACAGTGTAACAGTTTAGAAGAAATTGATTTATTTTTTTTAAGGAATCAAATGCACATGCCCTGTGCAAAGGAATTAAGGCTGACTTTGCACCCAGAGTACAGAAATGTGGGGGTTCACAAAGCCAGTTTTCTCATCTAAACTACAGCCCCTTAAGTAAAATAAAAATAAATCTTGTAATAGATTCCCTGCATCTTGTCTAAAAGCAGCTTCTGTCGCTCCCACACACTGGCTCAAGATAACAGCACACCTGGGTTGTTAAATGATTCTAGAAACCAAAGCCTGTTGTCCGCAGTCGGGTTCCAAGATCTGAAGGGCAAACGTCTGCCTAACTGGCCTACCCTGAAAGATATGCTTAGGAACGAAGCAGCAGGAAAAAGAAGCAGTCTTTGCTCACTGTGCAAGAAGTTCCAAAGGAGTTCAAAATATGTATCTCCACAAGGAGGGGAGTGCCCAAACATTTTGAAAAAATTGATTTTGAAAAGATTTGATGATCTGAACATGCATTTGAAGTTGTTGAGTTTTTTGTTTTTGGGTTTTTTTAAACAAGTTTACCGCAAAGTTGTTGAGCTTTTTGGGGGACTTTGGATATTCCTGGCATTTCTTCTGCTTCCTGGAGAAACCGTTTTGAAATGTCCTCTCCAGATCAGAAGTGAGAGCTGCTAAGAACGAATCAGTGGAGCTCTCTGTCCTCTTCCAGCTTCAGTGTTGTCCTTGTAGAACTCAGCAGAGAGGAGGATGAGGGACAAAGCCAGAATTTGTCGGCTCTGCCTCTACCTGCCATTGGCCTTCTTGCCTTCTGCTCTGTTGGTCCCAATGGTCCAGCACCAGCCACTGTGGGTGGAAAAATAGCTGCTTCTTGGCACAACATGGCAATTAGTTGGTATTCAAGCTCACGGGCAGTTTCAAGGCAAGAGCTAGGAATTAGGTAGTTATGTTTTCTCCATCAGCTCTCTTGAAAACAAGCACTGGCAAACAGCATCATCATGTAGTTTGTGTTGCAGGTGCCTAATGCCCAGGGCTACACTGCTGCCACATCCGTTTTGTGGAATTTCAGAGAATGGTCCTGGTGATTATTTTATTGTATTATTTGAAAAGAGATCTGGTACGTTTGTGTAATGTCGTATCAGGCCAAAGGTGCATTCATTTCCTTGAAGAGGTACCAATTTCTGCAGATGACTTTTTAAGCATCTCCCATTTCGTACTCACTGGAAGTTTTTAGCGTGCAAGTCTGGAGTCTGACCTTTTAAGAGCTATCACAAAAAGGACACGGCACGTTACGGAATAGAAATACGAACTAGATCTTTAAACGGAGATAACCTATTATTGATTGTGGAGCAATTTTAAAAGCTATATAGCCCGGCGTTCTTATCTATGGATTGAACTAGCCACAATTTATTTTATTTTAGCCATGCTTTAACCACAATTGTGCCATTTTCTAAATAGCATGCAGTCGCCATTAGGATTCAGTCTTTCTCATCCATTGTTTTCTTAATGTTCCGAAGTGACTAATGGATATGAATGTGTTGCAAAGTGAAAATGTAGATTGAAAAAGAGAGAGAAAAACCACAACTCATGGCTTTGTACCAAAAAGGTTCCCTCTCCAGGCAGGACTGGGAAACAGTGTTGATGACCAGTGCCGGGTTTACGTATAAGCTAAACAAGCTATAGCTTAGGGCCCCACTCTCTTGGGGGCCCCCAAAAAATTTAAAGGGGAAAAAAGATGTACATTTCCAAAGTATAAGATAAAAAACAAATAAAATAAAACCTACATACAGCAACAGTCTTTTGTGTTGTTTATAGACTTATTAGGTCCGTAAATTACCATATAGCATATATTCAACACAAAAAACAGTGACAATTTGTTGTTGACAAAGGACAGCTGGACATATAAAGGGCCCCATTACCTTCAGTAGCGTAGGGCCTCATCAAACCTAAATCCGGCCCTGTCGATGACAGTCAAAGTGGGCTGTACTGAGGTAGACAGACCAGTGTTTTGTCCTTGGTGTAGACAAGCAATTTGTCCTTCACATAAGTCCACAAAAAGTATTGGCTCACATACTTCCTAATTAGTGAGCATCCGGATGGGTGACCACCTGAGAAACGCGTGTCATAAAGGCCCAAGTGACGTCAACTATAAATTAGGCACTCCGCACCGCCAGCCTCATGTTATGGAACACCCTTCCAATGGGGATGCTGCAGGTATCCTCACTTCCAGGTGTCTCTTGAAGACCGTTTTATGCCGACAGGCCTTCACAGCTGTTTATTTTTTAAATTTTTGATTAGCCAGTCACCTTAACGATTGTATTTTTGATGTTTCTGTGATTCTTCGTAGCTTCGACACCAGCACGCCACCCTGCCACCCTGCTGCTTTAGGATAGGGTGTGATACTTTAATAAATAAATGTATGCTTCCTTAACCCCCCCAGGGCAGAAGAAAGTGGAATACAAATGTAAATAAATAAAAAAAGAAATCTGGTTGTTTGCTGAGGAAGAGAGGATGATGGATGAGATAGGCATTTATTTTTTTGGTTTGATGCATCAGGGCTGCTCCCTGAAGATTGCATAGTACAGGGAAAAGTACTCAATTTTCTAGTTTTCATTTCAACCGCGAGGGCTTTTGAGAAACTTCCATTTTTATTTTTTTTAGTTCTGCCCTTTTTATCTCCCATCCCCACAGAAAATCTCACCCTCTGTTATTTTATGAGAAGCAGCGGGCGAAGTCAGGATGCAAGAGTTCCTCCACAGTCCCGTGACCTGCTGCATCTCTGCCCAATCATATTTCTGTTATCTTTGTCATCTCCCAGCTACCTGAAAAGGAACCATTAAGTGAATAGGATTACATCACTTTTAAAATAAAGGCTCTATTACCGTCACCAAAAGCAGTGGCTGTTCCCTTGTGTTAGGAGCACAATTGCGTTCTGATCCTTTTAGCTAGATAAAGGGGGGGGGGATGTTCTTTGTATCTACAGAGGGTTTTAAATGTATACCTGTAACTGATTTATGGCCTTGGAGAGGGAGATTGCTTTCCCAATAACATCAATTTCACATTGTACCAGCTTTTCCCTTCTTCGTTGTTGTTGGGTGAAATAATTTTAGAATGGTCAGGAGCCATGTGAATTGAGGACAGCAAGGCTGTATGTTTTTGTGGTATTGACATTCCCTTCTCCCTTTCTGCAGAGGCACACTATTGGGGTCACGGAAGCCCCACAGGCATGTAGGAGGGGATTATTATTTTATCAAATTTGTGTACTGCCCTTCATCCGAAGATCTCGGGGCAGTTCACAGCATAAAAATGCAAGATAATGTGGCTGGTATTCTCTAGGATGCCATTTTAATGGCTCTTTGGTGTAGCTCCCAGGAGCACATCTGCTATGAAACAACCTCTATTGATTGATTGATTGATTGATTGAATTTATATACCACCCTATACTCAGAGGTCTCAGGGCAGTTCAAAGAAAAGATCTCAATATATAAAATAAAAACAATAACAATAACCCAATATTGCAGATGAAGCTCCAGGGCCCCTAATACCCCCCCCCCCAAAAAAATGTCTGTAATCCACACTGCTTTTAAAAAGTTCTTTTTAAAAAATGCACCGTGTGTGTATATAACATTTGTCTAAATTTACCTAATTTTCACCTCCCTCCCTTAGAATCATAGCATAGTTGGAAGGTGCCACAAGGATCAACAAGTCCAACCTCCTGCAGTGCAGAAATATTTTGCCCCACATGTGGCTTGAACCCATGACCATGAGATTTAAGAGTCTCATGCTCTACCAGCAAAAACTAGTAAGGCATGGGAAATTTTAATTCATACCAGTGACTTTTGACGTGTGAGAGAATCCTGTACAGCAACTTTAATAAAAAACTGAGCTATAGTAGCTAATTTTTTTTTTAAAAAAATTTGGCGATCTGTTGTGGAACAAACCTGTTGAAGAAAGTAAGAGTGGTTACCCAGACTTTGTTGCTGGTTGCGAAGGGGCCCCCATGACAGTTCAAGCTTCAGGGCTCCCAAAATGTAGGTCTGCCGGTTGTAGCTCCCCAACCTTTTTTTGGATGTATTCTCCATTGCCTTGTATGGGGTGTCTGCTGCATTTCAAAAAATGGCTGGTGGAGGGGGTGGGGGCGAAAGGAAAGCCTCCCCCACCACCAAAGACTTTTGAGGCAACAGGAGTTGGGGATGAATTGCCCAGTGCCAAAGGCAGCAGAATGTGGCACATTGGGGTTAAACTGAAAACGGGCCCAGCCTCACACCCTCTCTTACGGCTGCCAGTTGAAGAGGCAACATTATTTAGTGAGCAGGAAGAGGCTGTGGCAGAGAGGAGTCCAGAATCAGAAGCTGGAACAGGAGAGGAGGAGAGGCCAAGAGGCAAAGGTGAATCAGGCTGGTGAAGAAGCCAGGGCGTCTTCCTCTCAAGCTGCGACAATCTCCCCTATTAGTCTCCCAGGAACAGGAGAGGCATGAAGCGGGAGGAGCAAAGGCAGACATTCGGGCACAGTCTCAGATTGCTTGAGAAGGACTCGGTCGGGAGAGGAGGAGACTTAAGTAGCTGCAGGAGGGTGGGGACCTTCAGCCTCCACGACTGCAAGAGCCTACCAAGAAGCTCCCCATGAGCTGGTTTCTGCTAATAAAGATTTAACACCCTGTGATTTATTATTGGTTGGCTCCCTGACACATAGACACATACCCTCCAAATAGATAACAACAACAGCAACAACAACAACAACAACAACAACAACAACAACTTTTTATTTATACCCCGCCCTCCCCAGCCAAGGCCGGGCTCAGAGCGGCTTACAAGCAATAATAAAAACAAGTTGAGTGATTACAACTTAAAAACAAAATTAAAATACAACATTAAAATATTAAAATATAGCCTCATCGTAGGAGGAGAAGGAAAGGAAAAAAGAAAGAGAGGGAGGGAATCAAATTGGCTCCAAGCCAAAGGCCAGGCGGAACAACTCCGTCTTACAGGCCCTGCGGAAAGAAATCAGATCCTGCAGGACCCTGGTCTCAAGAGGCAGAGCGTTCCACCAGGCCGGAGCCAGTGTTGAAAAGGCCCTGGCTCTAGTTGAAGCCAATCTAACTTCCTTAGGGCCCGGGACCACTAGGGTGTTGCTATTTATGGAGATAGATAGATAGATAGATAGATAGATAGAATGCAGCTTACATAATAACATGTAAAGCACCCAAGCAAGCTTAGCTTACGCAGTGGCGGACGGCAACTATATTTGAAAAGTTGTTTCATGTCATTTGTCTCGTTCATATATATATATATATATATATATATATATATATATATATATGGATATATATATATGATGCCTTAAGACTGAACTGAAAGAGGTAGTTACAGTCATTACCTCATCCCCTGGAAATCTACAGTGGAGTTCATTTGAGGGGCAGTTTGGAGAAATTCTTCCAGCAGCTGCTATGTCTCTGCTTGCCTGCGGACAGAGGATGCCTCCTGGCTGCATTGCTTCTCTGGCTAAGAACATAAGGGGGGTTTGGCTGGATCAGGCCAAAGGGCCATCTCGTCCGGCTTCCTCTTCTCACGGTGGCCAAACAGATGTCTCTGTGAAGCCCTCAAAGAGGACACGAGTACAACGGCAGTCTCTCTCCCCGCTGCCCCTGCTTTTTCTCCGCACAACAGCGAAATCTTCTGTTATGCAGCAATGTACAGACACGCCCCCCCCCCCCACACATTAGCCTGTCACTTTAGTTTTCTCGATCTCATGCAAAATCACAAGGTTCTGGGGCCCATATGGTCACGGGTGGGCAATAAACGAAGAAGTTTGCTGGCAATTGCTGTAGTCATCCAATAATGTCCCAGGCAGGAAACGGGGCCCTGTAAACAATTCTCCTTTTCTGCAATGCGTCCCAGAACGTCTGTACCAAAGTTTCATTGATTTAACTTTCCGTTTTGGTGGAGAGAACATGCTTGGTAGATAAACGCAGACACTCCTGGCCGTTCCAGCTACGCAGTGTTCCTTTTCGGATACCCAACTGACACCTGTGTCACGGGCACACCTTTTACTAGCAATTCGGCATGTGCGCCAACCATGGCTCCAGTGCCCCCAGTTATGCTTGCTCTTCTTCAAACTTCCTTACTGCAAAACCTTGCATGTGGGAGTGCTCTGGAAAAATGTGTCTAGAAGCTTGCTGTTTCTGAATGCAAAGGCTATTGACAGGAACTGCTGCCGGTTCTGAATACAGTGGTACCTCTGGTTGCGAATGGGATCCGTTGCGGAGGCCCGTTTGCAACATGAAAAGCCCGCAACCTGAAGTGCCGTATCTGCACAGGTGCGCGGTGCGATTTGGTGCTTGTGCGCATGAGCGAGCGATGAAACCCGGAAGTAACCCATTCCGGTACTTCCGGGTCGCCGCGGGATGCAACCTGAAAAAACGTAACAGGAAGCAAACGTAACATGAGGTATGACTGTACACTACTGGCTGCTTGGAATACACCTCTTCAGCAAATTTAATAAATAATAGTAATAATAATGCTGATTTCACCAGTTCCAGTTCATTCCTAGGTAGACTCCAGGCTACGGTTGAGCAAAATAAATAAATAAAATGACTCTCTGCAACTCTGGCCCCAGAGCATCTATACTAGCTAGACCTTTGTAATACCTGTCTTGGAGGCTCTGATTTCTGGGTGCTGGAGGTATAACATGCAGTGACAAGAGGTAGGTGGGGGGGGCTTCATTGCCCTAGTTCCAGAAGGTTCTTTCCAGAAACACATGGTTGGTGTGCGCTTTGCTAGTTTTTCTTTTCCAGGTCAAGATAGTTTTATTATGCTCCGCATTTACCGCAGGGTTTCCTTTATTCTAGCTCTTTCTCTCTTGTTACTGCTTTTTAGAACAACAATCATAAATCATGTTATAATTGTTTCAATGTTTCACTGTTTTAATAGTTAAAATGTAATTTTTTATTAGTTGCCTGCAAGCTCTTGCCAAAAATCCTTTAAATAAATATTATCCTGGGACAGAGTGTTCCGCAAGTTGACTAAGGATGGCTTCAACAAGGTTGCGAGATGTGAAGCGAATTTAATGAGGTGCGATTCCGCCATGTGCCAGTTGAACGGTTTTGATGTTCTTGCGTGTCCATTGTGTTTGTCTGGTATCTATTATGAAGTAAACAATGATGATGGATCCGTGCTTTTTTGTTATGGGGGGGTTAAAAATGAGGTGCTGCTTCTGGGATCTTGATAGCAAGTGTTGTGGGTGCCAGCACAAAATGGCTGCTGTGGGTGGTGAGAAAAAAAATATGGCAGAACTCAGTACTAGTACAGTCATGCCTCTGGTTACAGATGCTTCAGGTTGCGTTTTTTTGGGTTATGGACCCGCCGAAACCCGGAAGTACTGGAACAGGTTACTTCTGGGTTTGGGGTGTCACGCATGCGCAGATGCACTAAATTGTGCTTTGTGCATGTGCAGAAGCGCCGAATCGCGAGCCGCACATGCGCAGACGCACCACTGCGGTTTGCAAACGTGCATCCCGCACGGATCACATTCGCTACCCTAGGGTCCACTGTACTGTTGAGTACTGTGACATAAAAATAGACTGATGATGGCAATAACTGCCCGTTCAGCAAGCCTAAAGATGTGGCGATGGCGTTGAGCTACGTGCACCAAATGGGCATCAAAGGTTATGTAAAAAAAAAAATACTAACGGTTATTGTGTGATGGAAACTTTTGTAATACAGTGGAACTTTGGTTTTTTAGCATCTTGGAAGCCGAAGTTTTCGGAACCCGAATGCCAAAACCCCTGGAAGTAATTGCTTCTGTTTTTGAAAGCACCTCAGAAGTTGAACGGATTCCGCTTGCATGTTTTTCAGTTTTCACCATTGAAATTGCAAACAGCCCTTTGTGGCTCGGTGGTCGAACGTTTTGGTTGTTGGAACGGTCTTCTGGAACAGATTACGTTCGACAACCGAGGTTCCACTGTGTTATTTGGAATAATTAGGCATGTTGTCAGGTTGTGCAAAGTAGGAGCAGCAAGCAGTGGGAGAAACCAAAGAGGAATCCGTTCAGAGAAATAAAGTTTTGACAATGAGATGTGCTTCCTCTTCTTAGCAGCACATGTACACGGCAAGGAACTTCAGTAGGGTTTGAACCGACTTGGAAAATAAATATGTCTTTTGTCTACTCCGTTGCCTTTTGCTCTTTCTCCCTGTTCTCTTTGGGGGTTCCCGTTTCTCTTGTGTGTTATCAGGGTGGCAGATGAAAGGCCCGACGTGAGCTTGCTCTTGGGTAAGCCTTCAGTGAGCAGCAGCCTAGGCAGAGTCGCGCTCTAGTGGGGCCTCCTTGATTCAGGACCCGCATCCTAAGACAGCAAAGAGCCTTTAGTGACTGAATTCTGCCGATGGGAGGAAGAATCTGGAGATGCTTCCTGCCAGCTGCCGTGATTGGACATCAGCCTCCAGCAGGTTCTCTTACGCTTTTTGTCCTGCGGTGTTTTATCGACCCATCGTAGAACATCAAGAGATAACTGAAGCAGCAGCGTACTTTGTGTCAAATTGTGGTGCCAGGTCCCCAAGGAATAGAATTAGGAATACACAAACGCACACACAAGCATACATGTTTTTAAAAAGGTTAATTATGGCACCATGCCCATTTCCTTGTTTTGCTTTTATTTGGTTACTGCATTTCATGCCAACTTCACAAATACGTTCACATCCTTATAGAGGAGCACACACACCAAAACAAGACGCAGCAAAATTGCAGCCTCCCCAAAACCGCAGTGACGATAAACACAACAGCTGCTCAGCCGGCCTGTAGGCGCAGGGAACT